AACCATCTCATCCTCTGTCGTCCCCTTCTCCCTGTGCCCTCCATCTTTCCCAGCATCAGGGTCTTTTCCAGGGAGTCTTCTCTTCTCATGAGGTGGCCAAAGTATTGCAGCCTCAGCTTCAGGATCTGTCCTTCCAGTGAGCACTAAGGGCTGATTTCCTTCAGAATAGATAGGTTTAATCTTCTTGCAGTCCATGGGACTCTCAAGAGTCTCCTCCAGCACCATAATTCAAAAGCATCAATTCTTTGGCCACCAGCCTTCTTTATGGTCCAGCTCTCACTTCCATACATCACTACTGGGAAAACCATGGCTTTAACTATACGGACCTTTGTTGGCAAGGTGGTGTCTCTGCTTTTTAAGATGCTGTCTAGTTTTGTCATTGCTTTTCTCCCAAGAAGCAGGCGTCTTTTAATTTTGTGACTGCTGTCACCATCTGCAGTGATCATGGAGCCCAAGAAAGTAAAATCTCTCACTGCCTCCATTTCTTCCCTCTCTATTTGCCAGGAGGTGATGGGACCAGTGGCCATGATCTTCGTTTTTTTGATGTTGAGCTTCAGACCATATTTTGCGCTCTCCTCTTTCACCCTCATTCAAAGGTTCATAGGACACCTAATTCAGACAAAGGGCCTTCCCAGCCCTACTCTGGAAATGGTGGGATTGAACCAGGTTTGTTCTGAACATAAATCTGATTGCCCTACCCCGTTGAGCTAAGCCGGGGTCTCGGGCAGAGGTCTTTCCTATCCCAACCTTTGGCGCTTTTGCATGAAACCTACCAGTGGGATACATTTCTTTCCCCCATCAGCCTCCTGTATCTTCCTTGCAGCTTGAAATTTGAACATCTCTTTCACTTTCCTTCCAGCCAACTTTCCTACTGTAGCTCCCTTACTTAATTAACTTTGCAACCTGTACCATCTTGTGGATTCCTAGGGTATTGCAACAGACCTTAAGAGTCTTATATAGAATCATAAGGGTTGGAAGTAGGGTCACCATATTTCAAAAAGCAAAAACCAGGGCACCACAAAAGTTGTTGAGCTTTTCTGAAATTCACCCCCCCCCCGGACATCAATTGGAAGGGACTCAACCCTGATTTCCTGCAGCACCCATCAGTCCTTCAATGCATAGGACAAGATCTTTTTTTGTTCCTTGCAACTCAGAACACCACACAGGGGTAAGGCTGGCTAAGAACTACTGACAACTAGGGGTTGCAAGATCTCCAGGTCTGACATTAAATCTTCATATTTGCCTGGCCCCCTCCAAGTGACATGGAGGGGGGGGTTGAATCTCCTGGTGGGGGGGGAAGAGTACCTTTTATTATAACAATAAGACAATTATTTGTGTAGTTTGCAAGCTTCAGCCCAAATTGTAGCTGGGGGGGGGGTCTGCTCTCCTCCATTCCACCCTCCCAATTAACCCCCATCACCAGGGCCTGCCCCTGAGTCTCAAGTTTGGGGCCTGAAAACTCAGAACCTAGGATGCCCCTGGCAAGCCTACTGGCAACTCACTTCAATAGATCTCATGCTCTCACTTTCTAAGCCCACAGCCCTCCAAAAAGAACCATGTGTCAAAAATTGCCTGCCCTGACAAATAAAACTGTACCCGATGGATGAAAAGATATATGATCTCTGACATGACTGAGAATCGCACAGCCAGGGACAGGGAACTTTAAAGTGTTAAGATTGGAATGTGGAAAATATGAAAACAAAAGGAAGGCAGAAATGAAAATATTGGAGATATGCCTCAGAGGTCCAGAGTATGGGAAGCCCCAAAAATTAATAATTAATAATTTGGATTCTAATTTGGCTTTTTTATTTTTTATTGGCTTTTTTATTTAATTTTTAATTGGATTATGATTTGATGGATTTGTTAATTGGATGTTCTTATTGGAAAACTAATATAAAATTGCCTGCCCTGGCTTAAACAAAGTGAGAGGTAGTGTGACGACCCTTATTAACACAGCACCATCAAGCCGGAGGGTGGTTTGCAAAGATGACAGATTCCGGCATGGAGGGGCTTTCGGTCTAACATACGAAATAGACAGTAAAGGGAAGGAGGCAAGAGGCAGGATAACAGCATGCATTTATTTCAGTTGCACATTCGTAGCCTTTGTTGCAGGCAGTGGAGGGTGGGGAACAGCCGCTAGCTGGAGCAGAAAATCCCATGTCACCTTAAAGACGAACAAAATTTTATTATGGTATACTTTTTGTAGACTAGGGTCCAGGCCACCACAGATGCATGACAGGTTACATGCAGCTGGAGATTTTCTATTTATTTTTATGTATACACACACAGGGTGGCGGGAGAGGGGGCACGAGGAGTGTAGAGGCGTAAACAGTGGGGAGAGGGAAATGAAATGCAGGAAGTAGAAATAGTGACAAATAGTATCTGAGGAAGTGTGCATGCACACAAAAGCTCATACCGATAACAAACTTAGTTGGTCTCTTAAGGTGCTACTGGAAGGAATTGTTTTATTTTTTATTTTGTTTTGACTACGGCAGACCAACACGGCTACCTACCGATAACTAGTGACAATTTAATTAGAGATAAAATGTGCGCTACACAGTGGGCGCCTTAAACAACAGTAGTGAAAGGTAATAAAAGCAAATCAACTTGGCAATGCGTAGCTAATTAACATCTGTAACAGGAAAAGAAACCGCTGTCCCTATTGAGACACAAATGAGTAGCGCTGATGAATTCTGCTAGCCCCAGGCTGCTAACAGGCAATTAAAAACATCGGAGCTCGGCTGGATGGGATGAGACCCAGTGGTGGCCCCTGGCAATCTTATCCTCCAGGAATCCGTCCATAACTGCCCAGGTTATTGGTAGTTGCTGCATTTCTGTGGTTTAGCTATGCACTGTGCAAAGTACCTTCCTGTATAGCTCTCCTGAATCTTCATTGAAGGCACAGGGCTTTCTCGGTAGTGACACCTGCCCTGTGGAACACCCTCCCACCAGATGTCAAAGAAATGAACAACCACCTGATTTTCATAGGACATTTGAAGGCAGCCCTGTATATGGAAGTTTTTAATGTTTGAGGTTTTACTGTGCTTAATAGTGTTTAATTTGTTGGAAGCCACCAAGAATGGCTGGGGCAACCCAGTCAGATGGGTGGCATAATAAATATATATTTCGCTCCCTGCTAAACCGGAAATCCCCCAAATATTGTAACCTTTCCTCATAGGAGAATTGCCCCAGCCCCTTGATCACTTCGGTTGACCTTTCCCAACTCAACGATAGAACATGCCATAGAAAAGGAGAGCCCATTCCCTGCGTTGGCCATGGTCTGGAAATAAGCCTCTGGCACAAAAGCAAAGCCAGTACTGTGTACCAAGGCAGTGTTGCACAGTGGTTACAGCTGTGAGCTAGTAAGAATCTGGCTCACATCCCACCTTGGACATGAACTCATCAGCAGGTGCGTGGGCATAATGACATAAGGGCAGCCTGTTCCAATCAGGCCAATGGCCCACCTAGTCCAGCATCCTGTTCTCGCAGTGGCCAACTAGTGAGAAACCCTGAGCACAAGAGCACTCTGCTCTCCTGTGGTTGCCAGAACCAGGCATTCAGAAGCACTGCTACCTCAGACCGCAGAGAACATACCGTATTTTTTGCTCCATGACACACCTTTTTCCTCCTAAAAAGTAAGGGGAAATGTCTATACGTCTTATGGAGCGAATGCATGGTCCCTGGAGCCGAATTGCCCAGGGGCAAAAATCAGATTGTGTTTTTTTGGTTTATTTAGGAAGAGGGAAGGGGGTGTTGAAACGAAGCTGCTGAGCAGCTGATCGGCAAGTGATCAGGAGGGAGATAAGGGAGGCTAGCGATAAAAGAGGCTGCCTGGAAGGGGGGGAGGTAAAAGCCCATGGATCCTCAGGATTTTTGCATTGGGTCACCCCAAATTCACCATCAGATCCTATAGCATGTCCATGGCTACAGCCTGCACCAAAAAAATCACATATCCACTTTCGTGGGGCCACAATGGCGCACAAACGTGGTTACAAAGCACGGATCCACATGGATTCTCAGGATTTTTGCATTGGCTACCCTAAATTCACCGTCAAATCACATGTCTGTGGCCACAGCATGAACCACAAAAATCATACATCCACGGTTTCTTTCAGAATATTTTTTTTCTTGTTTTCCTCCTCTAAAAACTAGGTGTGTCTTATGGTCAGGTGCGTCTTATGGAGTGAAAAATATGGTAAGCAAGCCATGAAAGCTGCATGCCTGTTGGTTTGCGGATAAAAGAGCAATGGCCGCTCTCATTTGTGAAGACAAAAAAGCTCAGCTGTAACCCAGACCTGCCTCAAACCATAACATCCTAAGGCTGTGATGTGTTAACTCAACCTGCCACAACCCACCATAGGTATCAGAACCCCCTCAGAAAGTGGCCCCACGGCTCTGATTGACTTTGGGCACTTCCAAGTCTCTTTGCAATTTTTAGGTGGGATTAAATCACATATGGGCCAATCCTGGCTGCAGCTGGTGGGGTGCTTTTGTGGAGCATGGCCATTTCCCGGAAAGACTGGATTTCTTGCAGCAAGGAAAGTGGGAGATGGGCCATGCTCTAACACAGGCTTCCTCAACCTCAGCCCTCCAGATGTTTTTGGCCTACAACTCCCATGATCCCTAGCTAGCAGGACCAGTGGTCAGGGATGATGGGAATTGTAGTCTCAAAACATCTGGAGGGCTGAGGAAGCCTGCTCTACTACATCATCCTGCAAGAAAATCAGAATGAATGCTCATTAAGTAGCCAACGTTGCATCTAATTTCACCGTTAAGCACACCGTTATTCTCACGGCATCGAACCAAACATTTCAAACCCGCCCCGCCCCCCCACGTCAGCAATGTGGGGATAAAACTGCTCTTACCTTCTGGGGTTCTGTTAAGGATTACTGAAAATATATGAAGAACTTCTTGACACTTGCAACAGCAGCAGCATTATGCAAGCACCGTTACGGTTTTTTAAAAGCAAATATATATGGAAACACCTTAACTCAGTCAAGTGATGCTTTCGGCTTTTATTTAGTTAAATGCAGCATTCTATACAAGAAAAAAAAAGAAATTTCAAACCCTGACAGGGAACTATAGCTCTTCCTAAATCAACCCGAATTAAAAGATTTCTCCCCAAATACACTGTACTGTACGGAAAATAATCTCTCCCTTCCCCTCCCTCCCCCATTGACAGCGTGCCACGCAGTACGGCGATTTTGTGTATTTCAAACTTCAGAACTGTACAATTGGTTTTACAAATCACACTTTTTTCCTATGAAAAATTACAGAAAAAAATATTGCCACTTATTTTATTTGTAACAAAAAATTAGATTTTTTTTCCATTTAAAAAAAACACAAAAAAGTCAGCCAGAACTTTTTTTTTCCTTTTTCTTTTTTAAGTGTGTGCTTGGGAAGAGAGGGGGGTGGAGGTGCAAGGAGGAGAGAAACCCAGGAACGCTCTGGAGCAAGTTTTGCCTTCAGGCTCCAGCACATCCGTACTTGGTGCTTTTTTAAAACAACAAAACAAAACAAAAAACCCCCAGCTAATCACTGGAAACAGATCCCAAACCACACAAACCTCAAAATTTCAAAAGCAGCCTGACCCTGGGTGAGGGGCTGTGGCTGGATCCTGTTACCAGTGATTGGCTGCCATCAAACCTCACACTAACAGCATTAGAAACAAGGAACCAAGGCATCCGTCAACACTTTTCAATCTCAGAAACGGGGTAGCTTTTTTCATTTTTTTGTTTAATCCCATCAGACTGTGCCTTAGAACTGGGTCAATCGCCACAGCAGATGGTGCCTGAGAAAAGCAAACTGCAGGGAAGTGGGAGAAAGTACCTGCCAGCCCCTGGCTTTTACCCTCCTTCGCGACATTCCAGGAAAATCTAACTTTTCGGGAGGCAGCTGGCAAGTGCCCTGGCCTCAGTGGTTTTTCTGGACAGGTAAATCCAGAACTTTTAAAACAGGTGCAAGAACCAGAAAGTGCCAACAGAACTATTGCGGCGTCATTTTTCCCTATATGTCTTTCCGCCAAGGTTACCAGGTGCTTGGCACCAAAGGTGGGATGCGGGGAAGAAGAGAAAAGAAGATTCACCCATTTGCCTCCTTGCTCACCGTATGGTCGGTTCAGTGCCGATGCAGCAGGGGCGCAGAGAAGCAAAGGCCTTCTTTACGGGAGAAAAATCAGATCTGGAATGCTCACCCTCGAGTCAACATCATCTCGGTTATGGCAAATCACAAAGCAAAAATTGAAACCTGTTTTCTAACAATTAAGAGGAGCGGGTCAAACGAAACTAGTGGTGTGGGGTGTCGACAAAAAACTCTGCAGTAAAATAAAACCCAAATTCTGGTGGGAAATACACTAAACTGACAGGGATGCCGAGTTCGAAGGCTGCAAATCTACTAAAGCCCTTCAGTCCTTAAGATTAGTCAAAGCACCGACATCCATTTTCTTGGTTGATGTGCTCCCTTCACAGGGGCAAAAAAAAGCATTGATGTTTCTTGCACTGCCAGTCGCAGAAACAGCCTAGCATTGCAGACCAGGGTATTTTGGGAACTTTTGGCAATCTGGCGTCCCACCTGCATCCTGCTTCCTCCTCACCTGTGGCGAAGGAGCAAGGAACAGCCAAGCTCAACACATTTGCCCCACCAAACTAGCAAGCGGGAGCAGCCCACACGCCCAAAGGAACTTTGAAGGAAAACTGGTGTTATGATGAAGCCATAACTCTTTGAAAGCAAAAAGGTTCCACTCTGGTGGCAAGTCAGGAGCGAAGACAAATTATTAAAAATAATAATTATATTACGTGTTGTAGCAATATGGTGGGTTGGCCCATCCCAGCGGAGCAAGCTCTAGAGGAGGTGAGCATCAGCCCATGTTGAATAAAGCACAGGAGGCAATGAGTGTCTGGGGATTTGGGGTCTAAACCTCCTCGCCCGTCAAAAGCATAAGGTAATTTGATGGTTATGAGGTATATAGATCATAGCAAAAAGGCACGTGCGACCTGGTTGGTGGGGAGAGAAAGAGAATTCCTCAGGTATGAGAGTTGAGAAGAACAAATGAAGTTCAAGATACTTAAGAGCGGACATTTTGAACCACAGATTTTTGGTTCAGAAAGCTGGGCTTCTCGTGTGTGGTTTAAAAAAATAAGGGTGATTTTTAGGCGATTTGAACCCAGGTTCTGACCTGGTTCCTGAACACTGAAAACTCTTCCAGGCTGGGACAAAGCAGGAAGGAGAGAGAGAGAGAGAGAGAGAGAGAGAGAGAGAGAGAGAGAGAGAGAGAGGTTACAGCCATTGGGGAGAAGACCTAACATTTAAAAGCTGAACTCTTTGGGGGCAACAGGATGTGCTTTTCTGGGTGTGGCCTCAAGCAGGAAAGAAGCATGAAGCACGTTAAGAGGCCAGCTGGCAGCTCCAAACATGAGGTCTTGACATGCCTTTAGCAAGATGCTTTTGGTGCAAGACCAGGAGCCGGGGGAGCCCATCGCCTGAAGTCACTGAAGAAGCAGAAAAGGATGCCAATTCACCCACTATTCCCGCCTTCTGCATGGGGCAGCCTAAACGTTCCTGCTTCACTGATCCCAAGACCCAAGTCACTGGGAGTCTGCCCATGTTGAGAACCAAGGGAGGAGGGCTGCCCCACACAGACACAGCTCCCGCCCAGTCTGGATTCCTGATGGTGAGCGTTTGCCCGGAGCCATCTACCTTTAAGAATGGACAACCGCCACAGAAGCATCGTTTTCAAGTGTAAAGAGAGACGGAAAGTCTGGTTTTCCAGGAGGGCGGGGAGAAGGAAAGCCTCAATCGAAACAAAGCGGGTAAATGTCTTCAAAATAACTATGTTTATACAGAAAATGCTAGGTATGGGCCCTATGCTGTTAGTGTGAGGGATTCGGCAGAATCTGAGGTTTCCAGCCAAGCAGCTCCTCCCCCTCCAAGAGTTGCCCCCCTCCCGCCCCTCAATGAGCCCTCAAGCAGCAGCCCCAATGTGGAACCACTGTGTATCCTTCACAGAAAGAGAAAACACGACTGTATCCTTTTTTTTCCATTAGCAGCGCAGAAAACACAGGTGCTTGCTAGCCCAAGCAAGTAAGGGTTTGGGGGAAGGGGGGGGGAATTATATGGCATTTCAAGGGGAGGGGGCGATAAACCCTGACACTAAAGTGCAACACGTCCTAAACGCTTTGTCATCCGGTGTCACCAAAAAAACAAAATTAAGAAGAAGAAGAGGTGTTCGCAAAGCTTTAGATTTCCAGTTGCCGGAGGGAGGCGGCTTTTGAAATGACTGCGAGGAAAATAAATTCACATGGCCGTCGGCTTCAGAAATCAGGAGCCCTTTGGTGTGGAGCGGAGCAGGGTGCCGATACGGAGAGCATTTCACCACGCAGTTGGTAGTGTGAGGATTGGGGTGGGGAAGGAGAAACGCTGTATTTGTAACGTTTTCAAGAAGCAGCAGCGCCAAGAGCATAAACGAATATTCTCAACTCCTTCAGCAAACTCAACGCACCACTTTTTTTTTTTTTGGCATCTTCAAAAACCACTCCAGCCCAAACACCTCAAAGAACAACATAAGCTTTCTCCCCGCCCCTTTAAAGACAAGCTGCTGCTCCACGCTTTCGAGGGGCGCGAGCGACTGCCCGGGGGTGGGGGAGCAGAGGGGAAGAGGGCAGGTGGCTGCAGATACAACCTGGTCAGCACCGCTGCCTCTCTTTAAGGAAAAAGGAAAAAAAAGCCAGATCCGTTCCAGATCCATTCTTCAGCGTAAAAGGGGTGGGGGGTGAGGGCGAGGGAGAATACAACCTTGAAGCTAGATGAGAAATAGCCAAGGGGGGTGGAAGGGAGGAGGGGTGGGGGAAGATGCGATTTCACAGCCTGAAGGCCAGTCTCATCAGCTCAAATATCTCTGTTGGAAGGGGTGGGGGGTGAAAGAACAGAATCCCTCAGTGCCGCCTCATCTTCACTTTCCGAGCTGGACTGCCGTCCTCCTCTTCCTCGTCAAAGTCCTCCGTGTACTCGTAAGACTTCCGCCAATAGTTCTCAGAGCTGAAATGGCTCCGCCTCCTGTGCTTGGGCAAGAGGACCGAGCGCCTGTTCTCCTCTTTATCCATTTCTAGAATCCGAGGTCTGAGGAGAGGAAAGAAAAACAGACAGACAGACCAATGAGAGGATTCGGGGCAGTGTTAGAAATTAGTCAGGCTCATTTTGCAACTGGGGCTGGACCAACTGCAACCTCGTGGAGATCTCTGGATGTCCGGCTGGCGACTGGGGAAAGCAAAACGTCACTTAGAAAAGGATCTAAAATATTTTCCTTGAAGCTTCAATTTGTTTTATTTCAGCTTGTTTTATTTGACGTTTTAGTGTGTTGTTTGAAACGAAATCGACAACAACATTGGGGGGAAACAGTAGCTAGACATTCCCTTGTGGTGACTGTAGCATTGGTCTAAGGTGCCATTGAGAATTAGATTATATATCTAGCACTACCTCATAACTGCTGCTTTTCACTGGAACAGTTACACCAGAGGTGGGAGATCAGTGGCTCTCCGCATGATGCTGGACTCCAACTCCCATCATCCCCGACCACTGCCCCACTGGATGGGAATGAGGGGAGTTTGAGCCAAGGAACATTTAAAGGGCCACAGGTTCCCCCATGCAAGTGACAAGGTGCACAGTACGCCAAGACCTTTTCACTGGGACTCATTGTCTACCCTACCTCAAAGGCTAAGGGAAGATGAACAATGTGAAGAGCCAAACAGATACTTTAGGCACACCTGGAGGCCGTGCAGCTCCAGTAACATTTTGGGCTCTCCCCTTCATTGAACCCTTGACCTAACCCCAAAACGCTGTATTGCAAACAGCGGTTGACATGCCTGGACCACATGGGAAGAGTTCAACACCACTCCTAAGCCCAATTATATCCACACACACTGGTTGGAAATTATGGATGAGTGTCTCTGTGGAAGCATCTAAGCCTTACTTCCAGGGTAGAGACAGCCCCACCTGCAAAGCACACACCCAGAAGGAGTGGAGGTAATAGGTTTGCCTCTTTTGTGCCAATCCCTGCCTCTCCACTCACAGATTCCAAACCAAAGCCTCATTTTGCAACCAGAAGCAGCCACTGCTTCTGCACAATTCAATTAATTGTGGCACTTGGACTTGAGTGCAAAGACTGACACCCGCAGGGCTGGGTTACAGTCACATGCAAAAACCAGCAGAAGCCAAGCAAGAGGTCACTCCTTCCTCACTCCACAGATCCACACAACTCGGCAGCTCTCCTGCCTCTCTCTATGATGCGCAACTGCCCTGCCCCGTTGCAGATTCACTTACCGGTGAGCAGCGTCTGGGTCTGCTTTGCGATGGGACCTCTTTGGCTTTAGGATGGGGTCCCTGTTGCTTCCTGACAGGCGGTCAGAGGCATACCCTGGCACCAGCACAGAACTACTCAGGGATCTCGTCTCCAGCCGGGGAGCGTCTAGCCTGGTCCTGGAAGGGTTAAGACACAAAAGTGATGCTCATCTAATTCTACCGCATGCATTGGAACAGGAGTCACAATTTGTGTTAAGAGACACTGTGCCAACATTCAACATTTGCCCCGGGGTGCAGGCGAGAGGCGGCGGCCACATGCCACACATGTGATCTGATGAGCAAAAGTCAGGCCTCCCTATCTGTTGCTAGAGGAAACTTAAAAGTGCCTCTCCCTTCCCCGAAATCCGTATTTCATATGTATCTTGACTGGGCACCAACCAGAGCTCCTGCCTAGCGTGATAGTTAACATTTACAGAAATGCTGACCTAAATTGAATCTGACGCCAGTTCACTGATATATATGCAGTTGAACACACTAGTTGGATTTTCCCAGCTTTCTTCTGAAAGAAACCCCAGATACCCCGGGAATAGCAGACTTCCATAGCCCACATGACAGAAAAAAGCAGTGTGTATGCTTTCAGCTTGAACTCTGGCATGCATGTGCAGAAGCCGTCTGTTTATTGATCTGCAGAAGCTGCTTTCTAGGATAGAATTATGGATTTCCCCAGCTACACCTGCCCACAGGACCCCTCCTCTGCCACCACAAGTTTGACTGGGACCTGAGACATGCACTCAGAGGGCAACGCTGCTCCTGGGGCTACGAATGGGACTAGAGCTTTCTGCATGGCCCACCCTGCTTCTTCTGCCCATTTGTCTTAGAAGCCACATGCTGAACTGAATTGGCAAGTGCCAAATGGATACATGCCATACTGGAGCTGGAAGGGGACAGGTGGTCCAAGGCTTGCAGAAAGGAAGCCATGTCCTTTATCCATAGCAGGTTGCAGGGCAGGGATGGGGAACCTGTGGCCCTCCAGATGTTGCTGAACTACAGTTCCCAGCATCCCTGACCGCTGGCCTCTCTCGCTGCATGATTCCAAGCAGAGCGTTTGGCACTGGAGCAGAAACCAGCATTTGTGAAGCAATCTTTCCATAAGAAGAAAAAAGCATCCAAGCTTGTAGGATTGGCACACCAGTCAAGAGGCCTGTCAAATATTCCAAGAAGTCTCAGTGCCAGAGGATGCTTGCCTGCTGTCAACATAGCATAACTACTTTTTCAAAACAGACATTTTGCGTTTTAATATTTCGCTGCTGCTCTGCTTCCTTCTGGCTTGCATTTCATGATTATTATTTTTAAACGGAGATATTGCAATTCCATGATAAAAGCCAAAAGGGACTTTTGGCTTGTTGGCCAGAGACTTGTTGATGTTTATAGCAACCTTACCAACACTCTCAAAACTAAAGATGTCTTAGAAGTTACTTGTCCAAACTGTTAAGTAATTTGCATAAGTAACAAGTCTGATGAAGATTATCTTTTTAACTGCCCAAATAAAACCAACACTTCTGACACACTTGCCCAGTTCTCGATCAGTCAGTTGATCTACTTCAGCTGGACCAAACCCTGTTATCTGAATGTCTACAGGCAGCATTTAACGGAGGCTCAGAAACCAGAGGTGGTTGCCAGGTAACATTTCTCATCAGGCAAACACATTCCTTAAAGTTCTAAGTAGCTCAGGAGGTTGTCCCAAACTAACAGGACAGGGGTAAAATAATCTTGCAACCTGCTCCTGAAACTAGCTGGGAGCTGAGCTACAGCCTTGTGTTTTTTCATCTGCTCTTAATCTGAAAGCCAATTTCTTTCTTGGTTGCTCCACCAACTCCGCCTTGGAGATCACCAGGCTGTTCTGCAGCCACCCTCCGCAGCAGCCCAGAGCATGCAGGAAGGATCCATAAATATTGCTATGCTTCCACTGCCTTGAAGTTTTTATGACCACGCCAGTTACCAGACTGTTCAGGAAAATTCCACTCAAAGTGTATCGGAGCTAGATAGTTTCCTCATTACGCACTTCTGTTCTCAAGCAAGTACTGAGTTATCAGAGGTGTAAGTGCGAGACATGAAAAAGAACCTTCCCCAGAGTCTTATGAACACTGCTGGAGGATTGTTTGACCCTAGCCGCCATGTTTTGCAAGGGTTGGAGCCCCTGAGCTCCCTGTCCGATGCACGTTACTGGAGACACCGCTCACAACCAGGGCCACTAGCAGACTAGCAACCTGACACTCTCCCATTTCCCTGCCAAGGATTCAACAAATCATGGATACAATTCCAACTCTCTCGAGTGGAGATGCAAACCCAGCCTGCAAGGCAGCATTGGGGTTAATCTACTCCTGTGAGAGGGCGACCAAGATAAGAAAGGGTCTGGAAACCAAGCCTTTATGAGGAATGGTTGTTGGAAACTGACAGGAGTAAAATAAAATGGGAAAAGGTAATGGACCCCTGAGAGTTAAGTCCAGTCGCAGATAACTCTGGGGTTGCGGCGCTCATCTCGCTTTACAGGCCGAGGGAGCCGGCATTTGTTTTTCCGGGTCATGTGGCCAGCATGACTAAGCCGCTTCTGGCGCAATGGAACACTGAAACCAGAGCAGCGCATGGAAACGCTGTTTCCCTTTCCACCAGAGCAGTACCTATTTATCTACTTGCACTTTTTGGCATGCTTTCGAACTGCTAGGTTGGCAGGAGCAGGGACCGAGCAACGGGAGCTCACCCTGTCGCGGGGATTCGAACCACCGACCTTCTGATCAGCAAGCCCAAGAGGCTCAGTGGTTTAGACCACAGCGCCACCCGCGTCCCATTGAGGAGTAAGATAGCCATCTTCAGTTATCTAAAGGGCAGTCACATGGGAGATAGAGCAAGCTTGTCTTCTCCTGCTACGGAGGCTGGGATCCAAACCAATGGCTTCAAGATACAGTGGTGCCTCGCAAGACGAAATTAATTCATTCCGCAAGTTTTTTCTTCTTGCGAGTTTTTCATCTTGCGAAGCACGGTTTCCCATAGGAATGCATTGAAAATCAATTAATGCGTTCCTAGGGAAACCGCTTGCCAGGCTGGCGGTGCGGAGAAGGGCTTTTCTCCCCACCGCAAGCCTTCAGGACAGGTACGGGAACAGAGGGGAAGGCGCGCAGCGCTTTCCCTCCGTTCCCGGGGCTTGCGTGGGAGGAGGGTTTTTCCTCCCCACCGCCAACATTCAGAACAGCATTCTGAATGTTGGCGGTGGGAAGGAAAACCCTCCTCCCACCCCAAGTCTTCAGGAAAGCCATCCGATGCTGGGCGGCGGGAGGAGGCGTTCCCGCCCCGCCGCCCGGCATCGGAGCTTTGTTCCGATGCCGGGCGGCGGGAGGAGGTCCGAGGACAGTGGGGAAGACGCGCTGCGCTTCCCCGCTGTCCCGGAGATTTCCCTATGGGCTTTTGTCTTGCGAAGCAAGCCCATAGGGAAATTCGTTTTGCGAAGCGCCTCCAAAACGGAAAACCCTTTCATCTAGCGGGTTTTCCGTCTTGCGAGGCGTTCGTCTTGCGGGGTACCACTGTACAATAAAGGAGATTCCGACTAAACATCAAGAAGATCTTTCTGACAGCGGAACAGACTCCTTCAAGAAGTGGTGGACTCTCCTTCCTTTTTAAAGCAGGTGCTGGATGGCCATCTGTCATGTATGATCAAGGTGAGATTCCTGCATTGCAGGGGGTTTGCCTAGATGACCCTCGGGGTTCCTTTCCAACTCTACAATTCTATGATTCTATAAGGAAAGCAGCACACGCTGTAACTGGGCCCTCCAGATGTTACTGGATCACAACTCCCATCAATCCCTGACCGCAGGCCATGCTGGCTGGAGCTAATGGAACTGGAGTTCAACAACACCTGGAAGACTGCAGGTTGCCCACCATTACTCTAAAACAGTGTTTCCCAAACTTGGGTCTCCAGCTGCTTTTAGACTACAACTCCCAACACCCCTAGCTAGCAGGACCAGTGGGTCAGGGATGATGGGAACCGTAGTCCAAAAACACCTGGAGATCTAAATTTGGGGATCCTGCTCTGTAGCATAGAATGTACCGTGAGAAGCTCGAAATTTGTATTGTGCAGCGATTACCTTCAGCTTTAAGCCAATTGTGTGGGGTTCAAACTCTCTCACACCAAAACCACATCGAGCGCACAACTGCTCAGGCCTCTTAAGTCTGCTGTTATGAGTTGTATTTGCAAAGCCAAGTCTCTGCTTCCACCGGTGTATGTGTGCGAGCCAATGGAAAGGGCAGGAAGCGCTGTTACTTTAAGAAAGATTTAGTGGGGCTAGTCCATTCTTTCCACTTTTCCTGGCCGCGTGCCTTCAAAACAGACCACAATGTGTTTTACCAGTTAAGTGCTAGGAAGGGGCAGGATGTTTTGAGAATGCTAAGAAAACACTTCCTCGGCCTCCCAGCAGAGTTACGGTTTCCCAGGATTTACTGGGTCATCAAGAGGTGCCCCAGGTTCCTCCCTGCATCTTCTTAAGGAGGCCTGGCTTAACATTTTAAAAGCAAACAAACCATGGGCCTCATAAATGGGAGCAAGGAAACAGCTATGTCTCACAAAGTTCGAGAGTGATTTTGCTTAGCCAGGACAGAATCATCTGCGTTAGCGGCTACCAGTTTTAGCTGCTCAAAGTATTGGCAGCAGCAAGAATGTGAAAGGATGTTTTCCCCTTTAGAAACATATACAAATTACATTCTCTTCAAAGATGCTTCACCACTTACTTCCTAAGGATGATGACTGCTCTCCTCTCCTTGATATCCTGTGGTCGAATGCAGTGTGTAATTTCATCAGCTGCGTAACCACTGTGGAAGAGAAAGATCCAAGAGGGATTTCAAACCAAGCCAACTTAAGTTTTAAAAGGCTGTATCTGTCCCTGCTTCTCTTCAGCCCCAGTTCAGCCATACTGGTGATCAAACAGCTCCGTCTATAACTTCAGCCAAAACTTATAGCCCTTCATAACATCTCTGCCCACCGTTTAAATTTATTTCACTTATATTCCACCATTTTTCCTAAGGAGCTCAGGGTGGCGCGCAATGCTCTCTCCCTCCACAGCTTATACAAACAACAACCCTGTGAGGTATTTTAAGACAGGGACTGGCCGAAGCTCACCCAACAAGTTTTGGGAGTGGGGATTTGAACCCTGGTCTCCCAGGTCCTATGCGGGCACTCTAACCATTATGCCACACTGGCTCACCATCAATACAGCAGACAAGGCCGTTTTCTCAGGTTCATGTGGGAATCTGCCTTATACAGAGACAGACCATTGGCCCAGGTAGCTCAGTATTGCTAACTAGCGGTGGCTCTCCAGGATTTCAGACAGAGAACATTTCCAGTCCTATCTCGAGATATCAGGGATTGATTGCATATTACCTGGGACCACCATCCTGCCCTGATATCCTCTAGAGCAGGGGTCACCAACTCCCAACAGCTGTAGCTAGTGTGGCCAACAGCAGGGAATGATGAGAGTCAGAGCTCAACAACACCAGGAAGGCCACAGCTTCCCCACCCCTGCTCTTGAGAAAGCCATATAAAAATATTTGCCACACAGACCATTGCTTGCATGGTTCCACCACCTACTCCAAACCCTCGCTGCCACCCATAACCACAGATCAAATGCAGCAGCGTGGGCCAGCTTTGCTGGAGTCTTCAAATTCCCAATGTAAGAATCTTCCCACCTTCCCTCCCCAAGAGTCAACTTTGTTCTTTTTCGGGCTGCAGAGACCAGTGGCTCAGGTAAGCATCTACCTGAACAGGTAGAATGCTGGTGCAGGAAGGTGGATGTGGGGGAAAGGAGAACACAGGACGAAGTCTAGCTTGCTTGGGCAGCAACGTGAGCAAACTCAATAACTATATTCTGACAACTGTGCCCAAGATCTAGGGAAAGTTGGGGGGGGGGGAAACATTTTTGTTCCATTTGAGTTCCTTGACAGGATCTGCATTACAGCATAGCTGCAAAGACCATGAGGGCTCAACCAGATTTCAATACACAGCACTTCCCTGGTTCCAGACCCATGACTGTAATTCTGAAAACCTTAATGGCACTCAAAGCACTATATCTCCTATTCAGAGGGACTGTGAGCAAGATCCTTTGCAGAAGGCTACAATGAACTGCTTGCAGTTAGGAAATACTGAAGCAATGCCTTCTATTCCCTGGCTACCATTATCATTAGCCACGAACAGAAGCCATGTGTTTGTGAAGATCCCAGTATCAGTAGCCCTGATATACGAGAGACCTGGGCAACAGCATTCTGCAAACTGAGTGCCGCCACGAAAAAGGCCCTGCCTGCATCTGCCTTGCCTTGGAAAATGAGACACACTCAGAGATGGACCTCAGATGACGATCTCAGGGTCCAGGTTGGCCTGTCTTCTCCTCTGGATATTAGCAGACTACGTAGTTTCTTAACATCCTCACAGGACTACCATTCCCAGAGTTCACTGAGAAACCCTTGACTATTAAAACCAGTTTAAGTTTGTATTGTTAATACACCTTGAACCTTGCCTGCATAACCCAACCCCCACAAACTGACCATTTCAATAACTTTGCTATGAAGTTTCCTAGCAGCACGGCAACAATATGTGCATTGGCTTTCATGAATGGATTTGCACAGACGTCTGAGTTCCAAAGAGTACCTGTACGAAAGCGACCAAATTCAGACAGCTACGGATTTCAAAAATTTCTGTCAGGTATGGTGGGCTCCCCCAGTTGGCCACCAGCCCATGCCTGAAAGCAATCGTTGCCAAAATGGGGGGGGGGGAGGAGAATGGGATTTTGCTTGTTGAGTGTTACAAAAACTACGTACAGCATCATACCTAACTAGTTGCACACTATTTCACAGGAGTAGAAATTCCCAATAGGGCCGCAAAACCCTGATCATTTACACTAGGAGCAGGTAAGTCTTCTGGGAGGAGACGCTGTCTCTGTGAAAGGGCATCTCATCAACTTGTTTTAAGGCCTCTCAAGAGAGTTCAAAGTGACTCCCCCTCTCAACCAGGTTGTAGAGAACAGGAAGCCCAACGGACTGCGCTTCCCATTCCCTGCATTTCTTCGTAACATTTGAAGCGGCACTTACAGATTCTCTCCTCCCATGCAAAAAGCATATAAATATCAGCTAGGGCGGTACAGCAGTCATGTGCTGAAGAATCAGGAGGCAAGAATTGGGAAGCTGGATTCTTAAGACACTCAAGAACAAGGATGGTGAGCAAAGCCTAAGTGCCTGCCCACATAACTCCTGTAAACAGAAAGCAAACTGTTGCATCAACCTCTCCGCTACCAGCAAAAGCCACTGACCAAGCGATATTAAGACTCATGTTGCCATAACAAGCATGCTGCTTCTATTTGGCTAGGTTCTCCCTGCCAGCCCTCTCGACAGCAGCCGTATTTAGAACTACTCCCTCCCTTCTTGACCAGGTTCTTATACCCAGCTGGCCCACGTGACTGGAACACTGGCCTAGTCCATTCTGGCAGTGCCAAGCAGATCTAGGAGTGCTGGGCGCTGCACTGGCAGTGCTAACTTTCTGCTCAGGCCAACCTCCCTTGGAAAGGTGCCCTTTTATAGTTAATGCCCAAAAGCTTAGCAGCTGCTGCGCTCAAACTGAAGCAACTTCTGCGTTTAAAGTGTGCTAGTTGCTTAATGCTGCCTTCTTTTCTTGGAAACCAGGCAAGCTGGAACAGGACAGTGAAGGTGCTGCATGGTGACCCACCCGGAGGCTTACTGAAATTCTAGAAGATTTCTGCTACTAGAAAAGACTTGTGGAAATGCTGTTTCTGTCCGTGAGGAACTGACTCAGACACTGTAGGCTGCAGTAGACCCATGCTGCTCTATGCAGAGGGGACCTTCACCCATCCATCCGTGAAAAGCTCATATGGTCAAATAATCTGGAATTCCATTCCACTCCTTCCCTCCAACTTGGCAACTCTGAAGCACAGGTGAAGTTCTTTCAGCCATTCCTTTCTTAATGAATTAGGTTCACATTTGACATAGTTGCCGCAAAGCAAAACTAACAGGGCAGCTGGTTCTCTATCAGAATCAGGAGCAGAAAGCTTTGGACAAAAGGAAAAGCCACTGCCCCCTTAAAGCAAAGAATTCATGAATACAAAGCAAGGCTTCTGAAAAGCCGCTTGCCTGCTCACCTGGGACAAGTCTTAGGGTACCAATTTCCCCTTTTGGGGTGCATCCCTGCAACCTTACCACAGGTGAGCAAGGTAAGAAGAGATAGTCATCTTTTTGAAGGGATGCCACTGTCTTCAGCTATCTGAAACAGCCAGGGAGGCAGGTGCATGCCAAGAGTCCTGTTAGTCTTGCTAGTCACACATGGCAACTCCATAGCAGAAGTGAGTGGCTTCAGCAGGCTTAGCAACCAGTGTAAGCTGCAGGCTGCCTCCATTATTATGCATAAATTATATCTCCCTTAAAAATGGGTAGGGCCAACAATTCTTACTGCATACACCATGGTGGGAGCCATCCAGATTTTGCAACAGACCTTTCGTTAGACTGACAAAATTATTTCCCGTGTTTAGCACTTCCTTGCTTGATGAAACTGCATCAGGCAGAGTTTCATTTCAGCTGCAGAGTGCACAGCTGCTCAGCCCCTTCCTGGAAGTTCCTGCCACATGTAATTCTGCGTGAGCCTTGGTTAATGTGCGCACTTTTAGAGATAATGCTTAGTCCTTACGCTGCTTTATTATTGATGCACCTGGACTATTGTGCAAGGCCGTGTTTATGTGAAGGAGAGATTTTCCTTCCTGGCTCATGCGGAGATCGCTTTACAAATGTAAGCAGGGGATCACGTTACCCCCTCAAGCAGCCTTTCAGACTGGCAGAAGTGTTCACTCCTCAGACCAAAAAATGTTGGTTGCCCTCCTTTTGCCATGGCAACGCGAAACCATTAGGGATGTTTGACTCATCCTGGCGGAGAGCTGGCTTTGGCTTACACGGCTATAAATACAGTTTGTCACAGGCTTATCCTGACCCAACATTTCGCGCCCTTTCACACTCTGCTCCTGGAGAAGTTGCTCTTCCACAGGCACTAACGCCACAAGGAATGCTGTCTAGTGTTACCTGCAAGTATTTGCACTGTAAACACAGTTTCAGAGAAAAAAGCAGAGCCAGGAATTGAAGAGGAGAACGCTGCAGAAAACATCAGCACTGCATATTGCAAAGTAACAGTCTTGGCTCTACAGCCAACAGAAAACGGGCTTGGAGAAACCCATGGAAACACCTGTAGAAAAATGGGTACGCTAATACTTAGTTCAGTCCTAAAGGGTTGGCATGCTTGAGATAGCTTTCCCCTTATGAAAGCTTTCCTTATTGCATGGTATCAGGACAGTGGACAAGAAATGACAAAACACTACCACCAGCGGCAATTCAGGAGTACAGTCAGCAAGGGCTCCCTGCCCAATTCCAGACAGGAAAGGTCAATTGCTGGTTTTGCATGCAGGGCTTAACTCACTCCTAGGAGGATTGCTACTGCTTGTATTGGGTTTTTACTTTCAGAATGATACTACTACGGAGAATTAACTGCAGCCAGAGAGCTCTCAAGCCAGTTTGCATGGGAGATACAATTACTCTGCTCCACTAACACGTTTTTCTCAAGCTGTGAGGGGGGGCAGAGGCGCCCCCAGTGAGTCAAAGAAAATTCCCAGACAAGGTGCAAGCCATCCAACTCTGGCTTGAGAGTGCCCTAGCTGGAGTGGAAGGCAGAGTGAAAAAAGCACTCCTTCCAATCAGACTTGCTGCTTCTTTTGTGTTGACTCCTGTTGTCAGAGGAGTCTGAAGTGAAGCCTTCTATCTTTACCCTTCTCTGGAGTTCCTTCTCTCTGGGATGAGAGGGAGACTCTTCATCATAAGGAAAGCCACCTGCCCTGCTTTAGTTCACATTAATTAGCAGGGGTGAGGAACCTGTGGCCCTTCAAATATGGCTGGACACCAACTCCCATTAACTACAAGATGGCATGGTCTGGTCACGGTTGATGGGACTTGTAGTCCAGCCAAACCTGGAGGGCCAGGGGTTCCCCCCAATCCCTGGTTAATGCTTGCAGAGAAGCAGTTTCTCCAACCACGGAGGCTTGTTTTGGCAGAACCCCTGAAACTGGGTGGCATTTATCACAAGCTATTACGGCTGATGTGCTCTCCAGCTAAGCTCCTCCTAGCTCTTATGAACCTTGCCTCAATAGTTCCTTGGGAAGCATTCTTGCATCAAGTTTGTGTGCTGAGGAACCCATGCACATTGCAGGCTGCATTCTGCACTGTCTGCTCTGTTTGTGCTGGCTGTGCTGTCATGGTTTGCTTTTGCCGATCACAAGCTGAGGATGTTTCGTAGAACCCCAAAGTCCTTGCATCTGCATATAGCAGAGATTAATAATGCTAACTCAGATGCTTGTCCTATCATTACAGATCTTATCAGTGAGGAGTCCTGGATGAGATTTCAAACCATTTTAGGGCTGACTAGAAGACAGGTTTGAAAGCTGCTGCTAGTCAGTGGGAATCACTTAAGTTGCTTTGTAAGGTCACCTGCAGACCCAACACACAAATTACCTGCTCTTTTAGGTTCTGTTCCAGAAATTGTAAGGAAGGAATAATGGCAACTGTAAAAGACAAGCAAGGATCACAAAACATTTAGCACTTGGAACACGCTATACAAAATCAACAAACAATACACAAATCTGTCTGGATGTGCAGCTATCGATTCAAGAGCTGAAACTGGCCAACAACTCGGAAAGGCCTCCTGCAACTTTCCTTACCTGAGCACAGTGACACTCCCTCTTCTCACAGGCAGGAAGAAGACCGGCTCAGAGACCCTGATGGGCTTGAACTGGAACTTGCAGCCAAAGCAGAGTGCCGAGTCACTGAAGAACGACACCGAGACAATAGGCCTCTCAAAGATGTGGATGGGGTCCACGTGGGAGACTATGCAGCCCCCAGGCTGGTAGTCGTTGATCACCGCACTGTTCACAAAGCCCTCGGGGATGACCCGTTGCTCCACCAGCTTACGGATGACGAGGTCATGGACCCACTCGGGAATGGAATCCACTTCCCCACGTGGGTACAGCCGTTCCTGACCGGGACCTCGCCTCTGCAGCTGAGACCCGTACGTATAACCCTCCCCAAAGAAGTACTTGTTCCGGAGAGGGGCCCTATCCACCGTGTGCTCTTTATAAAGGCCCTTCTCAGCCCTGGAGACCACGTCGTCAATGCGAGCTTCGATCTTGGCGCATTCCTCAGGGGTGAAGAGGCGGAGCTGCCGGATGCCGCTTTTGACTTTCTGGGCCTCTTCCTCCTCCTCCCGCTGGTGCTCCTCGCAGTCGCTGGGCTCCGACTCGGAATCCTCGTGGTACTTCCGCTTGCGCTCTGCAGCTCCGCCTGCGCCTCCATAGGGAGATTCGGCAGGGTCTCGAGTGCCGCCCCCCTTGTAATTGTCCCGGTAAGGCATCATGGATTTGAGCTTCTCTCGCAGGTCTGTGTAGCCACTCCCAGCCATGGTGAGTTCCCCAGTCGCCTTCGCCACCTCTGCTGAACTCCCCGGTGAACGGTTTGTAGGGCTGGTGAGTGGGAAAGCGCTGTCCCCGTTCAAGGCATTGTCTATCCTAGTGGAATAAACTCCCAGAGGAAAAACCAAGAAATCCTACAGCTGAGCTTCCACAAGTGGAGAGCAAACCAAACCAGGTGCCCTTCCTGATGGGTAAGGCACTCCACCCTTCCGAGACACCCCGCCCCAAGTCTCCGCAGGAGGGGCAAGGGGAAACAAATCCTTGCGAGAATGAGAAGAATGTTACAGATTCAGTTTCATTCCAGTACTGATACGGAACGGACAGATGAATGCAAGGTCTCCTCGTCCAGTGGTACCAATCTTGTTTCGCAGGTGAGTGCCGGGACAATTAAGCACACTCCATCTGTGGGAGGAGAAAATGGTGTAAGCAGAGAGCAAGGAGGAAAAGTGCAGATAAAAGAAACAAGCAAGATACATTATCTGAGCCCACCGCACCAAGAGCTGGGAAGCCCCTTTCCCAGGCATGCAAACCACCTGAGTCAAACCCCCCCTCCAAGCTGTATCCTTGGAAACACTCCAGGCCAAGCCTGACCTGGATAAGAGCAGGAAAAGTGGCTGCAATTAAAGGCAGGGAGAAGCACAGGGTCAAGCAACAGACCAGAAGTTCACTCAGCTGCATTATTTGTTCCCTCTATACATATTGCCTCCTCCCTAACTCACTCATCAACTAGAAATACAGGAGAGGCCAGCAGGTGACCTGTGTTAACAGGTGGGAATGGTGAGTGCACCCCCCTTCCACCCCTGCTTCTTGTTCACCACCTACTCCTTCCAGGAGAAAAGGAACCAGGCCCACACATCATAAAGGAGAGGCTAATAAAGCACTCCCCCCTTCCAGAACCTTCCTCTACAGCTTTTCTGCTGCTCGTTGCCCCCCTACCTACTGGGTGGGGTGCAGCACTCCCCAAAAACAGAGGTATGGCACTGAGGGGATAACTGCCTTCTTTGCTCCCCATACCTATTGCTGTCTGTCTCCCAAGCAAAAGGGCAGAAAGGTCCAGAAAATTCTCATACAGCTAGAGGTTGGAAGGTGGCAGAGGAAAGGGCTGCCTGTCTCTATACTTCTTTCTCTCTTTGTTACCCTCTCGGAAGAAGGGGAAAGAGACAGGAAGGAGAGCCCATTTTTATGCACCTGGATCCATTATCCTCTCCAGCAGGAAGAGAAGGGGGTGGGGGGATGTACCAATACCTAATTAGTCAGAGTTTGAAAAGAAAGACCTTCTTTCCTGCATTGAGTATTGCTCTTGGCTTCCCACTCAGGAAGAGACATGAGGACCCCTCTATAACTAGGCCTAGCCTCTTTCCTCAATCCCCAAACCCACTTCTCAAAGCCAATCACACGAACTGAAAGAAAACGGGGAGGGGGGGGGTAAGCCAGGAGGCCCATTATATAAGCAGGGGCTAAAAATAAAAGTCTCGGCCCCACTGCAAGCCTATTGATCTCTGTGACCCCTCTTAGAAAGCGCCAAGAGGCACAAGGCCCCCTCTATGGGCAGCAGGAGGTCAGGAGGGGAGCAACCTGCCTCACCCCCTCAAGAAAAGGGAAGAGGGAGCCATGGTGTCCTCCCAGGTAACAGGCCATAGGGAGGGGGAAGAAAGCCTCTCCGCCCCCCAATGTTTGCCTTGATGCTCAGCACACTATCCCAAGCAAAACAGGCAGAAAGAGCAAGAGAGGAAGGAAGGAAAAAGCCTCTGACCGCGGCTCGCCCCCAAACCTATTGACCTCTCGGCTTATCACTGCCTCGGAGGAAGGCGAGAGAAAAGGCAGAGGTAGTTGCCCACTTAACAGGGCAGGGCCAGAAGCCAGTGGCACCTTTTCTCCGCCCCTGAGCCTATTGGCGCTGCATCTCCGCCGCCGAACTTAGAGAGAGCTGGGAAAGCCCTTCTGCAGCCTCAGGGCCGCATTCCGGCCCCCTCCGGGAGCACCTATCCCACTTGACAAGGGCGGGTCTCTCCCCCTCACCCTCAGAGAGGCACGAGGGGGCAGAGAGAGGCTGCTTCCCCCCTCCCCCGGTCTCGCCCTTTACGGAAAGCGCTGGGAGGGGGCGTCCGCCCCGGAACCAACTGCCCCGGCTCACCGCGCCGCCCGAGTCCGGCCCCTCAGCACGCGCCGCCCGAGTCCGGCTCCGTCAGCGGCAGAGGTGGCCCGGCTCCCTCCATGGCAGCGGAGGCCCGGGGGCCGAGGAGGAAGGACGGGCGGACGGAGGGAGACCAGGAAGGGAAGAGGCGTCGCCGCTGCCGCCGCTTCCTCCGCCGCCGCTGCTGCCCGAACTCCTCGCTACGTCACCAGCGGCCGGCCCGACATTATAAATAACTTCAGGGGCATCCTCCTCCTCCTCCTCCTCCTCCTCACGGCGCAAGAGTCGGCCACTGCGCAGGCGCACGCTTCGGAGTGGCGCGCACTGCGCAGGCGCGCGGTAGCCCCGCCCCGCCCCCGCTCTCCAAGAGCCGAGCGGCTTCTCGTTTTGCAGCTAAAGAGCGTCCTCGCCACGGCGACTCCGCTTCTGCGCACGCGCCGCATGCCGACGCTCTTTCCAACTCCTCCTCTACCGCTCCCTGTTTTTTTCATCGCCATAGAGATGGGGAATGGTAGAGCGGCTGCTTCCGGTGAACATCGGAACAGGCCGTTGGCTGTTTTCGATTCTCTCACAAGGATAAAAAAAAGAGAGGTCAAACTAATATTATACAGGCGCAGTAAAAAAATTTTTTGAAAAAAAGAAAGTCATAGGCGTATATAAAATATACACTTCCGGCAGTTAATGGCGCATGCGCTGAACAAAGTGCGTAGCTATAAAAGGCACTATAGAGATTGGAACGTGGAAGGGTGGAGTGGCGCCCTCATTATCCGTTATGTAACAATGTCCTTTATATTACGGCGTTGGAATGGAAGCCGGAAGTGAAAGCTGTGCGTGTGAAACTCTTGTTTTTCTACCTCTATATTAAGGGCCTTTAATGTTCTCTGCGCATGCACGCGCACACGAAGCGCCATTTCCACGCCGTCATTCGCAATGACGTACGCGAGCGTAGGGTGGGGTTTATGCATAGACGCTTGTGTTGGTTTACTGTAGGGGGCGTGGCCAACTCAACAGTCTCCCCCTCCTTTCTTCACCGCCTACCTCAGCGCGGATTGGCCATGCTGACCCTATGAGGCGGGCTCAAAATGACAAGCCTGCCCGCTGATTTGCAGAAATGAAACAGGCGCTTTCAAGGATCGGCGGCGAGTGGCTAATGAAACGCCTCGGACAATGGTGAATTTTTCTATGGCAACAGAAGCGTGAGGTTTTTAAGAGTCTCACTCTAAAATTTGCTGTGGTGATTTTTGAAGGAGAAAGATTACACGGCAGGGTTCATCAAGGGAACCACTGATTGGCACAACCAGGGCCAGCACTGGTGCATCATGGGATAATTGGCTTTCCTCAGAATATCTCCCTTGAGCCTCTGCTTCCCCTTGACGCAACCAGGGCCAGCACTGCTGCATCATGGGATAATCTGCTTTCCTCAGCCTCTTGGTATAGCAAATGCCTGAGTTTATGATACACACCAAAGACAGAGGTTTTTAAAATTCTGATTCAGTATAATAAAGAAAAAGTCTTTATTATTCCACAAACCTGCAAGTTATTAGCAAAAAGTTACTGCCTGCCTGCCCATATGTAGTGGTGTTAGTAACTTTGAAAGTGTGGGGAGGGCAGAGGCAAATTTGCAAAGCTCCTCCCACTGCTCACCTGGAGGCAATCCTTACCCAAAAGTGAGCAGCTGTTTTCAATTCTAAAACTGAATTTAAAAAATATATATATACTAGAACTACCAAATCACAACCTGGATAGCCATGCTTTCCTTTTAACTGCTTTCAGCCATGGCTTCTCCCACTCTTTTTTTAGCCCTCTTCCCATGCTGTCTTTCTGGGGCAAAAACATGCAGACAAGAGGAAGGAGATTAGAAGAAGGGGAGGGGGAAGCAGCTGGAGAGATCATCCCTTTTGGAGGATGCACCACAGTACATTCCCATGGAGGTAAATCATGGCATTGGGCTGTTAGGTGTCTTGTGCCCAAGCTGCATTTCGTTCAGCAAAATCTGTGTGAGGCAAGAGGATAGAAAGTCAGCCAGCAAATAAGACAAAGCTCTCTGACCTACTTTCTTCCTACGCTTTGGGAGCCCTTGGCCTTAAAACAGGAAGCGCCAGGTATAAGTGGCTCATTAATGTCTTCCTGGAGGCCTTTACTGAACCCTGCCAATCTCCTTTCCTTCCTACTCCTTTTCCAAGTCAATTAATGAAGGGACCAGTCAATTCCTTTTTGGAACTTGGTAAGTTATTGGAATGGATTTTGTCGTCTCCATATGGAAAAATGCCTGCGTGATGCCACTTCTCTTGCTGTCTTCCAATCCCTTTAAACAGACAACACAACTTTCCCCATTAGGGTGTGTGTGTTTTTAAAGGGACCCATCTGCCACCATTGCTGAGCACTGGTTGATGGGAGATGGAGTCCAGTAACATCTGGAGGGCCCCACAGGCTCCCCATCCCTGCATTATAACTAAGTTTAACCAAAATGATTGCAACACCTTGTTAATCTCCACCTGTTTCCTTCTCCTTCCCGTTGCCTCTAGGGTTGGTATCAAGGACCACTACAATGATTGGGCATCTGCCAAGGTCCCACATGCCAGGAGGATGCTCACTGCCAAAAGCCTCTTGGACCTCCTCCGCATCAGCATCATTGCAACCCACCTGTTTGCCTATCTTTTGGCCCAGGAAATGAGGGGTGGCGAGGAGGTGCAGGAAATTCCGCTGCCTGCAGGTGGGGGTGTTTTTGTCAAAACTGCAGACCTTTTTTTTTTTTGCTTTTGAGCTATTGTTTTTAAAAAATTCACCAACAAATCAACACTTCAGAAATTTTTGGAGTTCTACCATTGCCTGAGGAACACGGGTGGCGCTGTGGGTTAAACCACAGAGCCTAGGGCTTGCTGATCAGAAGGTCAGCGGTTTGAATACTTGCGACGGGGTGAGCTCCCGTTGCTCAGTCCCAGCTCCTGCCAACTAGCAGTTCGAAAGCACGTCAGCGTGCAAGTAGATAAATAGGTACCACTCCGGCGGGAAGGTAAACGGCATTTCCGTGCGCTGCTCTGGTTCGCCAGAAGCGGCTTCGTCATGCTGGCCACATGACCCGGAAACTGTATGCCTGCTCCCTCGGCCAATAAAGCGTGATGAGCGCCGCAACCCCAGAGTCGGCCACGACTGGACCTAAAGGTTGCCTGCTTGCTCAACAGCTTTCTGCCTGGCAAGCCAATGGGTGGTAGAAATGAGGAAGAGGAGAGGCAGATAACGGCAGTGAGGAGTTTGTCTCACTGAGGCGGGGTGTGGTTCATAGAAGGTGGTTTGCCCAAGGGCCCCCCAAAATCTGTGACAGACACTGTTCATCTCTGATGATATCTAGATTGTAAGGGACTGGAGGCACGGATGGTGCAATAAGTAAGAGTGATTGTCTAACATCTGCCACCAAATGCTGGCAGAGGCACAGAAAGATCCAACCGTTGAATAAGCCACGCAGTCATCCTGATATAATTACCTGTCCCATCTATGTTAGGGGCTTAGAAGTGTTTACAAGCTCCTGTGCTTTTTGCTGGCATGCTCCAATGTTAGGTCAACATGTATTCCAAGATGTTTTTGAGCGAGATGGATTACCAAATAAAAGGAAAGGAACACTCCTAGGGATTGCGGCCCTAAGTCTGAAAAAGGTTTCCCACCTCTCTTGTGTAGAATTGCATCTTCAATAACTATTTTGCATTTATGCTGGGGCAGGCACACACCCTTGTTGGCCTGTGTGTTTCAAATGTTGACTAATGCGATTTTGTTGTCCTCAAAGGTAAAGAGCAAAAGACCAGGTACCCATGAACGTATGACATAAAATGACACTTTTAATTTTGCTCAAATTGTGAACAAATATAACCCCCCTCAAAAAAAGCGCAATTTTGAGTGCAAAAATATTACAAAATATAGCAGGTAGGGTGTGAGCTATTGTTTCTTCTCTCTCTCTTTCTCTCTCCCCCCCAATAGCACAATACCAGTTCTTCTGAAGACTGGTTGCTTTTATAAAAAATAAAGAGCGAAGTTGCAGAAAAAGCCATATTCTTGAAACCGGACCAAAGTATGTTAAAAAAAACAACAGAACTTGTGAATAACTTTGCAAACAACTTGTGCACGTAAACAGACAGAGGCTGGGGACAAACAGCGGATGATTCATCATCATGCTTTGCTCGGAAGCTTCCAGACACATCTGGCTGACAGCTGTTGCAAAGTGAGTGCTAGGCCAGATGGCATCTTGATCTGGTCCAGCTCAGTATTTCTTCCATAGGTTCTATCCACCCACCTCAAATTTCTTATTAGGAGAATCTGGGCTCAGGCTTCAACTCCTGGTCTAGTAGGACTTCTCATATATAGCAGCCTATAGGGATAGATGAGTGCAGTCTTCCCAAACCTGGCACACACACACACACACACACACACACACACCAGATGTTTGTAGGAGATTTATGCAGCCAAATCTGCATAAATTGTGCATAATAGTAAGAAATGTGTTAAGGATCACAGAGTTCTTAAATGCTAAAGAAGTTTCAGATTGGTCCTATGGCAAGGGATAAAATAAAGGTTGTTTCCTGTCCTTTCTCTCTCTTATTTTTGAACTATATAACTGACCAGATGCATAAGGCTGGAGCTCCTAAGCCCAGACTCCATGTTTGAAGATACTTTTCATATTTTTGTACTCATGAAGTTTTTATCTGTGTTGTTTCTGCTGTAGCATTGAGTGAAACCGCTGATTATTGTAAATAAAGCATTTTAGCTTACTTAAGTTTGTGGTCTATTCACTCCTAGAAGCAAACTTAATACTGGGACATTTTAAAGGTCTAACAACCTAGATTTCCCCACACATTACAAACACTGCATGTATTTCTGTTTTAAACTCTGCTGAAAGGGTTTTTGGCTAGAGAGTGAGTCAGGGCCCGCATGCTTTTTGAATTCAGGCAGACATCCATTTTCCTTTTGCAGTTTTTGCATGTGGGAGTTCAGGATTAATTGGTATTCACCAGTTATTTTCCCAGGCCATATCTGCCTCCTCCTCGGCAGCCCTCCCCAATGCCACCTCTATCGCGACCTCTTGGTGAATAGGAGGTGCTGCTGGTCTCCCACCCTCGTTCCCAACATAGATCTTTACACACACACACCCTTATTCACTCACACCTTCTTCCTGGGAGGAAGCACCACTTTGTGGCTTGCCTCAGGTACCAAAATGTATTGGGCCAGCCCTGAGAGAGAGAATGAGAGAGAGAGAGGAAGAGGTGTGTGGCCAGTCCATTCACAACAACGTGATCTCGCTCGGAGGGAGCGTGAGTCGCTTTTCACGGGCGTGCAGCAAGCTCTCCATGTGGGTGGCGATTACTCGGCAAAGCTCCAGGCCCTGGAGAGGAAAGGAAAGCAAGAAGGTGGATGGTGATTTGACGTTAGTTGAGACGCTGCCGTAAAAGATACTAGCTCCACTAAGCAGGGCTTAGAAGGAATTAGATGGGTGTCAGATCCAGCAAAAGCTCCCCGTTAATTCTTTTTGGTTTTTTGGTCCCCTAACATGGTCTCGCTAAGGTAGCAAGGCAGTTCATTCTAAGAAATTCATAGAAACCAAAACAATACTACAGTGGTACCTCGCAAGATGAATGCCTCGCAAGACGGAAAACTCGCAAGACGAAAGGGTTTTTTGTTTTTTGAGCTGCTTCGCAAGACGATTTTCCCTATGGGCTTGCTTCGCAAGACGGAAACATCTTGCACGTTTGTTTCCTTTTTCTTAACACCGTTAATACAGTTGCGACTTGACTTCGAGGAGCAACTCATAGCACGCGGTGTGGTAGCCTTTTTTTGAGGTTTTTGAAGACTTTGGTGATTTTTGAAGCTTTTCCAAAACTTTTCCGACACCGTGCTTTGCAAGACGAAAAAAATCGCAAGACGACAAAACTCGCGGAACGAATTAATTTCGTCTTGCGAGGCACCACTGTAATTATGAGATGCATAGATACTAAAGGTTTGCGCAAGACGCCTTCTTAGCCATCACTATCTGTTGGCGTTATCAAACCTCTGCACAGTGAAACTGCCTGTTTACAAAATTTAAAATGGGGGCACCAGACTGATTCAAGTTGATCTTTCTGTTAAGAGACTCTAATAACACTGAAATGACAAGGAAGGCGTTCAGAGGGTGTCGTTGACCATATCCTGCCCATCCAATCTTTTTTGGAGAAATTTAAGCACAAAGTCATTTCAGATCCTCATCTTTACTTTTTCAAAGCCTTCCATGGCCTTGCCCTCCCCTTATGTCTCTGCCCTGATATCCTGATATCTCCTTGCCAATGACATTCACTACTCCCAAGCTTTAAAAGGCCAAGGAACAACCTGAGCTCAGCAAACTTGTGTATGGCTTTTTCGAGATCTGAATACCAACTTTGCATGGTGCAATTGTGGTGGCTAACAGATGAAGTTACGAGTCACCAGTTTGAATCTCATTTTTTGCATATATTTACCTACCTTGCAGGGCTGTTGTAAATATTACAAAATAATTTGTGCAGAGTGCTTTGAACACATGAAAATGCAATACACTGGTATTTTAAAAAAATAAGTTTTATCATCCCAATTGCATGCTACCTACCATCGGAAGGTTAAGCTTCACAGAGCCAGTGGAAGGAGACAGGAGAAGACAGAGGAGACAGAAAGAGAGGGGAGGGGAGGAGAATGATGTGAGTTAAGCATATTTGCAGAGTTGCATCATATTTCCAACAAAGTCTAAATGTGCATAATAAATTATAAAGCTTATGCTAGATTCTGAAAATGTCGATCAAGAAGCTCTGGTGCGCAGCACTGTAATGTGCCATGAGTTTTTATTTAGGCCAGGAGTCTAAATAAAATCCAAATAAGCAAATGCTTTCTGGATGCAAAGAACAAAACCAAACACCCTACTCAAATATTTTCCCAATCAGATTTTTGTACAAATGAGCTTGCCAGTCTGAATTTAAAGGCGACAGATCCACAAAGGGAGATGCAAGGTCATCCCACCGATACATTTTGCTAGAATTCTCACAACTATTTGCTTTTTCCTGGACTTTCCACAGGATTTCAGGCAAAGGAGGACCCTGAAAATCGGCTGTGGGGTAAAATCTGCTTTGCTGTAACACCTTCGGGGGATGTATGGATGCCACCCTCTCTCCCTTGAGAAATGCTATGAATCTCACCAAATCAGCTCCAGCTTCCCTCAAAATTCCTAGGATGTTTTGCCCAAGGTGGAATTCTCAAAGTCACCCCAGATCTAACTTCAGGTGAAAATTCGGTGTTGCCCCTAACTCCTCAGGCCTGTCTAAGTGCATCTTGCTTGGCTCATGCCATGAGGCTGGCTCATTAGGACGAATGCAGTACAGGCTTATCTCTTTGGGCCAATGGGGCCAATACATTTCGGTACCCGAGGCCCCACCAAGCTCAGCTTCCCTCAGCCAAGCTCCACTTGACTACCTCCTTGACTATCTCCTTGTCAGCTTCTTCCAGTATACCTGAAGGAGCCTCTCCACCCCCATCATTCTGCCGGGCACTGAGGTCCAGTGCCAAGGGCCTTCTGGCGGTCCCCTCGCTGCAAGAAGCCAAGTTGCAGGGAGCCAGGCAGAGGGCCTTCTCGGTTGTGGCGCCTGCCCTGTGGAATGCCCTCCCGCCAGATGTCAAAGAGAACAACAGCCGACATCTGAAGGCAGCCCTGTTTAGGGAAGCTTTTAATGTTGAATAGACTATTGTATTTTAATATTCTGTTGGAAGCCGCCCAGAGTGGCTGGGGAAACCCAGCCAGATAGGCAGGGTATAAATAAGAGATTATTATTATTATTATTATTATTATTATTATTATTATTATTATTATTATTCCTCGGCATCAGTATTGCCTTTGCAGAACGGAGGAGGATAGGGACAAATCCAGAAATAATTGGCTCCACCTGTTGTTCCGCCTACTGCCTGGACTCCCTGCCTTCCACCCTGGCAGTTCCAAGGGTACCAATCACCACTGGCCGCGGGGGAATTATGCTGTATCAGGACAGGCATTTCCCTGCTTTACCTGTTCCAGCTGCAGCTGCGTGATCCTTTGGGACATCAAGCCCCCCAGCATGATCTCTACGTAGGGGTAGCTGGATCCAGCCGAGGGCCGTTGGGTGCGTGTGGACTGGATCTCTTTCAGAGAGAATGTCACAATGGGTTCCTGGAAGAGGAAGGAAAGAGCCGTGTTGTAGCTGCTAGTGACTTGTGGAAGTCAGCTGTTAGTTCGCCACACCTCAACCAGTAGAGTATGTGAAACCCCAGCAGAGTCTTCAGAGATTTCCTGCTCCCAGCAACACAGCTTCTTCCAGAGTCCCTGGTAAATGGAAAAACTCCTTTCCCTTCATATACACTTAATAAAACTTAATAAAAAGCATATTTTTTTAAAAAAAGAAAAACTCCTTTCCCCTGCAGTTCAAAGGAATGCTTTGTTTTTTGTATCCAGACACAAGACAAAGCTGAACCCTACTATCTACTATAAACAGTTCTTCTGGTCTTTGAAGTAAAGACACATATATGTACAGAGATCCACTAACACTGTCACTGTTAAGTTGTGGGCGAACATATCAGACGACACAGCGATTCTTCCAAAGCAGCTCTTTATTGTAAGCTGGAACAGAACTAACTGAGGAGCTCAGTCAGCCTGCTTATGTAGAGCTCCAGAACAATGTAACTGTTGCCATTTTCTAAAGCTATCCAATCACTGAACGTCACTTTTCGATCCTTCATTTGCATACAAACTATCCAATCACTGAACGTCACTTTTCGATCCTTCATTTGCATAACTATCTACAGTATCCCCCTGCTGGCCCAGGGCGAGAACTTCAGTACATAACAGTCACCATGCTAGCTTATGCTGCTGTGCAAAACCCACAGCCTCTTCCCTTGACTCGCACAGATTCAGAGTCAGACCCCGACAGCATCAGGACTTGCAACAGGACTTGCTGTCGTGGGCCAGGAGTCAGCTTCGCCTGCTGAACAGCAGCCTGAAAGGGGGATGGGACAATCCACAAAACCTACGTGGGTTTCCTTGTTCAGGAAGTTGAGTCCATTCTGGTTCACTGCCAGGATGCAGGGGGAGATGATGGTGTTGTTGCTGCAGCTCTGGATGTAGAAGAAGGACGAGCCGAACATGGGGAAAGCGCTCAGGAGCCCTGGAGGTGGGGGGGGGAGCGGAATTGGAATGAACTGCAACACCACCATTATTGTGAAATACGGTATTACTGGGGCAAGAGGCAAAGGGGTCCTTTGCTCAACTTCAGATTGAACTGGAGAAAAGGGTTTTCCCCCCCTTCTGGAATTAAGAGTGTAAGAAAAGCCTGTTGGATTCAGACAATGGCCTCTCTAGCCCAGCGACCTGCTCTCGCATGGCTAACCAGATTTGCAGCTAGGCTATATAACTTCTTGTGGGCCGGTAACTTTTCTTGCCTCAATTATAAAGCAGAATGTGCATGTTTTACTATAAACATTTCCAGCACATTCTGGGCAGTGCCGGAACAAAACCAGCTGCCTTAGAGGAATGATTTTGCTCACCCGATGGAGGAGGAGCTTTGTTGTGTGTGTGTGTTTTCACTGCTGCAAGATGTGCCAATGATTGTCACTAGTTAAGATGGCTTTACAACTGTACCTTGGTTTGCGAACAGCTTAGTTCACGAACGCTGCAAACCCGGAAGTGACTGTTCCGGTTTCCGAATGATTTTTGGAAGCTGAACATCCGACGGGGCTTCCGCAGCTTCCGATTGGCTACAGGAACTTACTGCAGCCAATGAGAAGCCGCGCTTTGGTTTTTGAACGTTTTGGAAGTTGAACGGACTTCTGGAACGGATTCCGTTCAACTTCCAAGGTACGACTGTAGAAGGAGATTAGACAATCCATGAAGGAGGAAGAAATCTAACACCACCTATTTGCCATGATCCCTAAATAGAACTTTCACTTTTGGGTGCAGTGAAACTCAGTTTGTTGCCTCCTTCATATACTATCTTGGAAGTATCTGACTGGCTGCTCTTGGAAATGGTGCTGTGTCAGATGGACCTGCCTTTGTCTAATCCAACAGGGCCTTTTCTTTATTCAAGTTCAGGAGTGGAGAACCCCACCCGCACCCCATCCAGTAGGCAAGGTGCTCTAAGCTAGATTCCACCTGCTCTCTGGGTCCTAGCGCTACCTGCTCAGTGTGGCGAGAAAAGGGCTTTGCTGCTGTACTATGTGAGTTAACTGTAGCTTCTTTCTCTGCAGGAGGATCTGTTGCAAGGAGATCATTCCAGCAGATTTGTGCTCCTTGCAAAAAGGAGCTCATGCATTCTGCAATTGCATGCACATAATTTTTGGGATGCAAGTGCATTTTGAAGCTTGAGGCTTTAAACAGCTGTAAGGCAGGGCTTGCAGCTCAGATGTGCAGCGTTCTGCTGGGATTGCTGAGTTTTTTGTGCCTTTTGTGCAGTCGGGGCAGATGAATGGTGAGCTTTTTATTTATTTTGCTTTTTTAAACAAACAAACTTTGTAGAAAGAATTGAAGAAAATGGAAGGTGAACCTTGAGTGGAGTTGCTAGGTAATAAATAAATAAATGCCTCTTTGACAATGGGAAATAACTTTGTGTATGTGAGTGGGTCTGGCCTGCCCACTAATTGAATGTGGCCCCTGATAGCTTTCTACTGGACTGATGTGGCCCTTGGCTCGAAAAAGCTTCCGCCCTACTGCACTGGTTCAACCAAGGCATCCAGTCCCTTTTATTATGGTTCATTTCTTTAACTTTAGCCGGTCGGCACTGTTTACGTGGGCAAGACCTTCCCAGTGCCATGCCCTGGGTCAATTAATGCCACTTCCTTGAAAGCCAACGTCTTACCTAGGAACTGCGCCCGAGCTTGGTGGGCACTCAAGGCCTGGGCTTGCTGCAGGTGGTGCATGACCATGTCCAGCCAGGACTGGGCCTTCTGCAGATGGTAGAACTGCGGCGGGATGTAGTCCTGAACCTCCCGCCTGGGATGGGGAAGCAGAAACAGAAGAAGAGAAGAAGTCATAAACCACCTCGGATGGACTGCAGAACCAGAAGCCGTCCTGCTGTTACTGGACTACAGCACCCACCATCCTTGACTACTGGCCATTGTGGTTGGGGCTGATGGGATTTGGAGTCCAACAACATCTGGAGGGCAGCAGAATGGAGAAGGTTGCCTTAGACAGCTTCAAAACAAGATGCTTCATGCAATTAAAATTATTTCAGTCAGGACAGTTTCCCCCAACCCGGAGGCTTCCGGAAGTTGTTGGACTCCAACTCCCATCATCCACTACTGCTGGTCTTGTTTGCTGGGGCTGATGGGAGTTGGAGTCCAACAAATATCAGGGTGGCCTGGTTGGTAAAAAGAAATGCATATTGCAAAGGCCTGTGCAGTTATGTTGTTGTTGTTGTTTAGTTGTGTCCGACTCTTCGTGACTCCATGGACCAGAGCACGCCAGGCACTCCTGTCTTCCACTGGAGGTCTAAAAGGAGAAGGGGAAGGCATCTTGCCAAACCTCTACTGGCAGGAAGTTCCACAGGGCAGAACCTGCCACAACCATGGCTTGATCCTGAGTAAAGGCCGACCAGACCTCAGGGGCTTGGGGAGCCATCCAAGAGGGCCTCGGTGCATAGCTGTCAACCTTCCCTTTTATTGTGGGAAATTCCCTTATTTCAGCGCCATTTCCCGCTGCTATCCCGGATTGTTAGATAGCCCATAGACTGTCTCCGGGGCAGGTGAGGCTGCTGATCCCTTATTTTCAAATCTGAAAGTTGACAGCTATGCCTTGGTGATCGAGGCAGAGCATAAGAAGCAGTTCCCTAGCACCTGCCAGCTCAGAATTGCTTCCTGTTTGGAGGGGGGACATGTCCCCTTTTTGCCCTGTCCCCGCAGCCCCCTAACCTACAGGGCACCTACACGGTAGGCAGGTAGAAGCTGTCCTTTGCTCGGTGCTGCAGAGCAGCCAGCTTGGAGACTTGCTGGAACTGTTGCTCACTCGGCCTCATGGGAGGGAGAGTGTTGAAGAGCCCCTTGAGATAATCAGGGAGAACCTGAAGGAACGAGAGGAGGAGTCATAAATACGAATAATAATTAAGTAGCATTTGGAGCTTCCAAATATTTGAAATGCTGTATATACTACGATCTCGTAAGGTGGAATCTTCATGGATTCCGCTACCGTGCAGAGGAGCTGTTCCTTAGCATGTACCTTGAGAAATGTCACAGACTACTTCCTGCCTTTGACATGGCACCCAGTTCAGGAATTTTATTGAGTTATACATCTTTCTAATCACTGTTTGAAATACTTCCTTCCTCTCTATAGCCATGTGTGCATACATTATGTGTATTTATTATTTATTTATTTATTTATTTAGATTTCTATATTGCCCTTCATCCGAAGATCACAGGGTGGTTTATGTTGGGATTACAGTGGTGCCTCGCAAGACGAAAAGAATCCGTTCCCCGATTCTTTTCTTCTAGCGGTTTTTTCGTCTTGCGAAGCAACCCCATTGCCGGCTAAGCGGATTAGCGCTATTAGCTGCTTAGCGGGCTTAGCGGCTAAGCTGTTAAAAGGCTATTAACAGCTTAGCCGCTTTGAAAAAGGGGGGGAAAGCGGGGGGGGGGGGGGAAATGGCGAGACTCGCAAGGCGTTTTCGTCTTGCGAAGCAAGCCCATAGGGAACTTCGTATTGCGAAGCGCCTCCACGACGGAAAACCTTTTCGTCTAGCGGGTTTTCCGTCTTGCGAGGCATTCGTCTTGCGGGACACCACTGTACACTCCTCCCGTGCTGCAGATATGTGGGATTGTTACATGTCACATGTCTGTTTACATTCCAGCACAGATTGCTGGAGTCCCATGAGCGGAACATCTGCTCTGTATTGCTTTTGTTTTCCTTCTCTCCGAGAAGAATGACAAGGAGAGAGGCCACGTTTTTCTTTGTCCTGATTTATGTGTAATAAATGCGTAGTATAGTACAGTATCCACGCCTCAAGCCTGATCTGTTGTGTGTTTACTCTGCTGAGTAATGTGTGCTCTTGCATGCACAGCAGCTTGAGTTGCAGATGCATGTCGGAGGAGGATGACTGATGGATCTCCGCAGCGGCAAGGCTGAGATGGGAGACGCTCCGGCTGGGGTCAAGCCAGCTGGCTTTTCATCCCACGGTTCCGACAGTTTAGAATATCAAAACACAAAAATACAGGGTTTCCCAAACTTGGGTCTCCGGCTGTTTTTGGACTACAACTCCCATCATCCCTATCTAATAGGAGCAGTGGTTAGGGATGATGGGAACTGTAGTCCAAAAAGGCTTAGCGGGGGGGGGGAGAGAAAGGCCACTTCAGAGTCTCTGACCAACTCGAACCAAGTAAAAATAGGCTGCAGAGTCACTGGTCGACCTGTCCTAGTCAAAAAGGTCTTCCTGCCCAAACAAATGTCACCATCACCAAGACCTGGAAGGAAACCTACCTATGAGTCATTTTGAGAAGGAACAAGATGTGCACTCGGCTGCTCCTCTCTGAAAGCTTTCCCTTTTCTTTGCTGCAAAGGTCTCACCTGATTGTAGTGCATGGTGACATAGAGCTCATTGTCAAACTTCAGCGGCTGGGCCCAGATGACGCGCCGATACCAGAACATGAAGCCGCTGTCCACGTTTTCCATTTCCAAGGCAACATCAAGGATGTACTCCTTTTTGTTCAAAGGCCGAACATTCTGATCTGCATGGGCGAAATGGCACGGATCGGATTTTTAATGCAGCCTGGTTTCCTGGTGAAGTGGGTGGCTGCATTCACCTGGTGTACAGTCTGGCCCCCCTAGCTTCCAAATATAGACTGGTGATTTGCTAAAGGGGTGTGTGTGCAAACTGCTCTTTTCCTACACAGCCAAAAGGATGGTTTTACAGCCCTCTACCAACAGGTGGTGGTAGACACTTTCCAGATAAAGTCCGGCATCTCAAAAAGAAATAACATTTCAGGTGCAACCGGGTGAATTTTCACAAGCAAGAATGATAATAATGCCTATAAAATCATACGCCTGTTGTCCTACTGAAACAACATATGACAGGCAATAAATTTATCCGAATTTGGTCATTTTTGTGGCAGTGACTCTTTAGAACTCAGGTGTCTGTGCAAATCCACCCACGAAAGCCAATGCACATATTATTGGGGTGCTGCTAGGAAGCCTCATAGCAAAGTTATTGAAATGGTCAGTTTTTGGGGGGTTGGGTAATTTCGGGGTATATTCATGGAGGATGTGTTCCACCTCTGCTGTTGCTGTTGGAGGTGGTATGACTCTGAATACCAGTTGTAGGGAACACAAGTGTGGGAGAGCATTGTTGCACTCAGATCCCATCTGCAGGCTCCCATAAGCGTCTGCTTGGCTCCTATGAAAGGAGGGTGCTAGACCAGATTGGCCTTTGGTCTGATCCAGCAGCCAGACTCTTCTCAGGCGCTTATAGTCCACCAGGAGATTAGTAAACCTAGTTTAAGTTGGCAATGTGATCCGATCCTGAAATTGGTAGTTTGAACTGAAATAAAAAATTAAGGTCTTAGATATGTAATAAATGTTCATAAATGTACCACGCAAACGTACAAAAATATATACCATATTTTTCGCCCTATAGGACGCACTTTTTCCCCTCCAAAAATGAAGGGGGAATGTGTGTGCGTCCTATGGGATGAATGCAGGCTTTCACTGAAGCCTGGAGAGCGAGAGGGGTCGGTGTGCACGGACCCCTCTCGCTCTCCAGGCTTCAGGAAGCTCTCCACAAGCCTTGGGAGCTCCACAGGAGTTCCCATCGGGCTCCCAAGGCTTGCGGATAGCAGCCTGCATCCCGAAGCCTGGGGCGCGCTGCACAGTGCGCCCCGGGCTTCGTGCAGATATCGGGTAGCCCCACAAGCTCGGGGGACAGCGGGGAGGCGGAGCGCCGTCATCCCGCTGTTCCCCGACCTGCTTTGGATTCCCCGACCTGGTTTTGGGGGGGAAATAAAGGGGGGGATTTCCTTTCTTCCCCCCCCAAAAAAAACAAGGTGCACCCTATGGGCCGGTGCGCCCTATGGGGCGAAAAATACGGTAAACCACATGTCTGAAACAGCACAGGAAAACAGCCATGAAGCCATTTTTGGCTCCCAAGCTGACCAAATGTTTTCTCTGCAAAGTCAAAGGAAAATGGAAAAGTCTCCCCATTGTCTTTTCTTTCACAAATCCTGTCTTAAGGGCATGTCTGTGTTTGAATAGGGTGAGCCTGTGAGTTGGCTCAGGAACTAAGTATTTATCATTACAAAAGACTGGCCAGGCTCCCCAGGGTATCCAATCAAGTAAGCATTAACAGGTAACCTGCCAGACAGGAGGTAAACAACTCAGATTTCTGGTAAACAACGCACTCAGATTTTCTGTTGTAGACCACCCCTTTCTGTGATGTAGGCATGATGTGTCTGGGGGGTGGTCTTGAGCTACACCCCTTCTGTGATGTATGTATGATGTTTCTGGGGGTGGCTTTGGACTCCAGGGCGGGCAATTTAAAATGTCTATATAAGGGCGGGCACACCTAGGTTCTGGGTCCTCCTCCTGTGTGTGAAGGGAGCACCCTGTTGCAACAGTTCAATAAAGATCAGGCTTACTAGCTGCTTTGCTTCTCAATATTCTCTGGTTGGCCTCTGTTCTTTTCTCCGACCGATGGAGAACCCACAAAGGACTCTATAAAGGCTCTTGTGTCCCCCATAAGGGAATAAGAGCAGATTTTCATTTATTACAGAACAAAATACAGGGAGTGGAACAATACGTTTAATCCTGGTCTTTGGACTGAGGGATTCTCTCCTCTGGGGCCCAGCGGGACTCACTTCTGTTGGCGACAGCAAAAATGATGTATTCGTCAAAGGCCTCAGGGCGGCGTAGTCCCATCTCGTAGCATAACTCCTCTATCACATCCAGCGCAACCTGGAAATGCAGGTGAGGGACAGAGAAGTTGAGTCACAAATGACCAGGTACATATTCTGGTATGTGGTTCGCCTGTCTGCTTGTCTGCCTGCCTGTTCGCTATGGGTTAGAGTGTGGGAAAATGATTGCTTGTACATGAGAGCATGAGCAAAGTTCTTATTGTTACAGGGTGATTTCATAGCTAGAAGCATCCTTGGAGCATGAACAGCGCGTGAACAGCTCGTGCTGTCCCATATGATTGGCTAACGTAGCATGGCCTGATCGCTCGCATGGTCTAGTACGAAGGTCTTTATCTGCTGGCTGAGAACAAATTGCTTTGCTTGTATTTTTTGTATCTTTCTGATTTCACACATTTCACACAATAAAAGCTGTGCTGCATTAGCCCTAGGAGCAGCCATATTTCGGAACCTATCATGGTGTGAGACTGATTTTCCTCTGAATGCCGAGCTGCAACTCAACAATTGGTGCCCCGTGTGATTGCCTTCGGACTTCACGTTGTTTTTCATTATTCAGCACTCACCAACACGTCGTTCATCCACGTAGTGGATCCCTGGTGAGTGCTCCCGTGTGATTGCCTTCGGACTTCACGTTGTTTTTCATTATTCAGCACTCACCAACACGTCGTTCATCCACGTAGTGGATCCCTGGTGAGTGCTCCCGTGTGACTGCCTTCGGACTTCACGTTGTTTTTCATTATTCAGCACTCACCAACACGTCGTTCATCCACGTAGTGGATCCCTGGTGAGTGCTCCCGTGTGACTGCCTGTTTTTCATTATTCAGCACTCACCAACACGTCGTTCATCCACGTAGTGGATCCCTGGTGAGTGCTCCCGTGTGTACAACGTTCAGCTCTCACCTCGCCCGGCAGGGCTGCAGACGCGTCGTTCATCCACGTAGTGGATCCCCGGTGAGAGCTCCCGTGTGAATGTGATTCTGGACTACGTTACGGACTTATCAGCACTTATCTCCGCCCGGACAGGGCAAAAGGCGCCTTCCTCATCCTCCTACGGATCCCTCCAGTAAGTGCTCCCTGCTCTTTTTGCAACTCTTGCAATCATGGGAAAATCTCTCTCTGCACCACAGAAAAATTTTTTTAAAGACCTTAAATTCCTTTTGGCCAGTAACAACCTTGCTGTTCGGAAAGCTGACCTTAAGTCCCTTATAAAAGCCCTGGACACTCACTGTCCCTGGTTCCCCCAGGACGGAAATTGGGAGTTAGACGATTGGAAAAAAATTGGACACTTCTTTCAAAATCATCCTCAGATTGATGTCAAGGTTTTGCACGCCTGGAGTAACGTCTACAAAGCTATGTCGTGCTTAACTCCTTCAAACATTCTTCTGGCTGCCGCAACAGCTTCTTCGCCCGCCCTCCCAGCTCCCGCTTTGCCTGCCTCAAACCTACCTCCTAAACCGCCGGACATTCTCCCTCCGGCTTCTCCCGTCACTCCCCTGCATTCTTCAAATTCTGCAGCACCCCCCGTTCTTCCACCTCCTGCGCCCAAGGCCTCTGGCACCGCTTCTACTACTCCTCTCCAAGAATCTCTCCGCGCCGCTGCCCCATTGTTGGGTTTTGATTGTACAACTCCTAATTTCTTCCCTGTGATTGCTCCTGCCGCGCCAGGGGGAGGCCCAGCCCGGCACGAACAGTTTGATTTGAGATTCATAAAGGAACTGTCTTCTTCTGTCAAGGACAATGGCCCTGCACCCCCAGCCCCTGTTATGCTGAACCAAACTGATGTTCTTGATGGCTTAACTGGCGAAGGCAATTTTCTTACTATTGCCCAACAGTTGGCCCTTGATCCCATGTATTGGACAGCTACTACTGCTGCCGCCCAAGAAGCTTTGTCCTCTGTTCCTGATGACAAGAATGAGCGCGGTGGCAGCATCAGACAGGGTCCTACAAAGCCCTATGGACAATTTGTCGATCGCTTGGATAACACTCTTAAGCGGCAAGTTCAGGACGTAGCAGCCCAAGAACTGATTGTCCGCCAGCTTGCGTTTGATAATGAGGACTGTAAGCAAGCGCTGCGCCCTTTGATGACAACACCAAATATAGTCATTGCAGATGTGCTTAAAGCCTGCCAGTCAGTGGGCACTGAGATGCACAAAGCTCGCCTGCTAGCCACGGCTTTGTCCTCCACCGTGCCCCAGAATCCTGCAAAGGATAAAACCTGCTTTGGATGTAGCAAAGTGGACTATTTTCGTGCGCAGTGCAGATCTACCGCACAGCAACATCACTCCAGCACAAAGTGCTCCATCTTTGATACAGGCCAGGACTTGTCAATTTTCTGAAGCACATCTTAGATCACATATTGGTCACCCTGGTTATTTGGCAACAGGAATTTTACGCCTGCTGAACTTCATTTCTGGAAGGAAGAAATATTGCAGCGTCCTTTAGTGTCATACAGGTTGCTTCCAGATCCACAGTGGAAGGGTCCAACTTCTTTGATCTCACCTGACCTCAACCTGCACTGCAATTGGAGACATCGCCATATTGATGTGCCCTGGATAAAGTCACCTTCCACAGCTGTTCCAGTGTTTCTTGGCACGTTGAAAGACCATCTTCATCTCCACCGCATTGGCCCCCCTTTTCCCTGGGAAGCCACTTCAACCATCAAATATCATTACAGTTTTGTTGCCTCTTGTCTGGGAAATGAGCCTGGCTTTGAAGGATGCCCTCGCCGGACCGGCATCACTTGGATTTTACCCCCCAGATTTTTTTTCCTCCTCCCTCAGGAGTCCTGCCCTATGATGTGTTCCCCTGAGCATGTACAGAAAGCTGTCTTGGAACTATTGTGGACTCTTGGCAAGGGAGGGGGTGAAGGATTTCAGTGTGTTCCAGTTGTTTCATTTTTGTGCTTTGGCATGGTTCCCGGACAGAAAGCAAGTTGCAATATGGTTCTTCAGCAAGGCCTGGAAGACAATGGACTCTGTTCTCTACCTTGTTGCAATTTTTTTTAGTTACAGCAAACAGCATATGCTTAGCTACTGCCTTTTAGCTGCTGAGAAAAATGATTTTGAAAAGCTTTGAAAAGTTTTGAGCTTGTTTTGGTGGTGGTATTCCAGTAAATGCTTCATATAAGATTAGCAATAATATGAAGGATAATCGTATAAGTTTAATCCCTGTTTTTTTTATCGCTTATAAAAATAATGTCTTATTGTTTTCATTTTCTCAGCCAGCAGATAAAGACCTTCGTACTAGACCATGCGAGCGATCAGGCCATGCTACGTTAGCCAATCATATGGGACAGCACGAGCTGTTCACGCGCTGTTCATGCTCCAAGGATGCTTCTAGCTATGAAATCACCCTGTAACAATAAGAACTTTGCTCATGCTCTCATGTACAAGCAATCATTTTCCCACATTAGAGTGTCTTTGGTTAGACGATATCTCGTCATAGCTGTCAACTTTTCCCTTTTCTTGTGAGGAATCCTATTCGGAATAAGGGAACTTCCCTTAAAAAATAGGGAATGTTGACAGCTATGTATCTCGTATCATTGCCAAACTTGTCATGTGGCTTCCCAATGCGGTCTTTGTCTGTGTTTGGATGCGGGACACCATTTTGAAACAAGATGGTGGACCAAAACATGACTTTGCCATGACTTCGGCCAAACGGACGTGGCAGTTACAAATGAGGTTTCCTGAGGTGGAGGAGGTAGGTTTTAGCTATGTTTGGATGCCTTCAGATGCAATATATTGCTGTATGTGAGAGAGATACAGTGTGTGCACACACAGCCCCAAAACTCTAATTTATACTATCCATTTAAAAATAACAATAGGTTTCTTAGAATTCCTGGGTGGCACCGGACACTTTCTGCTAGTTTTAAATAATGCCAAAGTTCATAAGCAAGGAATACAAACTTTGAAACCATACAGATCTCTTCTGCAAGCTAGATATTTTTTTTTAAGAAGATGGAAGGAAAAGATGGTTCTGAGAAAGGGCAAGACGCTAATCCCCACCTTGAATTGTTTTAACATTTGATGATGGTAATGAAGGAAGCTCTTGCAAGCTGATTAAGTCACAACTGTTCTGTTGGCCTGGAGGGTCAACATTTGGCTCCTGGGCCTGAAATTCCCTTTCCCTGATCTCTGGGGATGAGAGATCCTTCCTCTTCCACTCACCGAACAAGTTTTGATCTTGAGGTGCCTCTCAATGCCTCCCGGTAAGAGGAACAGCTGCCGCTTGGAGCTCCTTCCAGCCTTGGCAAAGGAAGGAAGGAAGGAAAGACAAAGTTCATGGGTCATAAGTAAAAATGGAGGAGAATTCTGCATTTTAAAGTAAACTAACTTATTTCATAATCTCCGCATTTATCTCTGCAAAGTGAGAAGCAGCTAACCATCAGATCGCACACTCTTCCGAATGCTGCAGTGCACTCTTGCTTCAGAAATGTGCACCCAACAACGCGTATTTTACTGGGGATGGGATGTGTATTTTAGAAGGAAATGTGCTGAAAAGCATAGGGGGAAATGCAGGAAAATGTATATAAAATAATATACAAAACACATATTTTAAGGAAAGCATACCAAAAATGGTTAAAAATGTGTATCTTTTTCAAAAAAAAACAGGAGAAAACAGGATGGAACAGACTTAACAATTGTTGAGGGTGTGAGAAACTGGCATGGAATGGAAAGAGGCTGGTGCACCTACCCCTAATCATAAGCCATGTTTAGAGGAGGTTCAACTCCAGAAACGTATTTGCATCCCATCAGCACTGTAAATCTGGAAGATCTGAGCTCTGTGCCTCAAGGGTGCCCTCTAGACTGCAGTACCAGCCTGCCTGAGCCATCTGTCAGCTGACGCTCCAGGGCCAATCCTTGCCCACCAGGCCCTATAAAGCCCTGGTCTTAGAGCTCCCTGCTTGGTCAGAACAACTCATTGCTGGTATGAGGCCATGACATCAGCACCTGCTCCAGTACCTGGCTGTGATTACATGGCTGTCCCTCTAATGCTCTTTTGCCGCTTATTCTGGAACTCAGCTCCTTCCTGATATAATGTCCACACTTGCTTTTTCCTGCTAGGGCTGACAGCCAGCTCCCTTCAGGTTCCAGAACCCAAACAGTCAAGAACCTGAGTGTTTTCTCTGGAAATGAACCCATGCCTGCCCTAGACTATGCTAGGCATCCACTCAGGCCAGATAACAGACCTGAAAGTTGACTACTTGGGGATCTGAACCTGCTGTGAACCACAACATGGATTTGAATGCATGTGCCCCCAAAGCGGACTACTGGTGGGTCATTCCCAGTTCCCAAATCACACCACCACACCACCAGCAGACCTGTCCATAGGGCACACCAGCAGTGTGCCCAATAACTGAAACAGCATGTTAAAAAAAGGCCCATCAACATTTACAGCATTCAAATACTGTAATAGAAAACAGTTCTTAAATACAAACCACAGCACCACCCATCCCTGTTTGGAAGCCATTCTTCTTCTGGTGTAGACCCCCCCCCCCATTATATCCAGCAAAGCCCTTGTGGGACTTGCAGGGCACTCACCACCATGGCTTTGAGCTCCATGTTACTGGGGAACTCGCAGCGGCCACCAAACTGAAAGGTTTTCTGCAGGTTCTGCTCACATGCCTTGGCGATGCCTGATGGAGACCATGAAACAAATATGAGAGAGAGGCAGAGACAGAAAGTGTGTGTGAGAGAGGAAGTATCCGAGAGGAGAAGTGAAATGTGGGGCTCCAGATTTCTCAAATGCTGTAGAGAGGTTCAGCTCTCTAGACTCACCTAAGCCTGATTTTAAAGACAATGCACAGGGCAAAGCACCGGAGGCTAAAATGCCTACAGGTGCAAACAGATGCTTACTAATTGGGTGACGCCAAGCATCCCCAGTTCTACTGAACAGGGAGAAATAAAATGGGTAGAACGAATGAACAGGATGCTTTTAGTTAAAGGTACAGCAGCCCTGAAAAGCCTCAGTAGCATTTTGCCCGTGCATACTGGAGAGGCTGGCACTGCAATTGCATTTTATTTACACACACTAATAATAATAATAATAATAATAATAATAATAATAATAATAATAATAATAATAATAATAATGTATTATTTATACCCCGCCCATCTGGCTGGGTTTCCCCAGCCACTCTGGGCGACTTCCAACAGAATATTAAAACAAAATGGTCTATTAAACATTAAAAGCTTCCCTAAACACAGCTGCCTTCAGATGTCTTCTGAAAGTCTGGTAGTTGTTTTTGTCTTTGACATCTGGTGGGAGGGCGTTCCACAGGGCGGGTGCCACTACCGAGAAGGCCCTCTCCCTGGTTCCCTGTAACTTGGCTTCTTGCAGCGAGGGAACCGCCAGAAGGCCCTCGGTGCTGGACCTCAGTGTCCGGGCAGAACGATGGGGGTGGATACACTCCTTCAGGAGCCTCCCAAATGCTTAGAATCTTCAAACAGAGAACTACTTAGCCCTTAGCCCATGTGACCTTAGAAACTGGATTTTTGATGAGGCTGCCAACCAAGAGCATCCATCATTGCTGCCCGTTACTCTACTTGGTACCCCCAAATTAAGACCACTCACTCAAGGCTCCATTACCTTGAGACTCTGACCTTCCCACAACTATGCAGGGCCTTTGCAGAACTAAGATTCCAACAGATGCCCTTGTTATATTTAGAGGGGGATTCCCCATATGTGTTGCAAATGCATAAATGAATGCAATCAGGTAGAGGACATCACACAGTATCTGCTGATTTGCCCCCTGTATACAATGCCCAGAGGAAAATTTATATCGCCAATTCTTAATTGGCTTCCAGGTCGATCCGCACAGAAGCAATAGTTGAACTCCTAGCAGATAAACATCTATATATTACCCACCAGGGAGCCAAATTTGCGCTGGCAGCCAAGAAGCTCCGTTCCAGGTATGGGAATGCATTCCAATTTTAATATTTAATGCTGTGGATTTCTTTTTATGTTGCAAGCTGCTACATGCTACGTTGTAAGATCTTAGAGGAAAATGTTCCTTTTCTTCTCTGTTGTCCATTGTAAAGGCCTTTGGCTATATACAATAGAATTGACCAGACCCAAATGCTACAAAGCAGATTGGAAAACGTGCTGGAGGAGAACACAGAAAACACTGAAGCGCAACTGATATTGCTGTCACTTGGAGTGAGTGAACAAAGATGGCAGGGAGGGGGGAAGGCTGGCTTGGGGGCAGCCTGGGACGGCTATTTGCTCTTAATTATATGGAAGACTCGATTTCAGCAGTAAGTGTGGATGCACATGATTGCTTTGGCATAGAGCAGCCAGGGGGAAACCCTGCCCAGTGCCAACTTCTAGCTGATTCAGCTTGTGCTGAGCTGATGGCATATATTTGCTACCATCAGGTGCATTCAAGACTTGGCAGGCCACCGCAACCTGAAATTCACCCTGGTGCACTGGCAGATGGATTAAAAACTCTCTGCCTAGTTTTTCATGTTCCACATCTTCCAAGCTCCCAAACCTCTGTGGTACAAAGACCATCTGTGGGGCAGACACCATTCTAAGGGGGCATGCAGTGAGCTGGCATCCCTAGCTAACAGCCTAGTTTGGGGAGTGGGGAGTCATCTATCTTTGCCAATATTCCTTTCCGCTCTGAAGCCACTGGAGCCAGTTTTGGAACCTGCGTCTTTTAATGAGGAAATAGCCACCGGCTGCGACAGGTGAGCTGCCTTCCGACTGAAGCTGCCTTCTGAGAGCTGAGCAGATGGGCTCATTTCCATTCATTAATGAGCGATGGGCAGCGGCGAGGAAAGCGTCCCAAACGGGGCAGCCTGATGGATGAGGGCAGGCAGAAGCAGCCACCGTTTTCTTCCTGGGATCTAACCCTTTTCCCTGCCCCAGGAGTTGTGAAATGTTAAATTCGGATGAGCAGTCCTGATGCAAAGCAGTTTAAGGCGAAAACGGTTATAACATTTGCTAGAGGAAAACGGGAGCACTCTCAAGGCATTTGACACAAACCTAGTTTTTTATCTTGGGAAGCAAGCTACTAAATAAGTAAGTAAATAAGTAAATAAGTAAATAAAATTCTGCGAATCTCCAGCACAGCCATTCTCAATAGGGGAAAAGCTGGCTGTAGGGCGGGGGATGGGAACCTGAGATCCAGGAGCCAAATGGAGCCCCCCCCGAGGATTCCCCACACAGGGTCTCCGCAGGCCACACCCCTCATAAGGCCACGCCCCTCACCAGGCCTAGTTCATACCCCACTTGAGCGTTTTTGCCTGGCTAGGAATGTATCCTTGAACTCTGATCATGCATTTTGCTTGCCTGGGTGGAGGACAGAGAAGCCAGTGGGAAAGTGAGTGTAGAAACTGGTCTACTGAACAAAGGCAAAATTTGCATTTGTTGGACTACAACTCCCATCATCCCTGACTAGGGATCCTTCCCACTAGGGATGATGGGAATTGTAGTCCAATAATATTGGGGCTCCAAGGTTGAGAAAGGCTGACATAGCTTAATATTGTCCACAGCGGCTGGCAGCAACTCTCCAGGGTTTCAGACCAGGAATCTTTCTCAATCCTACCTGCAAATGTTTGGGGTTGAAATCTGGGGTTGCATTGCAGGGGGTTGGACTAGATGACCCTCAGAATCCCTTCCAGCTCTACAATTCTATGATTCCATGGGTTCTTCTGCATGCAGAGCAGGTGCTCCACCACTGAGGCGTGGCTCTTTCTCAGCCAGGACAGCGCATACGTAACCTTGTGACTGGTTGACCGGATGGTCTCCAGGGGTGAATCTCCCAATATCTCACCTTGGAAATGCAAGCTGGGACTGTTGCAGATTTCTTGGAGGAACTGCAGCAAATATGGTCGGAGGACTTCAGAGCATCTGTAATAGGCACTCAGGATGTAGAGCAGCCTCCAACCTTTCTGGCAGCTATCCCTGTGTGAAACCCCCCAAAGAAGGGAATTGGGGGCTGTTAAAATAGTATGCAAGAAATGCACAAATTTGGGAGCAGTTTGGAGTGCTACTATCCCTCTCTCCTCCCCCTTCCTTCCTCCTCTCCCCTCCTACAATATGTAGGGACCTTTTGACAACGGAAGCACTCTGTATCCCTGATGTGAGGACTTCTGAATCAGCATGAGTTGGGAGGGTGGTGGGGTCAGAAGAGCAGGCAGAGGAGACTCCTGATGCAATGAGGGCCAGGGGGTGGGGTGGGCACTCATCACTAGGAAGGGGGGGGGGATGGGGACGGGACAAATGCTATCCAGTTCACCTTTAACAGCAAACCTGCCCAATTTGCACTTTCTGAAACCAGGTGCAAATTGAAACGTAGCCATCCTTCAAAACTGGCAGTACTCCAAATTCTGCAGCTATGTGAAAATGCATATACAGTGGTACCTCTGGTTATGAACGTAATTCGTTCCAGAGGTCCGTTCTTAAGCTGAAACCGTTCTTATCCCGAGGGGCGCTTTTGCTAATGGGGCCTGTGGCACGCGATTTCCATTCGCATCCTGGGGCAAAGTTCGCAACCAGGAGCAGCTACTTCTGGGTTAGCGGAGCTCGTAACCTGAAGCGTTCGTAACCAGAAGCGTTCATAACCGGAGGTACCACTTTAGTAGGGTACAGTTGTAGACAGAAATGCAAATATCGGGGAAAAGAACATTTAAAAAATGTGCTACGTTAGGGAAGGTTGCATACAAAAAGGTGTAAATTATGATAAATGTGCACGGAAATGATGAATTTACATGTGGACATAATTATTCTTTCAATCTCAAACAGGTTGAAAGGAAGATAACTGAATTTAAGGTTAGAAACATTGATAATTGCATTTTTCTGGTGGTTTACGAGCTGTGTGCCTCTACTGGATAGAAGCCTCCCCCCGCCCCAGCCATCACTGTGCACAGGCCTGCGGGTTGTTACCAGAGACTCACGTACGTCTTGGTGCTGGTGTTGTCCGTGATCTGTTTGATGATCTGGCAAAACACCTCGTCCCTGATGACCTCGTGGTCTCCGCAGAGCTAGTGGAGAACCAGGAGCAAGTATGGAATTATACATGCCTCAGGGGAGTCCCAGCCCTTGCTGGCTGCTCTCGTAGCAGCCACCACTTGCTCTCTCCCCACAAAGACTTCTGGCCTGGGGAGGTGATGGAAGAGTTTGCCATAGTAGCCCGCCATTGCCAGATTTACGTATAAGCTAAACAAGCTATAGCTTAGGGCCCCACTCTCTTGGGGAACCCCAAAATTTTTAAAGAAAAAAACACCTGGATGTACATTTCCAAAATATAAGATAAAAAACAAATAAAATAAACCCTACATACAGCAACAGTGTTTTGTGTTGTGTAGGCTCCTAAGATGTAAGTAATGGCCCCGCCTGCTAGCCTGATCCCTAAAATATTACTGGTTTGCTCATTTCTATATATAGGGTGCCTACATTCTGCATGCCTATTGTCTTTGTCCATGGAGTTTTCTTGGCAGGGATACTGGAGTGGCTTGCCGGTTCCTGCTCCAGGTGGATCACGTTTGGTCAAAACCCTCCACTATGACCTGTCCATCTTGGGTGGCCCTGCACGGCATAGCTCATAGCTTCTCTGAGTAATTCAAGCCCCTTCGCCACGGCAAGGCAGTGATCCGTGAAGGAAGCTACCAGCATGTGTTTGACCAAACTGCGGAAGGCAGTGGAATACAGGAGTGCCTGACGTGCTCTGGTCCAGGGGGTCACGAAGAGTCGGACACGACTAAACGACTCAACAACAACATTCTGCATGGGCTGGTTGCATGGCAATATGTGCAAATGGCTTTAGATACCTCTTAGCTCCATAAATTGCCATATAGCATATATTCAACACAAAAAACAGCGACAATTTGTTGTTGACAAAGGACAGCTGGACAAATAAAGGGTCCCATTAGCTTCAGTAGCTTAGGGCCTCATCAAACCTAAATCTGGCCCTGTAGCCCGCCATGGCTATGACAAGCTCAGCAGCTCTGCAAATCAGAAGAGCATGCTTTAGACTACAGGTCATTAATTGGTTAATTGGCCACAGCCTGGCCTAAGGCGGTTGCAGCAGCATGATGTTTGGCTTAAAAGCAGGTATCAGGTTAGAGAAGGTTGAAGGCTGCTGCACTAGGGCTAAGGGGCAGCCCATGTTGTGTCCTTGATATGTTGTTGGATTTTAAAAGGGGGTCACCATCGTGTTGGGGCCTGTGGGCACATGTGGAAATTGGAGAAACCTTTGTGCGCACAATGCACGCACAAGGCTGCAATGGAGTGCAAGACGTAATGTTATTGTACTGGCTACAACAGAAGGCTTCTTGCAAGCCTGATTTCAGAGGAAGGAAGTGAAGCTGTGAGTGCATGTTCACCTGCGGGTGCCACAATGGTGACCTCTGGATTATAGCAGCAGCTGCACTCGAGAATGAGAATGTTTACTAGGAGAGGCCAGAGCAACCAGGCTGGCTTGGCGAGTGCAGCCCCAGTGCAGATATAAGCCCAGGAGGGAGTTCCATCAGCTCCAGACTTCGCTGGAGCTTGTTTCTGCGTTGGCTCCACAGGTTCCATTCCCCACAAGGGCCAGAAAGCAGCTTACTCTTGAAAAAATCTCGCATAAGCCAAAATTGCCCAAGGGCCACAGTGCTTGAGACCACTTTTTGCCATTTGCCCTAATTTTATCTTATATACAAGGGACACAGGTGGCGCTGTGGGTTAAACCACAGAGCCTAGGGCTTGCCGATCAGAAGGTCGGCGGTTCGAATCCCAGTGACAGGGTGAGCTCCCGTTGCTCAGTCCCTGCTCCTGCCCATCTAGCAGTTCGAAAGCACGTCAAAGTGCAAGCAGATAAATAGGTACCGCTCCAGCGGGAAGGTAAATGGCGTTTCCGTGCGCTGCTCTGGTTCACCAGAAGCTGCTTAGTCATGCTGGCCACATGACCCGGAAGCTGTCCGCCGGCTCCCTCAGCCAGTAAAGCGAGATGAGCGTCGCAACCCCAGAGTTGGCCACGACTGGACCTAATGGTTGGGGGCCCCTTTACCTTTACCTATCTTATATACAAATACAAGTGGCTCAGGAATGCCAGGCCCAATGGGTCTATGTGAGAGTCTGGATTTAGCACAATTCAATGTAATTCTTAACCTTTTTTGGGGGGGAAATATGTACCGGTAATTGTTTTAATTTAGACCATGGAATCCTTTGGTAATTAGAGACCACGCATCCTTTCCTTCTTGATATGTTTAATTATTGACTCTGTACCCTGCACTTTCTTACTGACAATTGAGACAACTTATCCCTTTTTTTGAAACTAAATTGTCTTTCATTTCTTTTCCCCCGTGACTTGCTCATTGCTATTAAAATTCAGTTTTAAAACCTGAAAAGAAGAGAGGAAGCTTGATTACCTTGAGAAGAGAACACACCACTTCTAGCTCAGTTTGTCCTTTGAGGGGGAGGTCGCCCATAAACTTCATCACAGCTGGAAAAGAAGATGCAGATAAAAACACACACACACAGAAAGACACTCCAGGTAAGAAGTTAAGAAGAACCTGTTGGATCAGGCCAGTGGCCCATCTATCCCAGAGTCCTCTTTCCCACATATTGCCCCTGGGACACCCAAAAGCAAGACCAGAGCACAGAAGCACTTGCAATTCTTAGCCACTGGTATTCAGAAAGACATACAATCTCCGATAGTGGAGAAATAGCCTAGACCAGGGGTCCGCAAACTAAGGTGCGCGGGCCGGATAAGGCCTGAAGGACTCGTTTATCCGGCCCGCAGCAACTCCAACCGCCCGCTCTTACCAGCGCTGCGCTGCGCGGCTGCCCACCTCCAGGTCAGAGGAGCACCGGAAATAGCTTGCGCGCATGCGCAAGCGTTATTTGCACATGCGCGCAAGCTATTTCTGGTGCTCCTCTGACCCGGAAGTGTGCCGGAAATAGTATGTGTGCATGCGTATGGGCACGTGCTCCCCCGCCGCGCGATCGGCGCTGGAGACACTGGCCCGAGGCGCGGTAAGTTTGCTGACCCCTGGCCTAGACATTGTAGCTGGTAGCCACTGACAGCTTTATCCTCTGTGATTTTTTTCTAATTCTCTTTCAAAGCCACCCACCTTGTGAGAGAGAATTCCTTAGCACACTATGTGCTCCAAGATCATTTGGAGTCTTCCCTTTGCCACACACACAGAACGGAACTACAACTTTACGAGAAACAGGCACAGCCCCATCATGCCTGATCACTTTTCTCCTCATGCGATCAGAGGAAGTGATACTTCTGATTACCAGCTGCTGGCAATCGCAGGAGAGAAGCGTGCTGTTCTGCCCGGGTCCTGCTTGGGTGCCTTCCTAAAGTGGACCTCCCGGCTCCTCACCTTGGAAAGTTTCTGCAGCTATTTTGTTCAGGCTGCTGTCCGTGAATTCAATGAGCGACTCCTGGATGGGGGCCTGTGCAGGGAAGGAAGGAAGAGGTTTGGTTCCACAGGCAATGGGCAAAGGAATTGGGGCAAGCGAAGGGGTGTGACAGTTGCACACAATGCTTTACACACTTGAATAAAACCCCTTGGACCTGAACTGCGTTAGTTTAACGAAACATAGAAGTGGAGGCTGACATTTTATTTAATGGGTTGTATCCAGCTAAGCTTTACAGTGGTGCCCCGCAAGACGAATGCCTCGCAAGACGAAAAACTCGCTAGACGAAAGGGTTTTCCGTTTTTTGAGTCGTTCCGCAAGACGAATTTCCCTATGGGCTTGCTTCGCAAGACGAAACATCTTGCGAGTTATTGCGAGTTTGTTTCCTTTTTCTTAAAGCCACTAAGCCGTTAATAGCTGCTAAGCCGCTAATAGCCGCTAAGAGGCGCTAAGCCGCTAATAGCCGTGCTTCGCAAGACGAAAAAACTGCAAGACGAAGAGACTCGCGGAACGGATTAATTTCGTCTTGCGAGGCACCACTGTACTTAAAGTGGATCAATTAAAAATAATGGACCTAAGTAAGTCATAGAATCATAGAGTTGGAAGGGAATCTTCCTTCTTGTAATTTGAATCCATTCGTTCGAGTGCTACCCTCCAGAGAAGGAAAAAGCAAGCGTGCTGCATGACAGCTTTTTAGATATTAATTTCAATGGGTTTACTCTGAATATGACTAATACTGGATACAAACCAATTTTATAAAAATACAACTAGTTTTTAATGTTTGTCTTTATATGTATTTATAAAATGTATATTTTACACTTCCTTTTGTAAACCGTTTAGAGGTCTTTTTTTTGGATGGGGAGGAAGTGGTGTATAAATGTTGCTAAACATAAATAACTGTTTGGGGATGCAGTGTGCAGGGATTTCCCCGGTGCAAGCAAAACAATTATGAGTGGCTCAGTGACATGGGGGCATGTCGAATTTTTCAACTTTCAAATCCCCCAAGTGAGGGGTACTAAAAAGTTGAAACATGTAACTCAAGAAAATATTTAATTAAAGCAATTAAAAAAAATGACTTGGGAATTCAAAATATATTTTGGTTAAATTAATAAAATTTAGTTTTGCCGGGTAAGTAAAATGTGTGTAGAATTGCATAGAAATCATTAAAACGGATTCCTAAGTACTTGCAGTTTATTATTATTATTATTATTAGGCATTACCTGATGTTTTAAAATTAAAATTCTTTGGTTTTCCAAAAGCAGTTTATGTGCTTCTTCATCAAACAGTTTACCAAACTAAATGTTGTCCACCACAAAAATAATAGCAGATTTGAATTCCTCACACCCAAAAACATATTTTAAAGACCCCCTCATTGAATAAATTTGAAAAATCAAGTTTCATTCCTTAAAATGAATGGGCCCTCCCACCAAAGTCCCCGGTTTAAGACCTCCGGGCACCCTTCAGTGGGGTCCCATTAGAGTCCACAATACGCACATATAGAGAGGCAGCCAGTCAGAAGAAAACTATCATTGCTCAAAAAAACTATCTGTATTACCTTGGTGAATTTCAGAATATCTGCCATGCCATTCGATTCACCACTTTTTTTGGATTTCTGCTTGTTGGGATCCCTGAAATTAATTCCAGACATGAATTACAACCTGCCTTTCAGGGAAGGTTCCAGGCGGACGAGGTCTTTCCCTCTTCCCTTGGGATCTGTGACTGCCTGGTCCCCTAGCCTAGGGACCAGCTCAAGCCCATCGGGGGGAAACCAAACCCTGCCCTTTTTGTCAGGGGTGGGGGCATTTCGTCCACAAAGATTTCCCAAATTGCAACTCATTTCCACATGCTAATAAATGGAGTAAAGAGGAGGGGCTGTAACTGGGACAATTGGTGTGTGTGTGTGGCCGCCACCACAGCATACATTTAAAGCACTATGATACCACTTTCTACAGCCATGGCCTTCCTCCCAAAGAGTTGTGGGAGCTGTAGTTTGTTAAGGGTTCTGAGAGTTGTTAGGCGACCGGCTATTCCTGTGCCTGAAGCTGGTTATACCATAAGCATTTTGCCTGCATGGATTTGCTACTGCCTTTGCTGTGAACCGATGCATGATTATTAAGAAAGTAAACCTTTATTTTTTTATAAAAAAATTACTTTACAAGTTGTTGCCTGATTCATTGTTAAGCAGGGGAAGAAGGGGGAAGCCAGATTACTCCATAGCTGGTCTCGCTCAAAACAAGGTTTCACAGCCTAATTCCTATGCGTTTAATTTTGCTGCCAAGGATGGGGTTTTGAAACTTTGCTTAACCCACACATGTGGGCATATGAAATTGCAATTAATATACCCTCTCCTACCCGTTAAAACCCATCCCATGCTGTCTTGCCTGCCACACATACACATATCCAGCTATAGGGTGCAGTAGCTTGTGGGTCTGTTTTCCTCTTCAGGCAACCCCCCAACTTATCTCACTTCAACCTCCGATGCAATTTACTTCTTTGAGAGGCAAACGATTTCCGCGAATCGCGGCGGTTGACATGCTGCAAGAGAGCCAACTGCCCGTGGCAAAGAGGGGGCCATCTTGACTTACCTCTTGGTCATCCCAAGACATGCGATGATCGCACCCCGTAAACGTTAGCAGGGGTGTTATAACTAACTGGTATGCTGAGGTGGGTGGAGGGGCACGGTTGCAGCACCCCAGAATTCCTTTGCTTTCCTTACACGGGGGATTGCAGCCTCGGGACACCAACTCTGACACACCAAACTTGAGATGACGGCCTCCGTTTCTCGAGGGCAAACAAGCCCTTAGGGGGCTCCGTCCGTCCGCACGCACTCACATCTTTGCCCTCTGCCCTTCTCGGAAATACTTCTTGGAAAACTCCAGCATGTTGAAGGGGCCGCCTCGTGGGCCGATGTCCTTGGCGCCCTGAAAGCCCTCTGCGCTCTCTGCGAATTCGCTGCCTGCCAGACACACCTGGGGGAAAAGAAAGGAGAGGCCCAGGGTGTTCGTCTCTTGATTTCGTCGGTAATGTGCGGGCACAGTCTTTCTGATAAGGCCAAGGACCTATTGCAGCCCAGGTGGATCTGGGACTCTGCCTGCTCCTTCCAGTTCTCAGTTCCCCTAATGCAGTGGCAATGGGTTTGGTGGCAGAGGGCTTGGGTGGCTTGTGAAGAGGGGATACCCATCCAGGAAAGCCACTTCTGCCTTACGGAGGAGGTGGGGTTGGGGCTTCACAGCCCCTCCGCGCATGTGGAGGCTGGAGCAGCCCAGCCTCCGCACGATTGGGAGGATTCCCAGCCATGTCACCCCCTGGTTGGCCAATCGGCTGGCTCAGGGGGCGTGGCCTGCCCTATTTAATGCAGGACGCAGCCACGGATCTCCCTCTTTGCCATCTGCCAGCTGTTCCTGCTTTTCCCACCCTCCCGCCCTATAAGGTTTTCGTTCTTTGACCTTGCTATGGACCTTGGTTGGTCGCCATTGAGGGGCCTGGTGGGAATTTTTCCAGTTGGCAAATTGGCACCAGCCACTTGGTTTTTGCCTACCTCGTAGGAAATCGTCACAACTTTCTGGGTATTGGCGGTTAGGCATTGGTATTGTTCTGTAGATGGAAGAGGGGAGGAAGCGCCATCACCTGCCCTACATATTGAAGGGTAGTCTGATAAAGGATTCTGGGGGGCGTGGCCCTGTCCGAAGCCTAAGGAGGTGACAGCCTAAGGCACGCCCCCCTAGTGGGCCCCCCGGGGGAGTTCCTAGTTGATGTGCATTAGCAGGACTCCCCCTACTGGTGGTTAACCCTTCCCGGACTTCAAGCGGACGGGCTGAAGTCGGATATAGTCAGTTAGGACCAATGCCTAAGCCAATACCGCTCATCACCTGTAACCAATAAAGTTGTGGCCTTAATTAGCCCATTAACCTTAATAATTGAGTCATGTGTCATTATTTCCACTGGGGGGTGGGAACTCGCCACGCAAGGGAGATAACAGGTGCGGTTGTCCTTATAACGCAGGTGCCAGGGTGGCTCAACTTCCCCTTGGGTCCAGTGACTCAGAGGAAGAGGCATCCACTCTGCACAGCAAGGTTTAATTAAATTAATTACCGTATTTTTCCGTCTATAAGATGCCTCCATGTATAAGATGCCCCCTATTTTGGGGGACTCAGATTTAAGAAAATGGCCTCGGCGCTATCTGTGTATAAGACGCCCCCTAATTTTTGACATAATTTATTAAGGGGAAAAACCTAGTCTTATAAATGGGAAAATACGGTAATTAAAACCTGAGGCCCAGATTCCCCCCCTTCCCACCCTGTCCTCTCTGTCTGGCCCTCATAATTCTCTCCAGGCTGCACCCCTCTAATGGAGAGAAATGGCCAGGGCACGTAGGGGAAACTGCCAAGGGGCTACTGTTGCTGCATCACCAGTATCTGCTACCTGAGGCAAATGTCTAATGGTAGGGCTGGACTTGCCCTGCAATTCTTCTCCCAAGATGAACAGCAAGGAGGAAGAAAGTGTGGTGCTTTAGGGACAGCTTCCCAGTGGCCTTCCTTCTCTGGTCACCTTGGTGAGAGAGTGGTAGACGTTGCAACGTTCCCGGGGCTTCCTTCCTCGCCCCGAATCCTGACTCCCACCTCGCTTTGAGGCCTGGCATGAGAAACATGGCCACCCCCTCCACGTTGCACTCGCCTCAGTCGTCTTGTCAAGCTCCTGAGCCACGGCTGCGGATGCAACAGCCACAGCCACCGAGGCCGGGACAGCCACTTTGGCCTGCTTGTCCTTGGGCTCCTCCTTCTTCTCCGCGGGAAGGTGGGTAAAATCTGGCGCTGCCACCGGCTGGACGCAATCGGCAGGGAAGAAGCCCGATTTCCCATAGATGGCACCAAACTTCCAGCCTACACCAGGAAGAAGGCATTGAGTTATATGCTGTCAATCTCTCTCTCCCCCCCCCCCCCGCCTTTCATGGTGGTAGAGCTGTTGCTGCTCCCTCGCAACATCAGGTCAAGGGCTTTCATCTATCATGACAGAAAATGGAGACAGATAGAAGGAGCCAGAGGAGAACTATGCCCTTAACAGTCAGTGGAAGAAGAAAGCCTTCTTTTCAGGGCTCAGGTCTGCAGTGGGTCTTTTTCTTCTTCTTCCTCCCCCTCCCCCCCTTTTAATTTTGATTTTCGCAGTGGGTCTTGAACCTCCAGCCTTAGGGATGGCAAGTGGGCATACAGCTTTTATACTGCCTCTGGTCAAGAAGAGAACTGCATCAAATAGGCCAAAGTAGGTCATGTGATAGTCACTGGTCAGAGCTCCAGGTCAGATTTGTTTGAGCAACTGGGATACTCTGCATGATACATTTAAAGCACTATTGTAAACAGGGCCAGATTTAGGTTTGATGAGGCCCTAAGCTACTGAAAGTAATGGGGCCCTTTATATGTCCAGCTGTCCTTTGTCAACAACAAATTGTCACTGTTTTTTGTGTTGAATATATGCTGTATGGTAATTTATGGACCTAATAGGCATCTAAAGCCATTTGCACATAACAAAATATGTATTTTATCAAAGTAATTGTTGAACTGAAATTCAATTAAGAAGTATATTAATAGTGAAATACAATTAAGAAGAAGTATATTAATAGTGAAATAATTATAAGCTCTAACTTAAAATGATGTAGGTTTTATTTTGTTTTTTATCTTATATTTTGGAAATGTACATCCAGGTTTTTTCCCCTTTAAATTTTTTGGTGGCTCCCAAGAGAGTGGGGCCCTAAGCTATAGCTTGTTTAGCTTATACATAAATCCGGCACTGGCAAACAGTCATGGCCTCCCCAAAGTATCCTGGGAAGTAGAGTGCCTTAAGGGAGATGTGAGTTGTTAGGAGATGCCTATTCCCCTTCCAGAGCTACAATTCCCACAGCTCCCTGGGAAGAGGGATTGACTGGTGGACCATGCTGGGAACTGCAGCTCTGCCAGTCGAATAGGGGTCTCCTACCAACTCGCATCACCCTTAATGACTGACAGCTCCCAGAATCCTCGGGGGAAGACACAGCTGTTAAAAGTGGCATGAGGGTGCTTTAAATGTATAGTGCAGATGGGACCCTGCTCTTGAGGGAAGGAACATGCAAAGTTGCCTTGTACCATGTCTGTGATCTGCCACTGAGCAAGAGCAGCATGCATAGGCCGCTGTTTAGCTTGTAGGAGTCTGTTTGCACAGGAGAGAGAGAAAGGCCACTGCACGCAGGAGAAAGGGGGACAAGGCACATCACCACACGCAAGAGCCACCCACCAAAATCCTGGGTGCCCTTCTTCACATCCTCCAGGAGCATCACTTTCTTCCGCACCACGCAGCCGAAATAGCGGTCTGTGGGGACGGGAGAGTCACGGCGGTGTCAAAGGAGGGCACGGAAGACCCTCTTAACCTAGCCCTGGGCAGGCTCCCGGATTCACAGAGCAGGTGAACCGGGGACCAGCCTTAATCCTCTGTTGCACCTGCTATTATCCACCTGCAATCTGCAATAGCCCCTCATATGTTGTAGCTGCATGCATCCCAGGAGAAATTTGGCTTGGGCTCGGATGGCAACACGGGACAAGACACGCACTGAAATCCTTTTGAACTGATTGTGCTGCTCCAAATTTTGCGGAATGGTTATCTGTCCCAAAAGGTGTGTACAAAAAAATGTGGATGTATTCGGGGAAAGTCTGCATATATTAGTGAAAATAATGCAGAAAAAATGGATTGCGCCAGGTAAATGGCTTGCAAAAACGTGTAGATTGTGCAAAACTTCATATGGAAAAAGGCTGTATGTTAAGAGAAACATAGACTGAAATGCTCAAGATTTTTTGTGTTACTTCCCATCCTCGCCCCACAGACTTCCTGATGATGGTCTCTCACCTTGATCCAAGCCTTCCATTGGCCGCAGGCAAATGATGTCTCCTTTATGGAACCGTAAGAGGCTTTTATCGTCTGTAATATGGTTCTTGATTGCAACCATGTACTGTGAATCCTAGAAGGGGGAAAAGACAAAGTGTGTCTGGCTGGGGGAGCAGGGGTACAAGGTGCTCCAAAGAAAGGGTCTCTGCTATGTCTTTTTACCTTCTTGAGTTCGTTGAGGAAATAGTCAATCAGTGCCTTAATCTGGGCAGCTTTGGGGGAGAAAAGGATGAGCTTCTCATTGGTGAGGTTGACCTCCAGCATGTTCTTCGAGCCGGTGGTCACAAAGAGGATATCGCCGTAGCTGTGGAAAAAGGAAAATGGGTTCATTGCCAAGCTTGGAGGTCAGTGGTGCTGAAAGTGGATCCAGGAAAGGCGGACACACAGCGCATTTGGACGATGGTACTGATGCCCTTCCTCCAGGGTTCTCAGAGGGGAATATGGGGGGCACTGCCGCAAAGGGAGAGACTCCGTCTGTGGACTGAGGGCATTGTCAGGGACTGGCCCAGGGCGAAAGGCCAGGGCCTTTTGTGCTGGGGCCCCAGAAGCCCTGACCATTTTCCTCCCAGGGCAGCTGGCTGCACTGCAGTGTGGACTGCTGGTGAGATCCCCAGCTACCCACCTCTTAAATGGTAAGGTAAAAGGTAAAGGACCCCTGGACGGTTAAGTCCAGTCAAAGGCGACTATGGGGTTGCTGCGCTCATCTCGCTTTCAGGCCAAGGGAGCTGGCATTTGTCCACAGGCAGCTTTCCGGTCATGTGGCCAGCAGGACTAAACTGCTTCTGGCGCAATGGCGCATAGACCATGACGGAAACCAGAGCGCACGGAAACGCCGTTTAACTTCCCGCCGCAGTGGCACCTATTTATCTACTTGCAGTGGTGTGCTTTCGAACTGCTCATTACAGTTCGAAATTACATTACAGTTCCCTCATTACAGTCGATCAGGTATATGAAGACGAGGAGCAAAGGCAGTCCTCTGGGAATGTCCAGGCGACCTTGGAACCGACAGCTCACAGAAGAACCCCGACCAGACCTAAGAGGAGGCGTGTAGTGGTGATAGGGGATTCCCTACTGAGGGGAACAGAAGCAGTGATCTGTGGGCCTGACAAGATGTCTCGGGAAGTGTGCTGTCTCCCTGGGGCTAAGATCCAAGATGTAACTGAACGACTGCAAGGAATCATAAAACCCACTGACAAATACCCCTTCCTCTTGGTTCATGTGGGAACCAATGACACTGCAAGCAATAGCCTCCAGAAGATCAAAAGAGATTACGAGGCTCTGGGCAGGAAATTGAAGCAATTAAATGCACAAATTGTCATCTCATCTGTCCTCCCAGTTGAACGATGTGGCCCAGGGAGAGAGGGAAAAATAGTGGAAGTGAACAACTGGCTTCGCAAATGGTGCAAACAGGAACGGTTTGGATTCTTAGATCACGGAATGCAGTTTCTTGAAGATGGACTTCTGGCAAGCGATGGGCTGCACCTCACAACGGTTGGGAGGAATGTTTTTGCAAAAAATCTCAGAAACCTCATCAGGAGGGCTTTAAACTGACTAATGTGGGGGAGGGAGACAGTGCTCCTGAAGGTAGGAGTCTATCAATTGATGAAGATGATCATCCAAATGTCATAGACCGAATGGAGCAAAGAGCATGCAGACCTAGTGGTGGGAGGAGAAAATCCTTAAATAAGAGACACGGGGGAATGATTAATGGACTTCAATGTCTGTACACTAATGCGCAAAGCATGGGAAATAAACAAGATGAGCTTGAGCTCCTGGTACAGCAAACTAAATATGACATAATAGGAATCACTGAAACCTGGTGGGATAAATCCCACGATTGGAATGTAATAATGGAGGGATACAATCTATTTCAAAGAAACAGACCAGACAAGAAAGGAGGAGGAGTGGCGTTATATGTCAGGGATGTGTATACCTGTGAAGAGATCCAAGATTTAGAACCTCAAAGCCAAAGTGAGAGCATTTGGGTCAAAATTAAGGGAGAGAAGAATAACAGTGACCTCATTGTGGGAGTTTACTATAGATCCCCAAGCCAAACAGAGGACATAGATGATGCCTTCCTGGAACAGATGGCCAAGCATGCAAAAGGAAGGGAGATAGTAGTAATGGGGGACTTCAATTACCCGGATATTTGTTGGATGTCAAACTCAGCCAAGAGCATAAGGTCAAACAGATTCCTCACTGCCCTTGCAGACAACTTCATTGTCCAGAAAGTGGGAGAAGCAACAAGAGGAACAGCCATTTTAGATCTGGTCCTAACCAATGTTGATGACCTGGTTAGTGGGGTAGAAGTGGAAGGATCATTAGGCGCGAGTGATCATGCTCTTCTGAAGTTTACTATACAGCGGAAAGGAGCAGCCAAGCATACTAGGACTCAATTTCTCGACTTTAAGAAAGCAGACTTCATAAAGCTTAGGGAAGTGCTGCGTGAGATCCCATGGACAGTAATACTAAAAGGAAAGGGAGTTCAAGATGGCTGGGAGTTTGTTAAGAGGGAGATAGTAAAAGCACAACTTCAGGCAATACCAATGAGACGGAAACATGGAAGGTGCCTAAAGAAGCCAGGGTGGCTATCTAAAGAACTTTTAACTGAGTTAAGATTAAAAAAGGATGTGTACAAAAAATGGAAAAGGGGGGAAACCACCAAAGAGGAATTCAAACAAATAGCCAGCACGTGTAGACACAAAGTCAGAAAAGCTAAAGCACAAAATGAACTCAGGCTTGCTAGAGAGGTTAAAAGCAACAAAAAAGCTTTTATGGGTATGTTCGTAGCAAAAGGAAGAACAAAGAAACCGTGGGGTCACTCAGAGGAGAAGATGGTGAAATGCAAACAGGGGACACAGAAAGGGCTGAACTCCTGAATGCCTTCTTTGCCTCAGTCTTCTCCGATAAAGAAAACAATGCCCGACCTGAAGAATTTGGAGGAAATGATTCAGCAGAGGAAACACAGCCCAGAATAACTAAGGAGATAGTACAAGAATACTTGGCTAGTCTAGATGTATTCAAGTCTCCAGGGCCAGATGAACTGCATCCAAGAGTATTAAAAGAACTGGCAGATGTGATTTCAGAACCACTGGCAGTCATCTTTGAGAATTCCTGGAGAACAGGAGAAGTCCCGGCAGACTGGAGGAGGGCAAATGTTGTCCCTATTTTCAAAAAGGGGAAAAGAGAGGACCCGAATAATTACCGCCCAGTCAGTCTGACATCAATACCAGGGAAGATTCTGGAGCAGATCATTAAGCAAACAGTCTGTGAGCACCTAGAAAGGAATGCTGTGATCACCAATAGTCAGCATGGATTTCTGAAAAATAAGTCATGTCAGACTAACCTGATCTCGTTTTTTGACAGAATTACAAGCCTGGTAGATGAAGGGAACGCAGTGGATGTAGTCTACCTTGATTTCAGCAAGGCATTTGACAAGGTGCCCCATGATATTCTTGTAAAGAAGCTGGTAAAATGCGGTCTTGACTATGCTACCACTCAGTGGATTTGTAACTGGCTGACTGACCGAACCCAAAGGGTGCTCATCAATGGTTCCTCTTCATCCTGGAGAAGAGTGACTAGTGGGGTGCCACAGGGTTCTGTCTTGGGCCCGGTCTTATTCAACATCTTTATCAACGACTTGGATGATGGACTCAAGGGCATCCTGATCAAATTTGCAGATGACACCAAACTGGGAGGGGTGGCTAACACCCCAGAGGACAGGATCACACTTCAAAACGACCTTGACAGATTAGAGAACTGGGCCAAAACAAACAAGATGAATTTTAACAGGGAGAAATGTAAAGTATTGCACTTGGGCAAAAAAAATGAGAGGCACAAATACAAAATGGGGGACACCTGGCTTGAGAGCAGTACATGTGAAAAGGATCTAGGAGTCTTGGTTGACCACAAACTTGACATGAGCCAACAGTGTGACGCGGCAGCTAAAAAAGCCAATGCAATTCTGGGCCTCATCAATAGGAGTATAGCAACTAGATCAAGGGAAGTAATAGTGCCACTGTATTCTGCTCTGGTCAGACCTCACCTGGAGTACTGTGTCCAGTTCTGGGCACCACAGTTCAAGAAGGACACTGACAAACTGGAACGTGTCCAGAGGAGGGCAACCAAAATGGTCAAAGGCCTGGAAATGATGCCTTATGAGGAACGGCTAAGGGAGCTGGGCATGTTTAGCCTGGAGAAGAGGAGGTTAAGGGGTGATATGATAGCCATGTTCAAATATATAAAAGGATGTCACATAGAGGAGGGAGAAAGGCTGTTTTCTGCTGCTCCAGAGAAGCGGACACGGAGCAATGGATCCAAACTACAAGAAAGAAGATTCCACCTAAACATTAGGAAGAACTTCCTGACAGTAAGAGCTGTTCGACAGTGGAATTTGCTGCCAAGGAGTGTGGTGGAGTCTCCTACTTTGGAGGTCTTTAAGCAGAGGCTTGACAACCATATGTCAGGAGTGCTCTGATGGTGTTTCCTGCTTGGCAGGGGGTTGGACTCGATGGCCCTTGTGGTCTCTTCCAACTCTATGATTCTATGATTCTATGATTCTATGATTCTATGATTCTATGATTCTATGCTAGGTTGGCAGGAGCTGGGACCAAGCGACGGGAGCTCACCCCGTCGCAGGGATTCGAACCGCCGACCTTCTGATTGGCAAGCCCAAGAGGCTCAGTGGTTTAGACCACAGCGATGAGCTATAGCTATTCCCCTCCAAGCCAAGTTGGACCTTTGGTTCATCTGGCTCAGTGCTGCCTACACTGATTGGCAGCAGCTCTCCAGGATGTTTCAGACAGGAGGGTCTCCCATCCCTACCTGGAGATGCCATGGATTGGTCCTTTCGCATGCAAACCACGTGCTCCACCACCAAGCTACAGCCCCTTCCCTGATGCTGCCAGCTGATGAGACCCACTCCTCACTAAACCTACTCGCCTTTCCCTGTCCTTCACCTTTCCATCTCCTCCCAGGGATCCTGGCCAATCCTGCAGCCTCACCTGTAGCCCCGCAGCACCCGGAGCTGCTCCCCAGGTAAGTTGGTGCCCTTGACCAGTCGCAGCAGTTTGATCCCTGTGTCAGACACAGCCAGGATCTGCACTCCAGTGCCCACACTGCCCTGAAAGGAGCAAGACAGAGCCGTTAGGCGTGGCATGGCTCAGCTTACGGAGGGAGGGTGAGCCTGGAGAGCGAGGGGCATCTAAGAGAGAGCAATGCCTCGGATGAAGGACAACATGCAAATTTAATAATTAATAATAAATTAAGTAAATAATTTTAAAAGCACAGAAAATATACACTAAAATTGCAGATGGAATCAGATGTTAAAAAGAAGTTAGCCAAAAGAAATAAAAAGAGAGCAGGTTGTTCCCTTGTTATGTGTTTGGGCCCTCAGAGTTTGTGGGTGTCGGGAAACCCAATAATTCCTGGAATTAGTCAAAGTTAGAATTAATCAAGGTTTGGTTAAAACTGCAGCAAACACTGCTGGTTTAAGGATAACAAGCCAGCCCATCTTGACATAGCTGGGTGGGGATAAGCCATCAAGAAACAAAGGCTGAAAGGGCCAGTTATTAGAGCACCCACAAGGCAGTAAAATATTACAATATATTATGTCTAATGTACATGTCTGGTTAGACTGCTTAAACAAAATTATTTTTAACAGATACCAACAGCAGTACAGCAAAGGTGCATGCCCAGTTTCAATGTGCCGTGAGCTCCAAAGTTTGGCTTTATGCTGGCTTTTTAAGTTGTAGAAATAAAATAAATAAAAAATAATTAAAAAAAAAATCCTTCCAGTAGCACCTTAGAGACCAACTAAGTTATTGGTATGAGCTTTCGTGTGCATGCACATTTCTTCAGAATTTTTAAATTGTTTTATTCTCTTTCCAGTTTCTGCCTGGTTCTGAACTCCTGAATTGTGGCTTCTGGACTCTGTTTCTGATGCTGAGCCTGTTACCCACCTGAATAAAGATATATTTCTTGCTCACAAGAGGCTCTGTCTGCATGTCTTGGGTGGGAGCAGGACAGGCAGTGGCTAAAGCAGTAGATCATGTCCTGTGACAGAGATGGGGAACCCTATGGACCCCCAGATGTTGTTGGACTATAGTTCCCATCAGCCCCAGTCAGCATGGCCAATGGCCAGGCATGATGGGAGTTGGAGTTCAGCAACATCTAGAAGGCACCAGGTTCCCCTTCTTTCATCTACTCAGTTTCCCTGGATTTAAGCGGCTCCCACAGAAGATATTTTTTGCTGCAATAAGGGTGCACATGTGGATGCTTCTTACCGTAGCAGGGAAAAGGCGAGAGAAATATACTTCCCAGCCATTCCGGGCAACGCTGATGATCTCTTTCTTGACGCTTTCATCGGCCACCGGACTAAAGGAGTCCAGCTTGTTTTCCGCTGAGGAAAGAAACAGAGGCTGGCTTTACACCACTCTCAGATCCCACAGGATCCCTCAGTTACTTGTGAGTGAGAGAATGGGCAAGCCTAAGTTAATGGCAGGACTTTGGCTGGCAGGAATATGTCCTGCCTTTGAGGAAGAACCCTGTTGGAACAGGTTACAGGAGGCCCATTTTTAATCTAGCCACACATCCTTCCCACAACAACCAACCAGATGGTTTCAGAAGTCCACAGGTTCACAGGGAGGCCAGAGTCTGGCCAAAACAACTACCATTCAAAGATACACTGCCCTTGAACATGAGGCTCCATTTAGCCTTTGTGGCTGGCTGCCACTAACAGACCTAGCCTCTATGACAGGGATAGGGAAACTTTGGCCCTGCCGATGTTGTTGGGCCATACTTCTTATCTGCCCCAGCCAGCAAAGCCAATACAGCCAGGGACGAGAAAATTCAACCGTTTCTCGAAGGCCACAGGGGACCATCCCTACTTTATGAATCTGTTTCATGTCCTTCTAAAGCAGACACCAGCACACCTTGTGGCAGTGAATTCCATAAATTAAGTAGGTGTTGTGGGAACAACACACACCTTTGTTTGTCTTGAATCTACGCCCAATCACTGGATGACCCCATAGCTATTGCATTATGAGAAATGGAAAATAACTTCTCTTTCTTTCTTTCTTTCTCTTCCTTCCTTCTTATTTCTCTCTCCCCCCACCCTCGCCACTTCCTCCACACCATGCAAATTATTATAAACACATAATTTATCTGTATATAAATGTTTATTCCCTTGTCCCTCCATGGATCCTCTTGAATACATGGCCTGACCTTTTTTTTCTGGAACTCCTTTCAGATCTATAGCTTTATGCTGCCCTGGGGCAGGATTGGGGAGGGAGGAGCCAAAGATAACGAGTCACCCAACTGAAACAACAAGGCTTACCAAAAAGGGCCTTCATGCGGAGTCTCTCCTCCTGAGTGATGCGTATGCAGGCCTCGGACAAGGTATCGTTGAAGATCTGCAAGGAAAAACGCATTGTGTAAGCCTTCCCCAACCTGGTGCCCTCCAGATGTTTTGGACGCCAGCTCCCATCAGCCCCAATGAGCCGGCACCCAAAACATCTGAAGGGCACCAGGAAGGCTCCTTTAGAAGTACCAAAGCTCGTAAGAACGCAAGACAACCCTGTGCTGGATCAGGCCAAAGGCCCATCTACTCCAGCATCCTGTTCTCACAGTGGCCAACCAGATGCCTGTGGAATGCTCTCCCCAGGGAGGCTCGACCGGCATTTTCATTGCATCTCTTTAGGTGCCAGGTGAAAACATTCCTCTTCTCCCAGACCTTTTGCCGAGTAAACCATCAAGTATTACCTTTCAAACCAGGGGGGTATTGTTTTGTATTTTATTACGTTATGCATTTTTGTGTTTTTATACTGCAAACTGCCCTATGATCCTTGGATGAAGGGCAATATATAAATTTAACAATAACAATAACAATAATAATAATAAACAACAACAACGTGAGATCACACATCACCGCCCCAATACCATCATGAGCACAAGTAACCATGAATGCACAATATTAAGGACATCCTCAGAGAGGATGCCGAGGTAGAACTCTCTCAGGTCATGTGTGGCTGTGTGCATTGCAAGGGATCCGGAGTGCACCTCTTGGCGCAAGGAAAGATCTGAGGAACAGCCCCGCCGAAGCAGCCAGAAGCAGAACCAGAATCTCACCTGCCGGAAAAGGAGATCTAGCACAAGAGGGTTGTTGATGCTGTCCTTTGGGTAGAAAACCTGCCAGGAAAGAGAGCAGGAGGTGATCAGGGAGAGACCAGAACCACCCTAAGAGCACTGCTGGAACTGACCAAGGTGCGTTCATCTAAGCCAAGGGTGGGGAGACATTTTCAGTCTGAGAGCCGCATTCCCTTCTGATGGAACTTCACAGGGCCACATGGCAATGGTGGATGGGGCCAGAAGAGAAAGTGGGTGGAGTGGGGAAGGAACAAATTCACATTCTATTTTTCTCCAGTCTTTATACACCCTTCTCCACCCAAGCAAACGTGTCGCAGCTTATGTAGAGGGAGGGCGCTCCACAGGGCGGGTGCCACTACTGAGAAGGCTCTCTAACTGGTTCCCTGTATCTTCCCTTATCATATCTCTTCAAACCCCACCTTGTTAATGAGGAAAAGGAGAGAGCAGCCTTACTCAGGGGAAATACCTCTTTCCTGAGATAGATTTTCCAAGAGACATTGCGGTATGCATAGAACTCCTCACTGCAACGACGGTGAAGCCGCGTCTGGATAAGTTCATCCTCAGATGATAGTTCACGTGAGACCGACACTAGAAAAGAGGAATTGGTCAGTAGCTGTGCTGGAGAAGGAACAGCCTGCCCCCCAGGGCTCTCTGTTAAGGAAAGGCCACATTCCATACCCAAGGAGCCATGGTAGATCACACAAGTATCATGTCTGAGGCCTGGTTTACCCAAAGCATGGTTTGCTTGAATGTCCAAACCCAGCCTAGTAGACTAACCATGGCTTGCTTTCTGGCAACAAACAAAGCCATGGTTTACTGTTGGCTCACAAACCACGGTTTGTTTTAACTATGGTTCAGCATTATGTCTGAAACCAATAGCCTTGATTAACCACCGTTTGTTTGGCCACCCCCACTCCAGGTGCTCTCCAAGCTACAGAGGCATGAGTAAAAACAGAGCATTTATACAGGAGGGGGAAGTAAAAGATGGCACCTCCCACCTGAACTTACTTCAGAGTCCACCACCTCATTCTGCTGCATGTGAACACCAGGCCTCAGGCAGCCCAAGAGGCAGTCAAGGAATCAAGCACAGAGAACACAAAGCCATTCTTTACCTGGAGAGGCCTCGGGGAAAGATCTGGTGATGGCGGGTGGCAGGCGGATGGCAGAGGGCACAGCCACCTTGGCACAAGTCACAGGCTTCACCATGGCTACTGCCTCCTTGGCTCCCAACTCCCTGATGACCTGCAAGCAAGCCAATCCCCACATCACACAGCCGCAAACCTGAGTTGGCACTCAGAGCATGTTCAGCAGGAACACTGCAAGTCCTGGTTTGCCAAAGCCACTTCCGCCTTAAGGAGGAGGTGGGGTTGCGGGCTTCATGGCCCCTCCACATGCGTAGTGGGTGGAGGCCAGCCCCGCTTGATTGGGGGGATTCCGCCAAGTCACCCCCTAGCCAGCCAATCGGCTGGTTCGGGGGCGTGGCCTGCCCTATAAAGGCAGGACGCGGCCAGGGATCTCCCTCTTTGCTGCCCTGCCAGCTGTTCCTGTTTCCCACCCTCCCACTCTATAAGGTGCTATAGAACTTGGTTGGTCGCCATTGAGGGGCCTGGTAGGAATTTTTCCACTTGGCAAATTGGCACCAGCCACTTGGTTTTCGCCTACCTCGTGGCAAATCGTCACAACTTTCTGGGAATTGGCGGTTAGGCATTGGTATTGTTTTGTAGATGGAAGAGGGGAGGTAGCACCATCACCTGCCCCGCATATTGAAGGGTAGTCCGTTAAAGGATTCCGGGGGGCATGGCCCTGTCCGAAGCCTAGGGAGGTTAGGGCCTAAGGCAGGCCCCCTATCGGTGACCCCGGGGGAGTTCCTAGTTGAGCAGGACTCCCCCTACTGGTGGTTAACCCTTCCCGGACTTCAAGCAGACGGGCTGGAGTTGGATATAGTCTTTTAGGACCAATGCCTAAGCCAATACCGCTCATCACCTGTAACCAATAAAGTTGTGGATTTTTTTTGCCCATTAACCTTAATAACTGCGTCATGTGTCATTATTTCCACCTGGGGGGTCGGGAACTCGCCACGTAACAAGAAACACACACAGGGCTGGAACTTTTACAGTCTTCTTTCCTGGGTGGGTCCCTAAATCAGAACTGGGTAACCTTCTTCAGCCCAAGGGCCACATTCCCTTCTGGGAAGCCTCCAGGAGCCAGGAGCCAGCGGTGGGTGGGGCCAGAGACAAATGTGGGTGGAGCAAGGGATACAAATTTCATCTTGGTGCAGTAGATGTAGTTTCTGTACACACAGCTCTCTATTCTCCATGCCGGCAAGCAAAATGCATTGTTATCTGAGTTCAAGATACATTCCTGCCAGGTTAAAACACTCAACAGGATGTAAATCTATGACAGTGACTGGTGTGTGGAGGGGTAGTCTAGAGAGAATCCCAAGGACCAGATGGAGAGGAGAGCTGCATTTGCACATCCACAACATGCCCTGTTTAGGGCAGCCCTGTTTAGGGAAGCTTTTAATGTTTAATAGGTTATTGCATTTTAGTGTTTTGTTGGAAGCCGCCCAGAGTGGCTAGGGAAACCCAGCCAGATGGGTGGGGTATAAATAAATTATTATTATTATTATTATTATTATTATTATTATTATTATTAAATTATTAATTCTTATTATTCTTATTCTTATTATTAAACTTTATATACCACCCTTTGTCAGTAGACCACAGGGCAGTTTAGAACCCACAACAGAAATATATTGCATAATGTAAAACCTATTCAACATAAAAGCAAAAAACAATTACGTAAGCACAATTACAACTGGGGCAACCCAGTCAGAAAAGTAGGGCAAAAGGAAAACAACAGCAGCAACAATTACAATAAGGAGTACGTAACAAAATACAAATTCTCTTAGCAGCAACAGCACAGAAGTGGGAGAAAATCTGCAGCAGGGTATCCAAAATATAAAGGTCGCACACAGGTACAGAATCTTCTCTTCAAGGTAGCTCTTAATCCTGTCCACCTACAGAAAACGACAGAGACTCCCACTCTCCCACCCAGGGAGCTTTCCTCTCCTTGTCTCCTCACCCTGGGAGATCTCCGCTTCCCTGCCTTTCACTCCCGGTCCTTCCAGCAGCTCTCTGCCGCTTCCATGTTGGTGCAGTCCTTGGCTCCTCAGTGGCGTCCCAGAAGGGGAGACAGCAGAGGGATACGTCTCTTTGGTGTCTCACCTTTGAGGTGACTTCCACTGACATTGGCCCATCACGGGCCAGGCCACTGCCTGCAGCACAGCTGGCTTTCCTATCCCCATCCTGAAACAGACCCTCAGGGTGGGTCCAGCCCAGTTGGGCTGTCTGGCACTGCATAGATACAGGCAACTGATACTTCCTCAAAGAGCATCCTGTTTCCCTAATCCGCAAGGCGGCCCTGCCTTCCTGTGATGCATGTACTCAGTCGTCCCCAAACATACCGGAGCAGGCCGCGCTGGTGCCTCCGTGGCTGCCAGCTGTCCTTTCAGGATCATCAAGGCTTCCTCGTGGGGATCCATTTTCTTCACAAATACTTTCCCGCCTTCCTTCCTGCAAAGAAATGGAGGTGTATAGAACAGCCAAGGGATTCATGCAAGCAAGCACTCATCTCCAGCTCCCTAATACAGGGTGAATCCTTTAAAAGAGGCCCTGTGGATACAGAGTACACATGTTCCATGGGGCTTTAAAGGACTCACCCTGTAGAACCCCCACAAACACCGTGTTGAGAGTTCAAGATTGTGAAGCAAGCCGGTGGTTTGCGACTGCACTGAGAGACTTGAACTTCAAAGCTGGAAGAATAAACACCAGCCGTCTATTACACCATGGACCTCACTGCTCCCGGCCACATTCAGACATATCTCATATAGGCATCCATTTCAGGTGGGTGCTTATTTGGACACCTGGAGGGCCTATGGTAACTTGTACGGCTATTATTATTTATTGGTAATATTATTTCTCAAGGACACTCCCTAGCCAAGAAAATGCACACAGCATTTATTGTCAAAGCTGACAGTTGCAGCGGTTTCCGCAGCTCTGAATACCCATGCAAACCAGTTTAGCGTCTAGGGGCAGCTATTCCCAGGTCTTTGCTCTATGGAGCAGCTTCAAAAGCAGGGGAGCACTCCCCCTCCACCAAATTTATGTACCTTCCCCTGATGGGCTGCATGCACGCACCCGGAGACCACACCTGTGTGGCAGCTGCCTCTGCTCCGCCCTTTTCAATCCCCTCCTGGTTCTGTGAGACAGCGGTGCAGGAGAGGGTGAGGAAGCACCCAGCCCTTCACTTGCCTGACCTGCCTCTTTCTCCTCTTCTTCCGACCCATCCTGTGCTCCACTCTCCAGCTCTGAAGCTTCCCCTGCCTCTGACTCTTGCCTCCTGGCCGGTACAGGTCCCCACAAATCACTGGCCCCCTTTCCCAAGTCAGACACCAGCCCCCCTTCCCCTCGGTGTGCACCCTCCAGTGTCTTGCCAGTCTCTGACATTATTTAAACATGTAGGTTCCATATTAGCATGCGTGTCTCCGGGGCCTAAAGACTGGAAGAGGTGCCAGCTTTCGTGAGCTTGGATCTGACCTGATGGGTTCTGGGATGCGTGCAGGTTGCTGGTACTGCTTGATAATGTTGCGGATGTTCTGTGTCGGCTCCGGAATGTACTCTGAGTTCAGCTTGGAGTGACGGACAAGCTCACCAGCGCGCAGCCTGGAGGCGGGATCTGCGCAAGGAGGGACAGAAAAAGAAGTGAGACAACAGTGGCCTGTTTGTGTAAATTGTGGGTTGGGGAACTTCAGGCTCCAGGGGCCACATGTTGGCCTCCAGGCCTTTCTCTCTGGCTCTCTGAACTCTCCCCAGTCCACACCCAGCCATGCCTCGTACCCCACATATTTTTGCCTGGCTGGCATGCGTCATTCAACTCTGATAATGCCTCTCTGCTTCCCTGAACAGGGGTGGGGGTGAGTGTCAGTAGAAAACAGTCTACTGTGCAAAGGTAAAAATGGCATTCGTTGCTCTGCCTGTTTTTGCCTCTGGCCCCCCAGCCACCACTGGCGAAAACAGAAACTCCTTACCAGATTTCTGAAAGAACAGCATGTCTTGTGTAAGGCTCGGTGATGCTGCAGTGCCGTCTACCAGCCCTTTCTCGGCTTCTCTCTGCCACGGAGGGGGTGAAATTGAACACTGTGATGAGTCGCAGCCTCAGAATTCTGGAGCTGGGAGCTAGAACAAAATCTAGAACAGTACTCTTGAGCCGCCTAGTCCAAACTGAGACCATTCCCAAGCCCTCTCCCTTGGGTCTTCTCCCCACACTTAAATGCCATTCCCTGGATATTTGGGTGTGCCCAGAGCCCCTCCTGTAACTGCTCCCTCCCCTCCCCAGCTCCACCAAACCTGGTCCATTGCTCTACCGCAGAACGGTGGATTTGAAGACCTGCCGTTCCCGACTGGGCACGCAGCTTGAAAAAAACAAACAAAACCCAGCGGTGATGGCCAGGCCAGCTTTGGAGGTGAGTGAAATGAATACGGGCAGAGAGATATCCAGTGTCGGGCAGCTCGAGGTCACCTAAAGGAGGGCACAAAGATTTCAGCAAAAGCACGCAGTGTCTCAGAAGAGATGAGGGAAGCAGCCTCTGGGCCGCGAGGGCACCAGGGACAGGGCACAAGCCAGACCTGTGCAACCTTCTAAGGTTGTCATCAAAGGCTGGCATAACTGTCGAGGAGACGCACCAGAGCAGGGGGACCCACTGGCACGACCCCCCTGCGCCTGCTCTTCTTCTTCGCCACTACAACTTGCTTGCTCCCCTGGCCCTTGTTCTAGCTTGGCAGGGATTAGAAGGGTGGCATTATGCACCGGTGCGGCTATCCCAAACATGCAAGGAAGTCAATCCCAATCGTTGGAGGTCATGCACAGTCAAAGGTACATATTACCATATGTGGTGGTGTTGTGACATCTTCAAAGAAGAATGCTGTCTTCAAGGAAATAAGCCTGATATACAACAAAACAATTGAAATGTCCCCTGCACTGGCTCTACTTGGGCTTAGGATCCCGTCTGCTCACGACTATCCTAAAGATGACCTCTTAACCTTTCTATTGACCGTTTCCATATGGGTGTTGGAAATCTGGTGTTGGGCTGAAGATTGATTCTTGGTGTAACAGAGTATGATCAATAGCATGGCTGAGAAACTAATATGCCAGCTGAGAGTAGCAAAGGGCAAACACAATCCATATTCCTTTTGTAACATATGGCAAATGTTTATTGAATACATAAATTGTTCAGACTGTGGCAAGAATCCACCCAGCACTCATGGGAAAACGTGGCGTGTTATTTTAGACCAATCCAGTGAAATTTTAACACATGGCATGATAAAAGTCTGTAATTTTATTAGGACAGGTTATTTGTTGTTTACTGTTGTAACAATTGTTTTCTCAAAATTTATCTTCGGTATTATGAAAATAAATAAAAGCAGTATTATTATTATTATTATTATTTTTAAAAAGGAAGGTTAGAAGGGTTTGTTATTCTGACTGGTGTGTAACTGGAATGCAGAGTTAAAAGTAAATTATCAAATAATCAATTCTAGCGTGCAGGGGGGCAACAAAATAATATAATTTGGTATCTGAACAATTGGCATTATTAATTGTATTAGAATTTGGTATTGTGACAATGAGGCTTTTATTGGGTTATTGTAACTGAAAACTAATAAAAATTATTACACAAAAATAAATAAAAAATATAAAAAGAAGGAAGAAACAGCTGTGGGCAAGACAGAGGCACAGTAGCTGTCCTTGCCTCCTTCCTCAGTAGCTCTGTCTGATAAGGAAGCAGGTGGCAGAAATGAAGAGGGGGAGCAGCGGCGGTGGCAGCAGTTGTTAATAATGGCAGTGATGAGGTAGACGGACCGAGGATGGGGGCCATTCCAACATTTGGAGGAGGCACTGCAACCAGTGATGGACTGGGGGGAAATGCAGCCCTGTGTCACTGCCAGCTATGTCTTGCGCTCAACAACCATCTCTGGGTAACAGGGGGCCCAGAGGGCCGTCCACCTAGTATTTAGTCACTGACCAGAGAACCGAGGACCGCGGGCATCTTCTTTGTGTCTCATCATCTGTACGCATAAGAGACTCACCTGGGGAGGCAGGCCCCCTTGAGGCCCGGCATCATAGGTGCCGCTCCTCTGGGTCCTGGAAGGGCTTCTGTGCTGGGGAGACCTGGGGCTGGAGTACTGGTTTGCACTGAGTGAGGTTGCACCGGCCAACGCTGCTACAGCGGCCTGCTGCCGTCGGCGGAGAGCCTCCACTTGGGACATGTGTTGAGCCTGTCCCAGAGAGAAAGGGCAGGGGTTAGGGTTGCCAGCCTTCTTTTTCCAGCAGGGCTCCTGTGCTTTTAACAGCAGGGCGCCAAGCGGCAGTTAAAGGTGCAGGAACCCTGACGGAAAAGAGAGAGTGGCCAATTTTAAAAGGCACATCCTATGATCCCAGGGAGAAAAAGCAAAAGGAAGGAAGGAAGGACCATTGTGGGTGCACTTAGATGTCACAGAAATGAAGTTAAGAAGACTGTTTGTTTGCTGAGCATGTCACTTGTGAATGCCATACATGGGGAAACAGAAAGCAGGACAGGGCACTGGGTCAGAACTGGAAGCACGGTTCATAAAACGTAGGAATGCACGGCCCTTTTATAGCATCACTTCTATTAGATATCTCATTCCTTATCCAGAGCCTCGAACGATGCCATCGTCCCCCATGTATGACTCCTGATTCCTGCCTTTACTTACCAGAAGCAACTCCTGCTGGTTACGGAAAGCTTGCTGTGCCAACAGCAAGGCCTCATTTGTTGCTGCTGCAGGGAATAGAAACAAGGTCAGTTATTGTGTGGTACACAGACGCTGTTAATAAGGACTTTTTTTTTTACAAAGGTGGGGTGACAGGTGCTGTGGTCAGGGAGAGATATAGCTCAGGGCAAGAGCACCTGCCCTGAGTCTGACCAAACTGCGGGAGGCAGTGGAAGACAGGGGTGCCTGGCGTGCTCTGGTCCATGGGGTCACGAAGAGTCGGACACGACTAAACGACTAAACAACAACAACAACAAAGTGGTTTTTAAATGTCTTGCATATGTAAATGTTTCAGCTTTTTCTTTTATATCCAATTATTCTAAATAAGTTTTTATTGCATTGTACATTGCTTTGGGAAGCCTAATGGGAAGTGATTCATAAACAAAACGAATCGTTGTCATTTTGATGTTCCTTGGATGTTTCAAAGGTGTCCGAGGACAGAGAGCACCCCTCCCTAGGATTGGTGTAGCCAACATGTGCCTCTTCCAGATCTTGTTGGACTACAACTCCCAGCCCCCTGTCCGTCCATTGGCGATGCCAACTGGGACAAACCGTCCAACAGCTTCTGGAGGATTCTGGAAGGCACCAGATTGGCTGCCCCTGCTCTAGGAAAACTTTGAAGAAATCGCCAAAGGAAGCTTTCTCTCAATTTTTCTCCAAGGGAACAATTCCACATCCATTGTTTCACAGCTGACCTCACTTAGGTTACTCACCATTTGGCCGTGGAAGGTAGCTCTGCCTACACTCACCAGCTGTTTGGGGTCCCTCAGCTGGTACACCTTCTCCATCGCTCTGGCCTCCATTCCCCGCTCCGATCTGGCCTCCTCCCTTCATCCTGTGGGAGACGGCAGCCGGCTTCTCCAGTTCCTGGGCCAGGACAGAACAAATAAGCATTGGCGCTTGGGGGGAGGAGGGTGGCGCAAATGAAATAAGGCCAAAATTCTAGGGCTTTCCCCAGTATGACAAACTCCAAGGCCTGAATGGGAACCAGTCTTCCTATCTAGGTATTTTCATACTGCCTTGTTGCAAATGTTGTCCCTGCATCAGGCCAACATTTGGTGAAGTGGTTTGTGTGTGGGAGAGTTTGTCTTGCTTCTGGGTAACTGTTCCCTCACTAGCTGTTGAGCCTGGAAATTGCTGTCCTTTTTGCTGCCACGTTTGACAGAGAATCCAGACAACACTGCTGCCTTGCACACCTCAGAATTTTGTGCATTCACCTCCTGCTTCGTTTTTCTTTTCTTTCTTTAAAATCTGAGGTTCAGAACAATCTGTTTTACCACTTGGGAGAGAGACCTTTCTTTGGCCGCTAACACCAGAAGAAATCTCCCTTCCAGCATTCTGAGAATTAGGTGTCCTTTGAGAAACAGGACACTGGGCCTGACTGTCTAGCATCCACTTTGCGTCTGGGGATTGGGGAGGGGACGGCGCTTTCCTTACCCCATTCCCATAGGACAGAACAGGGTCAAAAAGACTGTCCAGGTAATGATCCAACCCCTTCTGGCTTCGGGGCTCGCTGAACGTGTCCGAATCTGCTTCCGGGTTCAGAAAAACAAATAAAAGGGAATTAGCCAAAAAGCAGTCCTCATAATGTGATGATTCCCATGGGGTCCCTCAGCCCAAAAATCAGGGTTGCCAGGGTGATTAATCAGAAATGGAGGATGAGGCTCCTGTAAGCTGGGTAGAAGAGTTGGCAAGCCCCGGTTTCTAATGCGTTTGAAACTTTGCACCCGCCACTATGGTCTGTGGCTTTGATGGAACACTGACTGCACAAAGGAAGGTACAAGTGAACACTATTCAAGCAGATCATTTTGATGTGGACAGGCAGATATTTTTAAAATATGCTGTGACGAAGGAACGTAATTACCAACCACCTGCCCCACACAGATCACGGTGGAATGACCTCCTGGGTTAACCCATCTTTTATATAACCAATACTTTCATAATGGAAGCAAAGGGGTCTTGGCTAACTGAGTTTGCCCCCATTTGGGTTTGAGTGTTATTTCTTTATTTTTATTGTTCTGTTTAGTTTGTACAAATCCAATAAAACAAATATCACAGGGCAAGGAGGGGGGATGGTGGACAAAGAGGGACTTTCAACAGATGCTGCTTCTGCCACCCAAACACCGTTGTGGCCGTCAGCTGATTGTTGTGGCTTGCAAAGAGGCAGCACAAAAAGTTTGAACCATGCAGGCAAAGGAAAATGTTCCATCTGGCCTCCTCTCCCCTCAGCTGCCAGCTGGGGGCAGCCATTCCATCAGGCTGCCTCAGTGGGAGAGATGGGACTCTGAAGACTCAGCTTTGCCAAAAGCCTAGGTCCTGCCCCTGCCCAATGCCAGCTGGTCATTTATAAGAGCACCTGTTTAAGAATTGGTGCCTGAGTTTGATTTCCGATCTACCCTCTCTGTCGCTTTTACCCTTATGTACTGTGCTTTTCTTTTCTTTTTTGGATTGCAAGTCTGCAAAGCAGGGACTGCCTGGTTTTAATTGACTGCATGGAAGTCACTCTGGGAGTCCTTTTGGCTGAAGAGCAGGGTGCAAATGCCCTCAAATTAACAAAAATGGGTGACATCAGGTGGCTGGCAGGGGGGGTGACATTTTTCTATGAGCGATGTTATGATCTTCTGTCATGCGCGCGCGCGCGCGCGCACACACACACACACACACACACACAGAGGCAAGCTCAGGGCTTGTCCATACATTCACTCGTCCTCCCAGTTCCCTTCAGGAAAACTTACTCTTTACTGCTGAATCGGAGCAAATGTCAACCAAGTTTTCCGTGATTGATGTTTGCTCCGATTCAGTGCTAAAGAGCAGGTTTTCACAATGAAAGCAGCAGGGCAAATGTAAAACCGCTTGGATCCATGCCTAGAAAGCACAGAACAAGAAGAAAACCTGCTTTCTAGGCGCAGGACCAGTGAAGGGTGGACGAACCCTTGGTCCTTACCATGGCTGCAATATCCTTCTGAGTCTGGCAGGTTGGTGGGGGCCACCGTAGGGGCCTTCATAAGTGGCGGAGGAGGAACCTTCTCACCAGAATCCAAACTGTGTCTGAATACTCTAAGGATAAAAGGGAAGGAGAGCAATGGGAGATGGAGGAGGAGGAGGAGAGAGAGGGCAGACAATACCATGTTTCAAATTGGGGGTGGCACCAAGAAGAGAAGAGAGAGTGAGCAGAGGAGGAAATGTCAAGGTAAAATAAAACTCCAGCTGGAAATATTTATTATTTGCAGGGCGGATTCAGCATATGCAGTTTCATGCTTGCACACTGTTCTTCTAAACTCTAAAACAGGGGTGGGGAACCTCCAGTCTGGGGGCTGCTTGTGGTCCTTCACACCTCTCTATCCAGCCCTGGGGACTCTCCTTAAGCCCAACCCGAGAGCGCCCCCATCAGGAGCCCTGCTTTGTGCCCTTAAGTGTTTTTGCATGGCAGGAGCATGTCCCTAAACTAGGATAATGCCTCTTGCTTGCCTGAGTGGAGGGGTGCGTGTCAAAACCTCTGCTTTTCTGCATGCTAAAATGTAACCTGTATGAAGGCAAGAGTCACAGCTGTTGCTCCGCCCATTTTTTCCTCTCTGGCTCCACCCACCACCCTGGAAGGTTCTGCACAAGGGAATGGGCTGCCTTGTTTTGCCTGTCGTGGCCCCTCCCTTTCATTGCTTGGCAAAAGATTATTGCCCTCCCTGGGCAAGTCATGAACCCTTGTCCAGGGAGGGCTGTGGGTACACTCTGCAGAGAACTATGTGGGTGCTGTGCTCTTTGGGATTCCTTTCCTTCCCATTTTGGGTTGTGTTCCAAAATCAGCTTGTGAGTGGCATAGGGGGGTTTTAACCCCTGCTGCTAAGGGCGTGCCTGGGGGGCTGAAAGTAGTGGTAGTGTTGTTGGCTGTGCCACTGATTTTAAAAGAGCCTCATATTTTAAAGGGTTCTCTGTTTTTCTGACATGTTTAAAATAGTTTTGTTGTTGCTGAACAGCCTTTATTACTAGTACCTCCCCCCCCCCTTTTGCTAATATTGTTTATATTTTTGGAAGTGGGCATATTGAAATATTTCCTAAGACTGGGTTAGCAAATGGGAAGATCCTGACCGTGTGCAGATCTGACTGGTATTCAAGGTAAAGCCATAGATTCATCAAAACCAAAAGCCACATCCTTTATGGCAGCAACTAGGATAACATCCTAGTTATCTCTACCATAGTAGTGATGTATGGAAGTGAGAGCTGGACCATAAAGAAGGCTGATCGTCGAAGAATTGATGCTTTTGAATTATGGTGCTGGAGGAGACTCCTGAGAGTCCCACGGACTGCAAGAAGATCAAACCTATCCATTCTGAAGGAAATCAGCCCTGAGTGCTCACTGGAAGGACAGATCCTGAAGCTGAAGCTCGAATACTTTGGCCACCTCATGAGAAGAAAAGACTCCCTGGAAAAGACCCTGATGTTGGGAAAGATGGAGGGCACAAGGAGAAGGGACGACAGAGGACGAGATGGTTGGATAGTGTTCTTGAAGCTACCAACATGAGTTTGACCAAGCTGCGGGAGGCAGTGGAAGACAGGAGTGCCTGGCGTGCTCTGGTCCAGGGGGTCATGAAGAGTCGGACATGACTAAACGACTAAACAACAACAACAACAACAGGATAACATCAGGGCAGTATCACATCTGTACTGAATCAGAACCGTAGAGCTGGAAGGGACCGCAAGGATCATATAGTGCATCCCCGCAATGCAGGAATCTCTCACCCAACCTGGGACTCGAACCCACAGCCCTTAGTCTCATGCTCTACCAACTTATCTATCCCTCAGGGCAAAACAGAAAGCAAGCTTGTGTCAGCAGTGCAGTCCCTAATCTCTGGCATCCCAAGCACAAGGGTTGGGCACTTCCATGCTAAGATGGCACCCAGTCTTGTTCTCTTCAAGACCTGTCCTTCCAACAATCTTCCACAACCTGTGTCCACATGCTCTTGAAACTGCACTGAACTGTTCAAAGAAAGAGCTAGCAAGTCGCCTCTGCTACTTACGCTTTGCCGCCAATATTTCTCTCCGGCCCCTCTGAGGCAACAATGAAGTAGGACTTATGCTTTGGGAAGCCACGGATGAGTTCCAGGTCAGACACCAGATCTAAGACGTAGTCGTGGCCGGCCAGCTCAGCCCACTGGGTGCCGTCCTTCATGGCGACTGACCAGCCTCGCCATCCCTCTGCAAGCCCCCTGTGAAGAAGGATCAGTCCTGAGCCGTCCTGGGTGCTTAAAATCCACGAAGGAGTAGGGCACTGGGGATCAGCAGAGATCAAAATCCCAAAAGGTAACTTCAACTGAATGCCCAGTTGTCAGGAGCAGTTCATTCCCAGAGCTGGAATCAGACGAGACCTCCTGATGGGAGGACCCCATTAGAGGGCCGAGGTGGGGGGGTGGGGAGAGGGAACCCCTGACATCATAATCCAGGGCAATACCCTACTTAGCGAATATTCAGATCGGGGGACCTAATGTGCCCCCCCTGGATTTATTCATCAACTTTTGACTCTCCAGATTCTATTGGTCATAGTACCATTGGTACAGTATATACAGGTCCTGCTATCAGAAGGCGCAATAGCCACAAATTCAGTTATCTGAACGCAAAGAATTATGCCCCAAACCTTGCTACACAAACAGCTAAGTCAGGTATCTGAACAGCCAGAGTTTGCCCTCTTCCTTACTGCCTTGCTTATACTTTTGCTGGTAGGCAGCAACCATTTTTGGGCAGAAACCATGCAAGGAAGGAGGGAGATCAGACAAATCAGATTTCCCTTTGTCTCTCTTTGGTTGGCTTCAGCCATTTCAGGGGGGAAAACCAAGCAGGGTGCGGGGAGAGAAACTGGACAAATCATGGATTCAATATGTTCCCTTAGGGAATAATGGAAATTGACAGCTCTTTATGCGAACGCTCGACTAACGAGAGATTGCATTCAAAAAGCGGGACCTGTGTGTACTCATTTGGCAGCACAAGGCATCCTCTGTCCTAGTTCTGTGCAGAAGGAGGAACTGATGCCATAATAATGGTCAGGATGAGGACCCTAGGAAGCCTGGAGCAGCCAGGCACAGTCCTCCAACTTTCGTTGCAATTGCTCCTAGTCTAGCTGCCTTCTGGACAGCTCCTTTCCTGTTTTGTATCAGGTCCTTCGGCTTCTGATTCTGCTAGACAGTTCCCCTGGAATGGGGACACCAACAAGCAGACCCTGCCACCGCCCCCCCCCCGAAGATTTTAATTTCCTTCTACCTGTATTTCAGTACATTTTCAGCAAGGTTTTCTCCGGTGGTCCAGGAATGGATGGGGCAACAGAAGTGATCTCCTGTCGTAGTAAAAACAAAGAGCTATTTAATGCAAGTGGTTTTCATTTTAAAAAATAAGCATCAATTTAAACTATCTAGTAAGTCGGTAGGGACAAACAGCAAAGGAAAAAACACTTTTTGAAAGCTGGATCGCTCCTATCCTCAGGACAAAATGATCCTTGGATAGCACTGTGATAGTATTGTTTTTATTTCGTTTTCAAAAGAAGATCCCTTTCAGAGGAATCACTGTATGGACATGGGTTTGAAGCCAATCTGTCCTCTGATCATGTCCAGAGTGCATTTTCTTTTCTGATGGGAAATGGGGGTTTTTTAATCAGAGAAAGAAAAGCACTCTGCGCATGATCAGAGGTTGCTGGCTTAAAGTGGCAGAATTTTTGAAATCTCTGGCACAGGTCTGTGATCCAGTGTTCACACCAAAGGATCAATGTGTTCCTCTAAATACCTCTGTTCTCCCTTCCCCCAGTTAACCAGAGAGAGAAAGAAGCAGATAAGGGGAAGCAATAAAGGGGCACCATCTTCTCTGGTTGCTCATATTTGAGCAAAGGCTCAGGACCGCAATACCTCAAGGACCGCTTCTTCCCATATGAACCTACCCGGACCCTGAGATCATCTTCTGAGGCCCTCCTTTGTGAGTCTTCTCCCTGAGAGGGAAGTTCGCCAGGCGCCTTCATTATACACCTTTATTTAGGCCTTTGGTTGATCCAATTTACATCCTATGCCCTTTTAAAATGTGGGTTTTTGGGTTGTGCTTTTATTTTTGTTGGGTGTGGCTTTGTATCTTGATTTTATTCTGTGAACTGCCCTGAGACCCCCGGCTATAGTGCGGTATATAAATTCAATTAATAATAATAATAATGATAATACTATATTTGGGGAAGGGGTGTAGGTCAGTGGCAGTGCATCTGCTCTGAATGATGTCCCAGGTTCAGTCTCCAACATCTCCAGGTGGGGCTGCAAATGTCCCATTTGAAATCTTGGAGAGCCGCTGCCAACAGCGTAGACAATATTGTGCTAGATGAATCAAGGGCCTGACTCTATTTTGAATTCTTCCTCTTTTTTATGCCCTCCTGAAAATTCACCAGAATTTTAGTGCAAAATTCTCCCAGTGTAGACACATTCCCTAATATAATGCATCTTTGTATTTTATTATTTTTTGCTAATATATGTGTTTTTATGCACATACACATTTTCGTAAACATTACCTGGCTGGGGACCTGCATTGCAATATCCAGGGAAGTGTGAGTTTCAAAGGATAGGACCTCGTTTCTCCCTCATTGCTAGGCATAAGGCAGCCTCCTAGGTTCCCATTAGGCCGAAAGAGACAATGGGGCTGAGCTCAGTGCCTTAGACAGGGCTATCACCTCCCTGTCCTCATAAACCAAGCCTATTTCTTGATTCCTGGATAACCAGGGCTCTCACCATTGAAACAGTAAACATCCAGGGCCATGTTGACTCTGTCCCGGCTGGTTGCCCACTCCAGGAGGGTGGGTGGGTAGGCCCGGGCGCCTTCAGCACCGTCCTGGGCCTGAGCCATGGCTTGCATGAGCTTGTGCTGGCAGATGGGCTTGTAGCCGTCGAAAGCATAGTCGGAAACAAATCTGCAGGGGAGGAAAAACAGAGATCCTGGGAAAATAAATAAGCCAAGCGGGGAGCAGAGCCTGATGTTAGAATCCTGCACCTTCAGGCAGATGCCAGAATAACAAAGCCCTGGCAGGGCCCACGGCTCCCGACCACACAACTGTGCTGCCTAGGGGTGATGGGAGTTGGAGTTCAAAACATCTGGAGGGCACCAGGTTGGAGAAGGGTGATATGTAGACAATACTGAGCTAGACTGGCCAAGTCTGAACTGAAACCTAAAATCACCATCTGTGCGCCCCTTCCTTGTGTGTCCCCTGTACGACAGGGCTGGAGGGTGGCAACATGAGAATGGGGCCTTTTCTGTGGTGGCTCCCCATTTGTGGAACGCTCTCCCCAGGGAAACTTGCCTGGCACCTTCATTACATTTCCTTAAGTGCCAGGCAAAATCTTTCCTCTATAAGCAGGCCTTTGGCCTTTAACTATCTGTGGTGATTGGGATGTTTTTAACATATTTCTTTTCCCTATTGATTTTAATGTATCTATGTGGGGTTGTTTGTTTGTTTGAATAATAGAATCATGGAATTGTAGAGTCAGAAAGGGACCCCGAGTGTCATCTCGTCCAACCCTCTGCTGTGCAGGAATTATCAACAAGATAATACACAACAGATGGCCATGGCTCTCTTCCGTCCCTCCTCCCGCCTCGCTGTAAAGCCAGCAGAGCAAGAGCCACTGACACGCTCTCTGCTGCTCTTGCTTTAAAGCAGAGCTTTACAGCGAGCAACGGACAGGAGCCACGGCTCCAGCTGCAGAGGTATCCCTCAGCTCGCGACCGCAGCGGCAGCCGAGGGATCCCTCTGCCGTCCAGTGCATTCACTCCATAGGACGCACAGACATTTCCCCTTACTTTTTAGGAAGAAAAAAGTGTGTCTTATGGAGTAGAAAATATGGTAAATCTGGGGACTCTCCCTGGGAAACGGGGACGTCTGGTAACCTTAGCATAATGCCTTCCACACTGGAGGCAGACCTCAGCCAATGCAGCTACTAGCCCTCTTCTCTTCCTCTCCCTGCTTTTCCAGCTGGTGCCACTCACTTCAGCAAGTATTTATCCAGGCTGTGGGAAGGGGCAAAGGCACTGAAGGCAGAGGCCAACAGGAGCCAGCCACGTTCCTCGTTGTTGACGTTGGTGTTGCGCCACACTTGGTTGGCGATCTGGGCCAGGATCTCGTCTCGCAGGCTTGGGATCGACAGCCCCTTCTGCACGATGTAGTTCCCGAAGAGGACCTCCTGTGTGCCGTTGAGGCGGGGGTCGCCCATGAAGCGGAGGATCTGCCAGGGAGAGAGGACGTGACCAGAAACACACACCCCACATGCCACAACAGAACCGCCACCCTCTTCCTCCCTCTCCTTGTGAGGGTCATTAAAGGCTGAGATTTTGGATCAGAGGTGCTGCAATTTTTATATATATATACAGTGGTACCTCGGGTTACACACGCTTCAGGTTACATACGCTTCAGGTTACAGACTCTACTAACCCAGAAATTGTACCTCGGGTTAAGAACTTTGCTTCAGGATGAGAACAGAAATTGTGCAGCGGCTGCGGCACAGCCGCAGCAGCAGGAGGCCCCATTAGCTAAAGTGGTGCTTCAGGTTAAGAACAGTTTCAGGTTAAGAACAGACCTCCAAAACGAATTAAGTATGTAACCAGAGGTACCACTGTATATATATTATTATAGAATTCTTGGTGTACCAAAACACGTGTGTTGTCTCTTTTTTCAAGTTGAGTTTTCTACAATTCAGTTTCATTTGATGTGAGGCATTAGTGTTACAATGTTAGGTTAGGAAGAAAAGAGGGGGAGGGAAAGGTGAGTGGGGTGGGGTGGGGTGGTTATGTTTCTAGTCTTCTATTAAGTGTATGTGTGGGGTTTTGTGTCAGCGTTACTTGTATGGGTTCTCTTACAATTTGAGCACTTCAGTTTCCTCCAAGAAGTTCAGAACACTCTTTTGGAATTCCTATCCAGAAACAATTCCAGAAGTACAGAACTGACACCCTGATAAGACACAAGATGCAGTCAGCCTGCATCTTACTTTCAGAATATTATTACTGTTGCTATTTATTTCCCCCCACTTTTTCCTACCCCATCTTTTCCTTTCTTCTTTACCCCACCTCTGATTTCCTCTCCATTCTTATGTTCTTATGTTAACCTCACATCACCCTATGAAAAATGTAGCTCGACAAACCTTTCTGATTATATATGCTCTTTACAGTACTCTGATGTATTTTACTATGGTTTGTGCATAGCTTAGTGACTTTATTATGTGCAACATTTAATTATGACAGTTGTATCATTTATTTATCTATCATTGTTTTGGGTTAGAAAGGATGGGCTGAAAGCTCCCAAACTCCAGCTTAAAACTCTGGGGTAGAATTCACTGTGGTCTAGATGAGTCTTGTACTTCTGTGGAGGGGGGAGTAGAAAGTTATGAAAGCCTTAGTTTATATTCGTTTGTTGTTAATGTTTCTTTTTTCCCCTCTACATGTGTACTGCCTGTTTTTGTTGTTCAATAAATAAATAATAAATACCATGGGGGATATTGTTTTTCCCTTGTTACTATGTTATGCATTTTTGTGTTTTTATATTGCCAGCTGCCCTGTGATCCTCAGATGAAGAGTGGTATAGGAATTTTAATAGTATTATTACTACTACTACTACTACTATTACAATAAGCCTGAGATTCTCATCATTCCTTACTCTGCAGTCTTAAAGCTCTTGCATGCAAATGGGTCAGAATTGGCTCTCATCTACATGATGTAACAGAAAGTACTGAGAAATTATGAGAGTCTTAACTAGCTCATTGAACATAGATGGATTTTTACAGACTCCTTGCTCCAGCATCTTTGTACGTGTTACTTGGCTGTAGAATTGCATTGCAAAATTCGGAGATGTGCAAATCCAGAGATTTCCAAATGGCTGTTTTTCAATTTCGCATATCGTTCTGGTGAATTATGTAGGTTCATGTTTGCATGCGAACTGAGCCATATTTCTTCCCTATGCCTCTCCTCCGCTGGTACGACGACACAGACACTCACACTCCTTATTTGATCAGGAAGATTCCTCTTCACCTACCAGTTTGAAAAGGGACACCGCTTCTCCTCTCAGGCTCTCGTCTATCATTGTCAGTGAGGATGCCAGAGTCCTTGTCAGCATCCCAAAGAGTGGCTCCTGAGGGACAAGAGAGGAGGTGAATGTTAACTACGTCTGCACTTTCTGGCCTCTGACGTTGGACCAGAGACCAAGGGCTACTGAGAAGCTGCTCCTGCCCTCTCCCAGGAAGGAACTAATGGCAAAGGGAAGGCCAGCCTTGCCCCAGCTGTCAATCAGAGAGGAAGCACTGGAGGGAGTTTGCTTCGCCCCTCCATTCTAGACATTTGCTGCGTAACTAAAAAGTAGTCCCTGAGTTTGCTCCCTCCCTCTCCCCCAATTCATTTTCCTTTTATGCCACGTCTTTCGGATTGTAAGCCTGAGGGCAGGGCTCATCTTCGCAGTGATCGTTGTAAGTTTTTTCAGTCAAAGAGCAGGGAGGGAAATGGTTTTAAGTAAGAACAGCTGCCTTGCTTCACTGATTAGCTATGTATTTCGGCAGAGCCGCAAAAGCAGGTCAAGGGAAGGACCAGTTTATTCTTTTGACAAGAATGACGGTGTGCTCAAGCCACCAACTAGAAGAGTTGCCACCTTTTATCTGGGCAAATTATGAACAGTCCAGCCAAAGCCACTTTTGGCCACAGAGTGAGCATGGAGGCTCCTGGAAAAGGCAGGCTCAACATTTCCCACCCACCTTAAAACTGCACCAAGGAAACTTCTTTACCCCAGCGCTGGCATGTTGACAGCAACCTACACTTCACTGTATTGGTAGAAGTGGCATTGTTTAATTGGATCTACTGGAATGACAAATCTACCGTTGGCAATCATGTGAAACGCATTGCTGTGCACTGGGACCATTTATTATGAGGACAGACAGGAAGGTCAAAGCGCAATGGCAGAGCAACAGGCTTGCCTGCAGAATTTCCCAATATCAGTCTCTGTTGCCTCTGGGTAAAAAGATCTCCAGTATCAGGACTGGGGAATGGCTGTGTCAGGACCACACCCTGAAGCAGATGAGACCTCCTTATAGAAGGAATACTTTACAGCTGACTCCAGTTACAAAGGCTGAGGATGCTGAAGAGGCCAGAGACCATCTTGGCTGTGATTCCTAGAAGATCTGATCTCTGCCTTGCAAGCCTTTTCCACCTGGCCTAGGAGGGCAGGGCCCTGACTGACTCCAGCTACAAATCTGAGTCTTCTGGCTTAGGGTATTGTTTAGTGGGAGGTTGTTGTTGGGGCAGGGGATTGCTTCTGTTATTGATAATAATTCTTTGTTTCTTTATTTTTAGATCTTATTATAATTTATGGTTTTTGTGGAACTCGATCAGTTTTGTTGTGTCCTTTTTGAGCTGTTTTATTTATTGTTTATGACTACTTTCTTAACTATATCACTCTATTTATGTTGTAAGCCACCTTGAATATGGTTTTAACTATGGAAAGGTGGCATGCAAATAAAACGACTAATATCATTATTATTATTTAAGGTTATAGCCGGTCTTTCTCCAAAGTAGGGATTCAAAGTACCTTGCAGCATTTAAAAACAACATTCTAAAATACAAAGTAGTAAAAACAAACCAGTTAAAAACAGTAATTAAAATACATCAGAATACATCTACAGCCAGCAATTAAAAGACAGTTTACTCTGACAGCAGCCTAGTCAGTTTACTCTGACAGCAGCCTAGCACTTTCAATTTTCATCATCCGCACCTTAATTTTCAAAGGCCTGTACTTGGACAGAGGGGGCTTAACAAACCCTGAAACTGCCAACCCAGAAGTCACCTCTTGGGTGGGCTGTCTGCAGAATCAAGAGACTTGTTGGCCCCCAACTGACATCTCAGCTCCAAATCCTCCACTCCCAGGCCCCAGGAATAGAGATAGCAAGGAACCCAAGCTGAACCTCAAACAAGAAGGTTTTGTGCATTTCTGACAGCACAAGGTCTTCCATCTATGAAGCCTACTCAGGAGGAGGTTGTTGATTTGGGGATCCAACCAACATTAGCATTTATCTGACAATTCCCACCCAATCACTGCTTCAAACTTTTTAGCTTTGGGTGAGCACATTGATTAAATCTGGAAATTAGCAGAGGAAACAAGAACCACGTCACTCTCCTGATCGGGGCCCTGGGGCTGCTCAAGGAAGCACAAGCAGCTTACAACCAGGCAGCAGGAGCAACTATTAGAACATTATGTTTGCTGCCTGGCAGTTGCTGAAGCAACAGCTCCTGCTGGCCAGCCCCTTGTGCTGTCCTTCTGACTCCCCTGCTGCTTCAGGCACACCTTGCCTTGACCTTTTGCCTTGCTGGACAGCTCTTCCAGCCACACCACCCAGCACTGGCAGGAACTGGACATTCTACCTGACTGAGAATGTGAACATTGCCGTCACTTGCCCTAGACATATAAGAAACACAATGCACATACCCAAACCCTTACCTTGAAGTGGGTCTGCACATACTTGCTCATGGGGTAATTGTTGATGTCAAGGGGCAGAGTGAATTGGGGGTCCGCCTGTAGCTTTGGAGGGGGGATGGGAGTGACACAGTCTTCATTGATCTGCTTGTGAACTGCCGGAAACAGAGAGGAAAGAGATGTGCAGAATTCCCACATTATAAATGAGAGGACTGGCTCTCATATGGGTAAAAGGTAAAGGACCCCTGGATGGTTAAGTCCAGTCAAAGGCAACTATGGGCTTGCTGAGGGAGCTGGCATTTGTCCACAGACAGCTTTCTGGGTCATGTGGCCAGCATGACTAAACTGCTACTGGTGCACGGAGGACAGTGACGAGTGCCAGAGTGCACGGAAACGCCATTTACCTTCCCGCCTCAGCAGTACCTATTTATCTACTTGCACTGGTGTGCTTTCAAACTGCTAGGTTGGCAGGAGCTGAGACAGAGCAACGGGAGCTCACCCTGTTGCGGGGCTTTGATCTGCCAACCTTCCGATTGGCAAGCCCAACGGGTTCCGTGGTTTAGACCACAGCGCTACTCACGTCCCCTCTCATAAAACCCTAAGAAGCAGGGGTATTGTTATGGGGAAAGAGGAATTGATTATTAAACCACCCAGGGAATTGTAGATTAGTGAGGAGAACGGGGAGGTGTCTTTCAGCACCCTTAACAAACTACACTTCCCTGAATTCTTTGGGGGAAGCTGTGACTGCTTAAAGTACCGTATTTTTCGCCCTATAGGACGCACCATCCCATAAGGCGCACCTAGTTTTTTGGGGGGGAAATAAAAGAAAAAAAATTATTTCCCCACCAGGCGCGGGGCTGGGGCGGGGGAAGCCCGAGCTTCCCCCGACCCCAGCCCCCAGAACAGGCAACTCTCCGCAAGCCGTGGGAGCCCGGCGCCGGACTCCCGCGCCTTGCGGAGGGATGCGCGAAGTCTTGGCGCGCTGAGTTTAGCACGCCCAGGCTTCAGCATGCAGGCAACTCTCCGCAAGGCGCGGGAGCCCGGTGCCGGGCTCCCGCGCCTTGCGGAGAGCTGCGCGGAGTCTGGGCGCACTGAGCCCAGTGCGCCTAACCTTCGGCATGTAGGCAACTGTCCGCAAGCTACGGGAGCCCAGCGCCGGGCTCCCGCGCCTTGCGGAGAGCTGCGCAAAGTTTGGGCACGCTGAGCTTAGCACGCCCAGCCTTCGGCATGCAGCCAACTCTCCGCAAGACGTGGGAGCCCATCACCGGGCTCCCGCGCCTTGCGGAGAGCTGCGCGAAGCCTGGAGAGCGAGAGGGGTCGGTGCGCACCGACCCCTCTCGCTCTCCAGGCTTCAGCGAAAGTTTGCATTCGCCCCATAGGACGCACACACCTTTCCCCTTCATTTTTGGAGGAGAAAAAGTGCGTCCTATGGGGCGAAAAATACGGTACTTAGAATGGATGGGGCAGATGGAGCCCTAATATCCCTGCAGCCTGACAGACAGGATTTTGCATGGAGTAGAAACCCTGTACGGCTTGTTGCGTGACAGTCTCCCCACATACTCATCCATCACTTGATGCGGGGTTAAGAATTGCTCATCATATATAGGCAGGGTTGGATGGGTTTAAGCCTTCTATTGCAAAGATACCTATTACGGTGAGATACCTTCAACGGATCTCAAGCAAAGGTTCTGGAATATCCCAGAGGAAATTAAAGGCCACTTGTCCACCTTGCCACCGGTTCGGATTAACTCCCCCTAGAGGAAGGATCCCAGCAATTGTATTAGCGTACCAGCCACAGTGTTTAAGAGTCCAACCAATTCTGCAGGCACTTCCAGGTTTGCAACTCTCATCACTTCCCGTCTGCTCAGTACCTGATGGGACCCAGAGAAATAGAGAGTCACTCTTAGACCTCTTCACTTAGCACAATAATGAGTTCATGGCATTATTCAGACTCATTGGTCAGACCACATCTGGAGTACTGTGTCCAGTTTTGGATGTCACAATTTAAGAAGGATATTAACAAGCTGGAAGGTGTGCAGAGGAGGGCGACCAAGATGATCAAGGGTCTGGGAACCAAGCCTTATGAGGAATGGTTGAGGGAGTTGGGTATGTTTAGCCTGGGAAAGGGGCGAGTAAGAGGAGATATGATAGCCATCTTCAAATATCTAAAGGATTTCACATGGATGATGGAACAAACTTGTTTTCTTCTGCTCTGGAGGGTGGGACCCGAACCAATGGATTCAAGTTGCAAGAAAAGAGATTCCGACTAAACATCAAGAAAAACTTTCTGATGGTAAGAGCTCTGAAAGTGGTGGACTCTCCTTCTTTGGAAGTTTTTAAGTGGAGGTTGGATGGCCATCTGTCATGGATGCTTTAGCTGAGATTCCTGCAATGCAGGGGGTTGGACTAGTTGGTACCTTCCAACTCTACAATTCTATGATTCTGTGGTCATTTCGGGAATATTTGCTGGGGTTGGACTTGGTTGCCCTGGGAAGGTATCTCTCGCCCAGATCTACTCCATGGACTTCAAGGAAGTACCAAGGGTCAGTGCAATCTGGCACATACTGAGCACCCACAACCCACCAGGGGGCCAACCGAGCATGGCCAAAGTTAAGCCAAAGCACAACTCAGTCACAAATCTAGGTCTGTTGCTCATATGTGGAATGACTTTCAAGGGTAAAGGTGCACAGGCTGCATGAGAATAAGGTACTAGTTCAGGGTCAGCAAACTTACTGCGCCTCAGGCCAGTGTCTCCAGCACCGATCGCACAGCGGGCGGGAGGGTGGGGGAGCACGTGCGCACACGCTATTTCCAGGGCACTTCCAGGTCGGAGGAGCACCGGAAATAGCTTGTGCACATGTACACGGGCCTCCTCCGACCCGGATGTGCACAGGAAATAACGCTTGCACATGCGCAAATAATGCTTGCACATGTGCACAAGCTATTTCCAGTGCTCTTCTGACCCAGAAGTGGGCAGCCGTGCAGTGCAGCACCGGTAAGAGCGGACAGCGGCAGCAGGTGGCGGGGTTGCCGTGGGCCGGATAAATGAGTCCCTCGGGCCTTATCTGGCCCGCAGACCTTAGTCTGGGGACCCCTGTACTAGTTGCTAGGTCTGACATGCAAAAAAGGAAAGGAAAGGAAAGGAGGAAGTTTCCAAAGTATCTGCTTTCCTGATAGGCAGGAAGGAATTTGGCTTCAAGGAAACTTCTGCCATGAACTGCGCTGCACTGCTGCTCTGCATTTCCACAGAAGCAAAGAGAAAAGAAGAGAAATTGGCAGAGGATCCAGCTGCCTGAGAATTTCAGCTTCCATGTCAAAGAGAGAAAGAGATGTTTCTAGACCTCATGGATACTAACACACACACACAAACACACACACACACACACACACACTCCTTCAAAGCATATAAGCAACAACGCCCGATAAAATGTTGGAAAACAGAGTGTGTCTGAATAGCACCTTAACCTGAGGTCAGAATGGGCAGAGCTGCAGAGCTCTGTATACTTTCTTGTTTCTTCCTGGGGCCGAATGGAACAGCAATCATTGTATTATGCAAAGTTACTATATTTGCATGGAGAATTCGGTTCTTTTCAAAGTGCCAAGCACACACATTCCTGTGTGTGTTTGTGTGTGTCCAGAATCTACTTCAGCCGAGGAACTACTCCAATCCATGCCTGGCATGAGGGCAGTGCCCACCATGTTACCTGTTCATTTTTTTTCCTCTCCTCCTCAGCTCTCCGGCGCTCCTCTTCCTTTCTCTGAAAGCAGAGTGCATTTCCATGGTCAGTGAAGCACTTAGCCCAAATCCAACCCTTTCCTGGGAAAGTGCAAGGCATTTTGGAGCCTGGGCGCAAAACCCACAATCTCATAACGATTTTGACTGGTGACTATTTGCATGTCCACCACTTGATTCAGAGTCTCTTGCCTCCCTTCATTTTGAAAGCCCATGAGTGGAAGCCATAGCAATTCAGTAAGAACTAGAGAGCCTTTGCTAGATCAGGCCAAAGGCCCATCTATTCCATTCCTCTGCTCCCATCATGGCCCACCAGAGGCCCCTGAGAAGCCCACAAGCAGGATATAAGCACAGGAATGCTCTCCAGCAAACTGGCATTTAGAGGCGTACTGACTCCGACAGTAGAGGGAGAACGCAGAGATGCTGCGGATTGGACCTCGAGCATCACGCTCTGCCACTCAGCCACGGCCCTTCCATGCAGTTGTCAAAGTGCCAAGAGATTCTTAGCAGGCTTTCTTGCTACAAATGAGTATTTATCACGCTGCTGCCAAAGGTGTGTTGACCTTCTGCGCCGAAGGTAGGGCTAGTCGCCTGCGTTTAAAAACGTCTGCAGGCAGCTGCAATGCCACAAGTGGCCTTTCATGCCTCTGCTCCTAACCCCTGCATCACTCTACCTGGGAAACCTTACCCTGCCATGACTCACTGCTTCTTCGTCCCCATCCACCTGGAAGCGGACGCTCTTGATGGTGTCCATTGGGCTGCTGCCTCTGTGCCTGAGCGCTGGGGCATGTGCCAGCTATAACCCTGTCTGCCAGGCAGCTGCTCCAGTTACCGTTGTTTGCTTATGGATACGGCTGAGTCACGCGTTAACCCTTCGCATGAAACTGACACTCATGATCCCCTCTGTAAAGCTAGGGATGGGCGAATGCACCGGTTTGGGTTTTCCATTTTTCCAGTCTTAAGATCAGTTCTCCACATTTTCACATCACTTTGCAAAAAAATAGTTGCCGCTGCTTTTAAGACTTCATGGAAACCCACCAGCATTTTAGCACAGATTTCTCCGATTTCAACAAATCCCACTGGAAAAACGCTTATGTCCATGCGGAGATGGCAGTACTGAATCAGTAGCTCGTGTGCTTTTAGCTTGCACTCGTTATAAAAAATTTGAGGTTATTGCCCCTCTACCATACCAGGTCGCTAAACCATTGCTACTGTGTCTTTTCTTCTAGCAGATCAAGAAAACCAGGTGACAGCAAAAACTGCCACATTTTGCACAGGGGCAATTAGAATAAGATCTATCTGATCATTGATGTAAACCTCTAGAATACATTTTGTATAGTTAAGTATTTACCTCTATCTTCAGTACATTTTATTTTATTTTATTGCTATGGCTAACAGCTGATGCCAATGAAGATTCTTCTTATTCTGATTCTCCTAATGTATACATTTTTGCATGCAATTTTACCCAATAAGCACATTTTTTGCAAAACAAATCCACCTAACAAAAAGGCATATTTGCATGTTGCTTTCACTAACGTACACATTTTTAGGCACGCTTTACAGAAGCATGTGCATTTTTGTACATGTTATTTGGCTGGAGAACTGCACGGCACATTTTGAAAGATGGCTGTGTCGCAGTTCATAGATTGTTTTGGAAAGGGCAAATTTTCTAAGTTAAAATGCAAACTGAATCTAATCTCTTCCCCATCCCTAGGCAAGGCTCAGTGCCCCATCCGTGGTGGCTGGTATAGTATTAGAACTGGTATGGATGAAGGCAGGGAGACCAATGGGTTTTCCATTTTGGGTTTTCCATTTTTCCAGTCTTAAGATCAGTTCTCCACATTTTCACATCACTTTGCAAAAAAATAGTTGCCGCTGCTTTTAAGACTTCATGGAAACCCACCAGCATTTTAGCACAGATTTCTCCGATTTCAACAAATCCCACTGGAAAAACGCTTATGTCCATGCGGAGATGGCAGTACTGAATCAGTAGCTCGTGTGCTTTTAGCTTGCACTCGTTATAAAAAATTTGAGGTTATTGCCCCTCTACCATACCAGGTCGCTAAACCATTGCTACTGTGTCTTTTCTTCTAGCAGATCAAGAAAACCAGGTGACAGCAAAAACTGCCACATTTTGCACAGGGGCAATTAGAATAAGATCTATCTGATCATTGATGTAAACCTCTAGAATACATTTTGTATAGTTAAGTATTTACCTCTATCTTCAGTACATTTTATTTTATTTTATTGCTATGGCTAACAGCTGATGCCAATGAAGATTCTTCTTATTCTGATTCTCCTAATGTATACATTTTTGCATGCAATTTTACCCAATAAGCACATTTTTTGCAAAACAAATCCACCTAACGAAAAGGCATATTTGCATGTTGCTTTCACTAACGTACACATTTTTAGGCACGCTTTACAGAAGCATGTGCATTTTTGTACACGTTGCTTGGCTGGAGAACTGCATGGCGTGTTTCGAAAGATGGCTGTGTCGCAGTTCATAGATTGTTTTGGAAAGGGCAAATTTTGTAAGTTAAAATGCAAACTGAATCTAATCTCTTCCCCATCCCTAGGCAAGGCTCAGTGCCCCATCCGTGGTGGCTGGTATAGTATTAGAACTGGTATGGATGAAGGCAGGGAGACCAATGATAGATGGAACCAGGGCCAATGACAGGCAGCTCCCCCCCCCGCTCAATTGGTTGTAAGTGATAAGGCAGACTGGGCCCCATTCACCCTAATGGTCCAGCCTCCAGTGCACCTCATGCAAGTGCTGAAACCCAGATGAAAATGTGAGAGACCATCGGCTAGTAATACAGAGGAGACCCCCCTCAACTACTGCATGCTTCTCCTCTCTGGTTCTCCGCCATCTCCCTTCAACCTCTTTGCTTCTACCCACATCAGGACTGGTATCCTTAAGGGCCAACCAAGAGGTCACAAAACAGTGCGAACTAATAAAGGCATCGTGCTAATATGGAATGTGGCGTTTTTCTTGGGGGCCAATACGGCTCCCTTTCTTTTTCACTTCTTCCTAACACCTCTCTCGTTGCTCTGACTAAGGTTGAGGGGAAATGATTCCCGATTCCCGAAACAAGACATGAACCAAAGCACAACAATTTGCACTTCTCCGAATTTTTGCAACGTCATTCTCCTACTCAAAAAAAAAAGCGAACAAAGCGCATTCCAGCTAAACATCAGGAAGAAATTTCTGACAGTAAGAACTGTTCAACAGTGGGAGGCTGTGGACTTCACTGGAAGTTTAAATCTGCACTGGAAGATTTAATTTTTGAAAACCCAACAATGAAAAATTGTAAGTTTATAAAAAGCACAATATACCTGCATCTCATCAATTAAGGGTGGGGCAGGGATACAGCAGGCTTTCAGAGTCTCCTGCCAGACAGGAAACACAGGTTTGGATCTATTCATTCGGGGATAGCGGGGCATCTTTGTGAGTCTAAACTGCTTCAAACAATCAAGCCAAGCTGCTGCCCTTACTATGCAAACCTCTGAACAACTGGAGGTGGGGTGAGGAGGATGTGCATTACGTGACGCTTAGACACAAAAAGCAATGTTTAAAATTGGATGGAGCACACAGGTGAAAATGCACATTCAACTCAGCCCAGATTCCCCATTTAACGGCAGGAAGAGAGAATGCAGTTGCACTCAAGTCCTGCTGGCAGGTGTCCAGTTCGTCTCATTTTGCCTGCTACAAAATCCCCTTCCCTTGCCACCCTCCAGGCTCCCATACCTTCTCTACCAGTGCCCAGACAAGGCGGGACTCACCTTAAGGTATCTCCTGCGATTCACATAGATGCGTACCAGGCACCTGACCTTGATGAGGGTTCGACGCAGCCTCCGATACCTTTGCCTGCAGGACGGGAAACCCCCGGTACGGAGGTGGGAAAGATCACACCCAGCCTCAACAACACTTTCTCCTACCCAAGGCAAAAAACCAAAATAAAAGACGATAACGGACAAACAGACCAGACACAAATGGCACACGTTTAACATGCAGAGGGAACAGGCAAATCAAAATTCAGATGCTGAGACACACCTAGTGTTCTTCACCTGTCAGTTTGTCAATCACCTGTTGTCAAGATGACATCAGGTAGTGCTGTGCTTTGCAGCCTGATGGGACTTCAAAGAGCAGTGAAGGTCTGTTTGCAAAAGGGCTTTCAAACAGCCCCACACTCCCCTTTGAAGTAGCACCCAGCAGAACTGCTGCCTGATGAACAGAGTCCTACTCTCTGCAGGGAACTTAGCAGGATTCAACCTCTGATCATCAGCTGGTGAGCAGGGGCTAAATCCTGCGGAGTAGGTTGGGCCAAATGCTGGTTGGACCAATGCAGAATTGAACGCCAACCTCCCACAGGTCACTGGTGTCACCTGATTGGCAGGTGGACGTGGTTTTTAAAAAGGCTTTGTGGTCGAACCCCGTGATGGGCCGAGGCTGACCCACTGGCCAGTGGCTCCCTGTCCCTAGCCTCGTGTTGCGCAGTGTAAGATGTGATGTCATTACGCTGCCTATTCCTCTGCCCCAACAATCCATCGTGCAAGGCAGGGGTGGGGATGACGTATGAAGATGCGAGGTTACTCCACGTGCGTCATGTCCGACATAACCACAACGGCGATGGCCGATGCTGGCCGATGTTCTCACACACCCTCCCCAAGCGCACACAGATGCCTGTCCTCCTCTATCTCTAGCGCGGAGAGCATGTTGCAGCTGTGCACCTGACAAGATAGCCTCGGGCCCGCGCCTGGAAGAGGATGATCTTGTGGCGGAGGGCGAAGAAGCGTTTCTTGATCAAGAAGCCGCGCGTGTACCGCTGCAGCGTTAGAGCTGCCATGTGGACAATCCGTTCTCGCTTCCCTTCCAAGTGCTGGTAGACATTCTCTTTCATGAAGAGCTGGGGTGAGGAGGGGGAGGGGAGCATCAGAATAAGTCATTAATTAATTAATTGCACTTTCCTCCAAGGTGATCAAGGGTGGCGTACACAGTCCTCCCTTCTCCTGATTCTTTCTCACAACAACCCTGCGAGGTGGATTAGGCCGAGAAGCAGCTTCCAAGGTAACCCAGTGAGCTTCACGGCTGAAGTGTGGATTTGAACCCTGGTCTCTCCTGGGTCCTAGTCCAGTGCTCTACGTGGGGCTGCCCTTGAGACTGACCCAGAAACTCCAGCGGGTGCAGAATGCTGCAGCGAGACTCCTTACGGGGTCTTCGCTGCGAGATCACATTCACCCGGTGCTATACCAGCTGCACTGGCTCCCGGCGGAGTACAGGATCAGGTTTAAGGTGCTGGTTTTAACCTTTAAAGCCCTATATGGCCTAGGACCCTCGTACCTACGGGACCGCCTCTCCTGGTATGCCCCACAGAGGAACTTACGGTCTTCAAATAAAAACATCTTGAAGGTCCCAGGCCACAGAGAAGTTAGGCTGGCCTCAACTAGAGCCAGGGCTTTTTCGGCTGTGGCTCCGATCTGGTGGAACACTCTGTCACAAGAGACCAGGGCCCTGCGGGACTTGACATCTTTCCGCAGGGCCTGCAAGACAGAGCTGTTCCACCAGGCCTTTGGCCAAGACACAGCCTGACTCCCTCCCTCAGCAATCTTCGCGGAGCTCTGGCCCAATGGTTGCCAGTGGCTTGAATTAATTAATTTTTATAATGAATGATTTTAGAATGTTGTTTATGCTGTACTTTTGTACTGTTTTATTGTTGTTAGCCGCCCTGAGCCCGGCTTCGGCTGGGGAGGGCGGGATATAAATAAAATTTATTATTATTGTTATTATTATTATTATTATTATTATTATTAACCAACCCACTGCGGTGGCTCTGGGTGGCTGCTACCTACACCCAACTTTCCTTGGCATTCAGTTATTCATGACATATATACAACAGCTTTCCCATCAAAGCACTGGAGGGGCAGGAGGACCAACTTCAATAAAATATTGGGGGGCCCAAGTAAGCCCTGCCCTGTATAATTGATCACATCATACAGTACACGCACACCATTTGACTGGCAATGCCCATCAATCGGGGGGCATCCTCCTCAAATATTTTATTTTGGGGGCTGAAGTCCCCTTGGCCCCAAGGAGTTGGCTCCTACGCTGGGGGGTAGTTTCTGTTTTACAATAACACATTACAATCTAAGAGACATCATGTGAAAATAATAAACAGGAATGGCAAAGAGGAAGAGCCAAACAATTCCATTCAGGTAGGCCCCATGAGAATACCACAGGCTTTTTCATACTGTTTTGTGATGTAATGGCCAAGCGGAATAACCATAATCATTTATTACTCGTACCTTGCCCCTCTGACTGGGTTGCCCCAGCCACCCTGAGCGGCTTACAACAGAATATAAGAAAACACAAGATACAGCAAGCATTAAAAGCTTCCCTACACAGGGCTGTCTTCAGATGTCTACAGAAGGTTGCATAATCGTTTATCTCTTTGACATCTGATGGGAGAGGCAGTTCTTTGGCCGAATGGGAGTTGGTCCAAGCCCAGAGGCAGAGCTAGCACCCAGGGGTGGGGCAAGCCGCCCGCGGGGGCAGGGGCAAGTATCCCAGGGGGTGCCGCCCACGGCGAGCATCCCAGGGGGGTGGGGTGGTGATGTCACATCCCCCAGGGATGACACCCAGGGCGGACTGCACCCACCACACCCCCTTCCTCTGCCAGTGTCCAAGCTTAAAGGTAAAGGTAAAGGGACCCCTGACCATTAGATCTAGTCATGGATGACTCTGGGCTTGCGGCGCTCATCTCGCTTTACTGGCCGAGGGAGCCTGCATACAGTTTCCGGGTCATGTGTCTCATTTCTCCCTCAGATGCATCCAGGTGGAATGGTTACAGATGGAGACACTTCTGAGAGAGGAGGAGCTCTGTGGCAGTTAGCTCTCCCAGCCTGACCAATGGATGTGGCCTTGCTGCCTCCCTTCTCCCTCAGACACAGGCAGGTGAACTCTCCATTCACCTTGGTCAGCTGAGAGGTGGAGAGACCCCATGGCTCATCACCCCAAGACAGAAAATCCAGGGGTGGGAATTTCCACGCTCCAAGCTGCCCAACAGTTACTTACAACCATGATTATCAAGGAAAATGGCGGCTGTACCTTGGTGGCTCCAATGCAGTACATATCAGGGGTGACTGCGCATAGCTTCTTCAGCACTACCGCACTGTTCCACGCATCAGGGATCATGCCTTGTTTGATATCAACAAGGCAGCGGTACCTAAAGAGACAGGCTGAGGGTGTGATTAGGTGCCCTCCAACTGTTGCTGGACTACAACTCCCATCATCCCTCATCACTGGCTATGCTGGCTGGGGCTTATGGGAGTCAAAGTCCAAAAATCCTTTCTATATACAGGGGTACCTCGGGTTACATACGCTTCAGGTTACAGACTCCGCTAACCCAGAAATAGTGCTTCAGGTTAAGAACTTTGCTTCAGGAGGAGAACAGAAATTGTGCTCCGGCGGCACGGCAGCAGCAGAAGGCCCCATTAGCTAAAGTGGTGCTTCAGGTTAAGAACAGTTTCAGGTTAAGTACGGACCTTCAGAACGAATTAAGTACTTAATCCGAGGTACCACTGTACAGTTTTATTTTTCCTTCTCACCCAACAAAGGATACTAACATAGTGCCACAACTGAACAAAAAGTCAATTGCCACCCTGGTCAGCTTCTGGAACAGGGGCGAACAAAGCAGCGAAACATTTTGGGCTGGCTCTGCTAATAAGCATGTGGTTAGGGGAGCCCTGGTAGACACTGTATACCTAGGACACTAAATAAAGCTTTTGACAAAGTCCTTCCCCACCAAAGGCTCTCGGGCAAAATTAGTAAGAATACCACAGCTAAGCCTGCCTGTCAGAGTGTGCAATTGCTCTTCCCCTTCCTTGCCTTCCTGGGTCAGAGCCCTTGTTGACCATACCTTTCAATGAACGTTTGGAAGGGGATGCGAACGGGAAAGCCCTCTTTGCGGATGCGGATGGTCTCCAGAATTCCCGAGTACCGCAGCTGGCTGCTGACTACATCAGGCTCAAAAAGTCCTGGCTTCTGGTTGAGGAAGAGCGAAGGAGAGCATTGGATAGGATAGTAAATGAGCTGACTGGTTCAGGATTCATATCGTGATAGGAGAAACGAGCCTGACAGAGTGTGAGAGAGGAGCTCTCTGGAGGACTCAAGACCACTGGGTGATCAGGCCAGAAGAAGACCGTTTAGTGACAGGCCTTCCTTTACCTGTGATGGATGACTCAGCATCCATCAGTTTCTGAATGACTCAGCAGGTGCCAAAATACTATTGAGGAGACAATTGGAAGGAAATGAGTGGGGGTTATGGAAGGGCAGTAGAAGGAGAAATAGTTTAAAGACCATAAGGCAGCATTGTAGAAGCTGCGGTTCTGCAGGAGAAGCTGCAAGGAGGGAGAGGCTTGGCTGCAGCTGTGTTAGCACTGCAAGTGGGTGGGATGATAGTGAAGCCATTAAATGTCATGATCAAAATTTCCTGCACTGCAGGGGATTGTACCAGATGACCCTACCATTCTATGAAAACGCTCTTGAGGGAGGGCCATAGTTCAGTGGTAGAGCACCTGCTTTAGCATGCAAAGGGTCTCAAGTTCAACCCCTGGCAGTTCCAGGAAGGGCTAAGAAAGACTTCTGCCTGAAACCCTGCAGAGCTGCTGCCAGTCAGTGACAGCAACATTGAGCTATATGGACCAGCAGCCTGACTCTGCAAAAAGGCCGCTTCCCATGTCCCTTTCCCCTTAGGACACAGCAAGTCCATACCTTCTTATTGTTGGGTTTGATGCAGCGGACGAAGAAAGGGTTACATCTGCAGAAGAAGGAAAAAACACACATACGATGGGATTATAAAATTTCTTCATCCTGAAAGTGGTGCATATTGAATGGAATTGGCTGCTATTTGCATGAAGGAAGAAGCTCCCACTGGCACGAATGGGAAATATCCTGCTCATGCAAACAGCAGGTTCAGGACCCTCTTGCTCCCCCCACAACTAGCCATGGTCCCAATCCAGGTCATGGGTCAATTTAAAAACCACCCGCATACAGTATCAAAATCACCGCTGCTTCACTCTATGGGAAGCAACAAATGTGCAAAGGACCTTAATCTATTCCTTGCCACCTCTAGGAAAGGGCTGCAGCTTAGTGGGAGAGCGCCAGCTTTGCATGCAGGTTAAAGCCTCAGCATCTCCAGGTAGAGATGAGAATGTCTCCTGCATGAAACCAGAGAGAGCTGCTACCAGACCGTATGGACCATTCTGGACTAGCTGTACCAATGTTCTGCTTTGACAGGAGGCAGTTCCGTCCCTTTATACAAGACCTGTAACACTGAGGACTAGAATCTTACTTAATTTTCAGGGGAAGGATCTTAGCTCAACGCAGGTTCAATCCCTGGCACTTCCAGGCAGGACTGGGAGAAAACACCATCTGAAATCCTGGACAGCCGCTGTGTGTCAGTGTTAGACATTGCTAAGCTTCTGACGTTCCTATGTCATTGACTATAGCTCAATGACTTTGCTTTGCAAACAAGAGGTGCCAGGTTCAATCCCTGACATCTCCAGGCAGGGCTGGAAGAGAACCCGGAACAGAGGGTTTTGGACTCCCTTGCCTGTCACCCTGCCAGGGTCCTGATCCAGTTCATGGGCCCTCCATGCCAGCAATTTGAAAAGCTATTTACACAGTGCTTCCCCTATACCTTCCTCACCTCTCCATTTTATCCACGAGGTCCGAAAGCGACTGCTGGAATTTCGCTGCCACCGTGTGGGACTTAAATTTCCGCCTGCTGGTGCTGCTTCTCCCCATCATGGTCTTCTGCTGAGCTATCAGCTGGGCATGGCTGTAGAACAGGTTGGCCACCATCTGGGGCAAGAGCAGAGGAGACATTTTGTAGGGGGCATTTTGGGAGCAGGTGGGACATTCGCAACTCATTCCGTTTTGATCCAGCTCTCCCTGCACGGAGAACACGTTTGCTGGGTGATCTTGGGCAAGTCACTCTCGGCCAGCCTAACCTACCTCGCATGGCTGTCGTGAGGATGAAATGAGAACAGGGATAGATTATAAGGATGGATGGATCTGTCCGTCTTAGTTTCTTCCCCCCACCCCATCTTAAATTACAGTTCGCCCCATTTCAAGATCAGATTGTGATTAAAAAAAAATAGTTTGCATGAACATTGACGCTCATTTTCTTGTGCATTTCTCCTGATACACCTGTGTTTATACACCACTCGGTCTAGCAGATGCAATTGGCAAGCAATTTTCCTCAGTACACTGCAATAAAGTAGTACAGTGCAGTATTTCTAGGCATTTATTCCCCTGCATGCACACGTTTTTGGGGCTGGAAAACTGCACTGCAAGGTTAGGAGAAGTGTGACTTTCAAAGGATATGCTATGCTCTGATCCTCATACTCGTCTGGAAAGTATTAATTAAACAGGTTAGCATTAGAATCAGTGCTGTATTGGACGGATTCCTTCCCCATCCCTAGGTGAGAATAGTGTAGACCAGGAGTGGTTGAGAGGTCTGATATTTCTCCCCTACCTATCTGCCCCTCCCTGGTCATCAGATTCATAATTTGATGAGCACAGAGATGGCAGTAAGTTTCCTTAAGCTAATATACACAGATCAGCTGAGCAGAGAGACCTAGGTGTGTGGGTTTGTGTGTGCATGAGTGCAAGTCTGTGTGTGAGAGTTGGCCATAGCCAATTTTGGCCATACCTACCCCTGGTGTGGGGTCCCTGAATGGATCGGCCAATATGCCCCTCAGGACAAAAAATGTTCAATCACCCAGATGTGCACCAGCCCTGCAGAGTAGGTTACGCAGAGAGATAGTGACTGCTCCAAGGCCAATTAGTGAAGCCAGGAATGACCTTTAATTATCACCCATTTAGACAACCTGTAACTGCAAGTCCCCATTCCTATGCTCCCCACCACTGTTGGAAGTGCAACAGCAGAGATCCTTCTGTGTGTAACTTAAGGGTTAATTCAATTAATGTTAAAGTCAATGGGGGGGGACGACAGGTGGAGGTGTTGCTTAACAACCAGGCAGCGGGGCATAAGCCTTGCTGAGGTAACTTGTGCTCTGATTGGCTGTGTAATTTAAGGGTTAATTCAGTTAGGGTTAAAGTCACAGAGACAAGAAGAGGGATGGGTGGAGGTGTTGCTTAGCAACCAGGCAGCGTGGCATGATGCTTGCTGAGGTAACTCATGCTCTCATTGGCTGTGCAGTTCTGAGGGAGCTTTTTCCTTCCTGTTTGTGTTGTTGTATGTCTTCCTGCTATGAACAAGGCCTGAATTAAGAAAGACATTACCTCTATGTTTATTTCTCTTCATATTATGTGGTTGTTGTTGTTTTCAAGTAACCCAGTTAAGTTTTATCAGTTTCTTTTCTCTCCAGACTCCATCTGTATTATTTGGCTGACGCTACTAACAACAGCCACACCACACTGCTTCGCCCTACTCTTCCAAACACAGAAGCCATCAGATGCACTGGAGCCAGCCGACCTGAGACCACCCCAAAACACCTACTTTGATTTTGCTGTTGACAAAAAGCTCCAGGACGTCCAGGCGAACCTGATCGTAGTTTTTATCCAAGAACTTGTGTACCTGCAGTGGGGTTAAGAAATGCATTATATTTTCCGAGCCAAAATATAGTCTATGTGTGCAGCACCTCTCCATTCAAAGCAGGGAGAAGTCTGGCCCAGGCGCCCTTACTTTCTGTGCTACGTGGGGCTGAAACTGCTGCCCTGATAATAACTGCTCCTCAGTGCCACCCTGATCTTGGCAGGGCCAGCTGATGCAATGCCAAGGCAGGCTGGAGCTGCAGCCCAGATGTTGCTGTGAAGGCACAGAGCACAGTCTACCAGGCTTGCAGTGGAAACAGGGTGACGGTAGCATAGGAGGGGCTGGAGGCTGGGGGGTCCCAGTCCAAGGCACCAAGCACCTTATGTGTGCAGAATGTACCCTGTTCTTCTTCTTTGTGTTGCTCCTTCCCAACCACCAGGTGTCTCACCTGGTAGGTGACTTTGCCAGCATAGTGCTTGATGGAGAATTCGGGTAGCGGCATCTTCGGTTTGGAGTAAAGCGGGTTGGCGCCGTGGTGGTAATGACACTTCTGGAGAAATGTGTGATCCGTGGCCTGGCAAGGCGGAGGAATAACTGGGTCAGACTAGCAGTGCCCCATGTTGTCCACCCAGTGGACGACATTCAAGTTCACCATTGCTGCAAACACTTTCCATTTTAGGCCAGTGGCGTCTACCATTGGGACAGACGAGGCATACTTTCTGAGTGTGAAAGAGGAAGAATTGGCCACCTTCTAGAGCCAAACACCATGGTTCTGCACGAGTCCCTCAGCTGCTTGAGCCCAGAATGGTGACTCAAACAGAGATGCAAGGGTCAGACTCTTTTAAAGACAGGCCATTACGCTGTGCCTTTGCACTGAGAGTCATTGAATGATCCAACCACAGTATTTATGAAGACATGAAACATTGGCCAGTGCTTGCTTCCAGAAATTCTGGTGCTTTCATTCCAAGGCTCTTTGATCATAGAAAGAATGTCACCACCTCAAAGGGGGATAATTGCTTCCCTTGCCTCCATAAATGAATACATGGGGAAGGCGCTTCTGAGCAAAAGCAGTTAGTTGTCATCCTACCACTAGAACAGACTTTTTTAAAAAAAATTATGCATGGATTCTATGCAGCACCAAGTGGTACCTGAGGGAAACTGCTCTGGTCATCCAGGATCCTTAAAATCCCATAAGGTCTTTGGGCAATGAGGTCAATGCAAGGCTGGTTGTCATTGAAAGGTATTTCTCTCCACTCAAGATGCTCCCGGATATATTCCTCCTGAATACAGAATGTATTTATTAGTTAGATTTGTATCTGCTGCCCCTCCACCCTCACCAAATGAACTGACGCCTGCAGCTCCAGCTGCTTTCATTTACTTATTTATTGATATTTGCATCCTGCCTATGACCAATTTTCCAAGGGGACACACATCATTTAAAAACAAATGACCAAAAATAGCAAGCTATAACAAAAAGAGCAAACAGGAAAATAAAACGTATCAGCATTAAACACACACACACAGTGCAACATAGCAGCAGATCTATCAAAAAATGTGATGCTCTAAAATCCCAAGAATGCTGGTTGACGGTGGATTCTGGCCTCACCTGCTCCTCCTTGAAGACGATCTTGTTGAAGAAGAATTGGAGATACTCATTTGCGTAATTGATGCACAACTGCTCAAAGCTGTTGAAGCCCAGATCCTATTCAAAATTCAGACCGCAAGTTAAAAAAATGTGTACATGCAGAGCAAAAGGCTACTTGAGGCTACCCAGTATAGAGAAGAAGAGCTCCACAGCCCAGCCTGCTGTTCTCGAACTGAGCCTGCCTCCGGGAATATCAGAAGCAGCAATCATTGCAGCACTGGAGGCTGGTTCATCAGGGGCAAGCAGGGCACGGCCCCACTAGTCTCTGTCTGCCCTCTGCCAGCCCATACCTGCCTCCTGTCTTTCTTACAGTCCAGTAGGTGGTTCTGCCTGCTGGCTTCCCCCTCCTTGGTCTCAGTGCTGCCCCATGAAGAACCCATCAGGGAGGAGGATGGAGGCAAAACGAACTTAAGCTGTCTCTGCCTGTTTTTCACTATGGCTCCATGCCTTCCACCCAGTGCCAGATTTATGTATAAGCTAAACAAGCTATAGCTTAGGGCCCCACTCTCTTGGGCCCCCCCAAAAAAAAACTTAAAGAAAAAAACCCTGGATGTACTTGGATGTACATCTCCAAAATATAAGATAAAAAATAAATTACTTTGATAAAATACATATTTTGTTATGTGGAAATGTCTTTAGATACTTATTAGGTCCATAAATTACCATATGACATATATTCAACACAAAAAAACTAGTGACAATTTGTTGTTGTCAAAGCTGGACGTATAAAGGGCCCCATTACCTTCAGTAGCTTAGGGCCTCATCAAACTCAATCTGGCCCTGCTTCCACCCAGTTAGTTCCAGAGAGCACCAGCCACCTTGATGTGACAAGGACCATTCTGGGGACACTGGGTGTGTGTGTGTGTTATTCTATCTTTCTCCTCCCCTGTATCTTAGGTCCTGTGTCAAGGGACATTTGTGTTGGGCACCAAATAGCAGTTTCTGGGGAAGGCCCTGGTTGTAATTGGCTGAACGCTTCTTCCCTCACCTCAAAGCCATAGATATCCAAGACGGCGATGGACAGGGTTTCTTGCCTGGGGTAGGTGAGCCTGTTAATCCTGTCGATGAGCCAGTTGAAGAGCAAGGAGTAGAGGATCTTGGCAATGGCATCTCTGAGGGAAAGAAGAAAGGAAAAAATACATGCACAAGCACTGGAAGAAGACAAGGCCACAAGCAGGGGTGCTGAGGGTGAGTGGCAGTATTTACACATGGCTCTCTATATTACATGGGACGCGGGTGGCGCTGTGGGTAAAACCTCAGCGCCTAGGACTTGCTGATTGCATGGTCGGCGGTTTGAATCCCCGCGGCGGGGTGTGCTCCCGTCGTCCGGTCCCAGCGCCTGCCAACCTAGCAGTTCGAAAGCACCCCCAGGTGCAAGTAGATAAATAGGGACCGCTTTCTAGCGGGAAGGTAAACGGCATTCCGTGTGCTGCGCTGGCTCGCCAGATGCAGCTTGCCACACTGGCCACGTGACCCGGAAGTGTCTCCGGACAGCGCTGGCTCCCGGCCTATAGAGTGAGATGAGCGCACAACCCTAGAGTCTGGCAAGACTGGCCCATACGGGCAGGGGTACCTTTACCTTTTTACCTCTATATTACGGTTGTGGAGATGGATGGGGCTTCAGTTTACCTGGCATCAACGGCACTGTCAACAGTGAGGGGTGTGTATATCTTTTCTCTCATGGTTTCCTGTCGAGAAAGTGAAGGAAAAAGAAAGATGGCTTCCCTCCGATGGTTGGCGCCAGTCACACAAACTATCATGTCCCCACCACCACCACCTCATGGAATCTCCCCGGTCCTAACACCTTTCCATTTTGATTCTCTGGCCCCATATCTGCACAAACGTATTATCCCAAAATACAGACGTGCTTTTACACTTGCAAGACTGGATGTTTTGCCATCTGCGGTACTTGAGGGTCGATTCCAAAAGATCCTGCCTGAGAAACGTTTTTGCCCCTGTGGAGATGGTAGCACCGAAACAGCAGCACACGTCCTCCTGTCTTGCACTCTCAGCAAAGAACGAGGTCATCTCCCCACTCATACTAACCATCCCAGGACGCTCAACCACTGCCACAATGTCCTTTCTTCTATCAGACCAAAATGAGCAAATAACAGCAAAGATTGCTAGGTTTATAGCAGGAGCAATCAGAATAAGGGCCACTAACTAGCTGCTGATTCAGGACTTTAAATTGTGCTCTTATATCAAGTTTCCCTTTCTGTGTATACTGTAATGTTTTATTGCTGCTATGGCCATTGGCTAATGCAAATAAAGTTTTATCTATCCTAATCTACAGGTGCTGCTGGGCTCAAACTGGAAGCTCTTGAGTCCATCCACTGTCCCACCAGGTCAACTGGCTGGGGGGCAAGGATGACTGCAGTAATCAATGAGATACCTCTAGGTAGAGCCTTTTTACCAAGAAGTCAGGTGACCACATTCTCCTTCCTGCAATGTAACATATAGGGCATAGCAACACTCTTTGGTCTAAGCAATTCATCACTAAGGGAAGTGAAGCACTTGTCCCTCCCTGAGCAACTTGCTGAGTAACCATGCCTATTATTACTATAATTTATTATTACGTTTCTATAGAAGCCCATAATAAACAAACATTCCCTGGGCAGCTTACAACAAAATATTAAGAGCACAATTTATTATAATAATAATTAAAAACTAACAGACAAACAATAGAGCCCGCCTGTGGGTCAGTGCATCTGGCTGTTAACCAAGAGGCTGGTGGTTCGAGACAACCCAGGAACGGCTCTGAGCAGGAGGCCCTGCATTGTAGGGAGTGGACTAGAGGAACCTTGGGGTCCTTCCAACTCTAAAATTCTATGATTCTATAATTAAAGGTGACAAATAGATGCATTGCATAGAAGCAGCACAAAATATTCAACACTCCAGATTTTGGGTTGTTGTTTTTTTATAAAGAAAAACAGTTCAGAATTCCAGGTCAGAATAAAAGGGTCTCTGCCTCCTGAGCCCTTTAATTGTTATTGTTGTTGTTGGTTGGTTGGTTGGTTTTCAAATCAAAGTTTTACAATCACATATCCAATATATAACATAGAAAGAAGATTCCAAGGAATCTCCTGGACTTCCCTCCTCCCCTTTGTGGGTCCTGTTGTTAGTCATTTCCTCCTGCATCTTTTATAATAATCCAAATATTTGACATCTCCATCATCTCCAAAATTCACCATTAAACTACAAGTGTTATTCCAGTCCTGCTAACAGTTTTAATTGTTTACAATGGTTTTTAAGATAAATTATAATTTTTTCCCATTCCTTATTGAAATTTTGGTCTTCCTGATTTCTGATTCTTCTGGTCATTTTTGCCAATTTGGCATAACTCATCAACTTAATCTGCCATTCCTCTCTGGTAGGGTCCCTACCAGAGTCCTTTAACTATTCTTGGCCCGGAAGCAGAGCAGCAGATACCTGCCCTTCAATGCCCATCCTCCCAGCTCCACACTCAGGGCTGCCTGCCCCTTTACCGTCACTTTGAAGGTGATGGACTTCTGCAAGCCCTCGGGGGAGATTTTCAACAGATCGGCCACAACGCGGATCTCCCGGGCGCTCACCACCGAAGCCACCTCCTGGCAATCTGTCTGCAAAGCACCAAGTCAAGGCATGTTTGCAAAGAGGCTGGGCGACCTTATATTTATTTATGGTTGACATTCAAGAACATACAGCAAAAACAGGCTGCTGGATAAGGCAGCACCTCCTCCAGCATCTGGTTGTCACAGAAGCCAACCAGGTGCCTGTGGGAAACCCACAAGGAGGACCCAAGAGCAGCACATTCCCTTCTTGTGGCAACTGGTATTCAGGAGCATTATTGCCTCTTGCCATCATGGCAAGTAACCACTGACAGCTCTCTCCTCCATTAATTTATCCAATCTTATTTTATAGCCATCCAATTTGGTGACCACCACTGCCTCCTGTGGGAGTGAGTTCCAAAGTTTAACATTGTATTGCATAAGAAGTCCTTTGTTTAATTTATTTGTCCTATATTTTTCAGCAGTCAGCATCATTGGCCGTCCAACCAGTGCCGGATTAAACCCTGCTGAGGCCCCTAGGCAGTCAAAATCTTGGGGGAGCCCTTGTGTGCAGGTTCTAGTGGGATAACATTGAACTAAGAAAGCTTGAACTTTTAACTCCGTTTCAAAATCAAATCAATATTATTTTGATCTGTTGTCGTGGGCCCCCCAAAAGGTTTGGAGCCCATAGGCAGGTGCCTACTCTGTCTCTTTGGCAATCTGGCACTGCATCCAACAAGAGAAGGAGAAAAACTTGTCTCTATTCCTTTTCCCCATGACAAGCATCATTTTTAAATTTGTAAGTATTATGCCACCTCTTTCGCTATACTTGGAAGTCCCAAATGCTGCAACCTTTCTTCATAGAGTCACTCCATTTGCCTGATTGTTTTAGTTGTCTTTTTCTGAACCTTCTCCAATTGTAATATTAGTTAGTTAGTTAGTTAGTTAGTTAGTTAGTTAGTTAGTTAGTTAGTTACTATGTATATTTGTCTGTTTATTACCTGCCCTTCACCCTAAGGTCCCAGGGCAGGTTACAACATTAAAACAATATTCAAAAGCAGTTTGAAGCAATCTATGTTCATAAAAACCAGGTGGGTCCTGAAAATATACATCTACAATACCCTTTTTGAGATGAGGCGACCAGAACGGTACACGGTATTCCAAATGCAGCCGCCCCATTGATTTGTTTAGTCGGCATTATGATATTGGCAGTTTTATTTTCAATTCCTTTCCTAGCTAACCCCAGCATGGGATTTGCCTTTCTCACAGCAGCCGCACACTGGGTCAGCTTTGCCCAGTTTTCATGTGTGAAAATGGGAGTTGACCTCCCCACACTCCAGTTTACATTTTTCACACTGGTTCGCTCTTGCTTGGCTCCCCCCTCTTTGCACCAATACGATTAAAAGTTCTTGCTGGCTACATGATCCAGGCAGTCAGGGACCACGTAGTCAGGGGGAAAACATCAAGGAGTGATCAAGCAGCCAACCAGACTACATCTCGAAGCTTCCTGCTTCCTCACTCTGGAAGAAGAAGTGGTGTGGTTTATTGGGTTTTTTTTAGCTTTTCCTTAGAATGCACACTAGACATACATTTCCATCCCAGTAACTAACCTCGTATTTTTCAAAGTAGACATTCCCCAAGTGTAGAATGGAAGACAACATGCGGAAGATGCTGTCCTGATCGTGGGCAGTGAAGTGCAGGATTTCCATGGCGTCGAGCAACCGGTGAAAATCCTCAGTGTCCACCTTGCCAGGGATCTCGCAGTTGCCTCCCTACATACAATGAAAGGAAGGCATTTGTTCCCCGCAAGGGAATGCAGACCCTGGGGTGAAAAAGGCTCTCTGCCCCTGGCCAAGACCCATATCTGATTGGGACCAACGCCTGGGACAGAGCACCATTCCTCCTTGATTGAAATGTTTGGGTATTTGTAAGAATAATATCCAGCACTTTTATCCTTCTGTTCCATAGGCATTTCAAGGAGAGGCCCATACCTGGTTCAGGTAATAGTATGTTTCTGCCTCTTGAAGGCCGAATTTCCGCTTCTGCTGAGCAGGGAGGCCAGCCAGCATCTCGTAAAATATATGGTAGTTCCGTTCGTTATTGGACTACATGGCAAGGCAGGGAATACAAGTGTGAATCATTACCAGGACAAATAGGGACATAGAAACAGCATGAGACAGATTTCATTTACGTGCTGATTTATTTATTTTTAAATAGCGATACATAATTTTTTGTATGAATAGCTGATGTCTAATTTAAACTTTTATATATATATATATATATTTAATTCTATGGTTTTATGCATAATTGTTGTAAGCTGCTCATATATTTTTAATGAATAGCAGTATATACATATTTTTATGCAGAAATAAAGTACAATAATAAAAAACACCTTAAGTGGTTAACATAATAGTATAAAATATTCATTTAAAAATAATGATAAAAAAGCAAACAAAATATTATCAAAATATGGATAAAAATCAACAGTACACACACACGCACAAACACAAAATAAAAGTACATGTCTCAGTAGCTTGCCTAAATAAAAATGTTTTAGCAGGCATAGAAAACAATATGGCTCAGTCTAAGAGCATGAGACTCTTAATCTCAGGGCTGTGTGTTTGATTCCCACCTGGGCCAAAAGATTCCTGCATTGCAGGGGGCTGGACTAGATGACCCTTGTAGTCCCTTCCAACTCTACAATTCTATGATACTAAAATGCCAGTCAAGTGGCAGGTGTCTTTTTGTTGGATTGATGGGAGCCAGTGTGGTGTAGTGGTTTGAGTGTAAGACTTGAACCTGGGAGACTCATAAGGAAACTCATGAGGAAGGAGGAAGAACCACGTATGTCAACTGTGAACCACCCTGAGATCTTCAGATGGAGGGCATAATACAAATTAATTTTTTAAAAAAAGAGGTCCTTGGATAAAAAAAGAGAATATAAATGCAATTAATAAATAGAAAGATAGATTTAGAACTGGCCTGCTATTTCCAAACTCTCTTGCAGAACTCTTGGGAAAAGCTCATCCTTCTCCTAAGAGTTCTCTCCCAGCTTGCAACATTTTACAAGTCAGAGAAATGACTCAGTACACAGGACACCTGCAAAGTAGATGGAGGAGCCATCTTTCTTTTTTAAAAGCTGGCTCTTGCTTACAACAGAAGATTATTAGGGAAATGAAGGAGAAGTGCAGAGCCTCACCTGAAAGACGACCCTTGATTTCTCCAGAAGGTACTGCGAAGTAATGGCACCACAAATGAACCCATTGCTGCAGAGACAAAATTTAATACTTGTGTTGGGTCTTTTCCGTCCCGTAACACAGGTTCCCAACATGCACACTAACACAATGTAACACAACACAGTGGGAATCAGAACTTAATCAGCAGAAATTGCCAGTGCTTATTGCGCATGGATATTAATCATGAAATGAGGTAATGATGTATATGACTGGTGAAAATTCAAATGCTTTGTTTGAAATTTTATACAGTGGTACCTCAGGTTAAGTACTTAATTCATTCCGGAGGTCTGTTCTTAACCTGAAACTGTGCTTAGCCTGAAGCACCACTTTAGCTAATGGGGCCTCCCGCTGCTGCTGCGCCGCTGGAGCACAATTTCTGTTCTCATCCTGAAGCAAAGTTCTTAACCTGAGGTAATATTTCTGGGTTAGCGGAGTCTGTAACCTGAAGCGTATGTAACCTGAGATAAGCTATTTTTGGCTTACAACACTTCTACATTCCGACAAGACACAATCTCATTAATAATAATAATAATAATAATAATAATAATAATAATAATTGTTATTATTATTATTATTTTATACCCCACCCTCCCCAGCCAGAGCCGGGCTCAGGGCGGCTAACACCAATAAAATTGCAGTAGAAACATAATAGAAAAATAAATAAATATCCAGTCTGCTTTACAACTATAGGATCCTAGACCCAGTAGAAGGTTCTTTCTATTATTTCAAACTTGAGGTGCCATGAGAAAGGAAGAGCTTATTGTGCACCAACGTATCAACAGGACCAGCCCAGGGCTGTGGCAGCCATGCTCAATTCCAGAATTCCCAGAAGCCTGAGTCAGTTGTAACAACAAACTGTGGTTTGCATAGGTGCCACAGAGCCACCCACGTCCCAAAACACTATAGAATCTGATGATAAGCAGCAAAGCAAGGTAAAATAAGTAGCAGCACTGCTGAAGCAGATCTAAGAGCTATTATATAAAAAGGCCTGGGTAAATAAAAAGTTGCTGATCAGGCATTGGAGAGACATGAGACTTGGCACTAGGTGAACTCCATTGGGGAGAGTATTTCCCAAGCAGGGAGCCACTACTGAAAAGACCCTTTCTTTGATTGCCTCACCTCCGGAGAAGGGTCTCAGAAGATGACCACAGCATTTTGGGCAATTTTACATAGTTGTTTAAAAAATTAATTAACAAATTAACTGCCAGTTCACGAGAAAAATATTGTGGCTGGGTATACCAAAAAGCACAATACCACCATTAAAACATCATAAAATCCCATCTTTACATCAATACGGGAAAGGAATGCACATCTCTAGGGCAGAGACAGGCAATGTGTTGCTCTCCAGATGTTTGGGACTACAACTCCCATCATCCCTGAGAATTGGCCAAGCTGGCTGGGGATAATGGGACTTGGAGTTAACCATCTGGAGGACACTAGATTGGCTGCTTCTGCTCTAGAGACACCATTGGCCTTACAAAGCACCACCATTAACTAGCCCTAAGGCAGCGTAGTAGGACGGCTTACAATTCCTTCATCTGCACTGGGTTTGGGGGGCGGGAGTGGTTAAACAGCAGAATCCTGTGCATGTTTCCCCTTAGAAGTATGTCCTCATGAAAATTAATCAACATTTTAGTGCAAATTTCTCTTAATACACCCATTTGTATGCAATTTTCCTAAACTACACATTTTTTGCAAAGCAATTTCCCCTAATACGTTATTTTCACTTTTGTGTGAAAGATTTCAAGAAAGATTTACGTTATGCATTTTTGCATAGGCTACATGGTGGAGAAATGAACTGCAAAATTTAGAAAAGGTGCACATTTTGAAGGATGGCTGCATTTTGGTTCTCCGATCGTTTTGGGAAGGGCGAATTACTGAAATGTGAACTGAATTTAATTTCTCAGCTCATTCCTACTCAGGGCAGAGGACCCCTGTGCATGTGCTAATTTTATATTGTATAAGGTGCCTTTGGGTAAATGAGAATGGTGCTTTGCAGTTTACACAACAGCCTTACAAGCAAGTAAAAAATAAAAAAAGCTTTTTTAAACGGGAGGGAGAAGGGCAGGAGATCTGGGTCCTGATGCAAAAGATCTTGGTCTCATGCCCTCTGGGCCACCCCCTAACATGAGCCCAATATCTCACGGGCTGGAAGCCTGGATTGTCTGCCAGAGGGTTGTAGCTTCATTGAAGTTAGTAGACACATTGAAATTAGTAGTTCAAAGTTAGCCATGGCCATTAATTTCAATGGGTCTACTCTGAGTGGGACTAACATTGGCTACAACTCCCAGGGTAGGGGCATTAGGATCAGGGCCTAAGAGTTCAGGCATTAAGTATGCAGGAGGCAGGACAGAGGAGAGAAACTACAGAAAGACGCAGGGCGTGTGGTTTACTTACTCCTCCAGAAAGAGTTCCACAAATTTCCCAAACCTGCTGGAGTTGTCGTTCCGCACCGTCTTGGCATTTCCAAAGGATTCCAGCAGAGGAGTCGCTTCAAGGATCTGACTCGACCGCCGCATAAAACGAAATACAAAACAGGAGAAAGCACACCGGCATGCAACAGTGAGGGGGAGGATATTGTTTCCTTCGTTTAAAGCTCAAACTCCACAAGAAATAATGGGGTCGTCTCCCCACACTAGGGAGACCAATCATGCAAGGAGGGGTACATCTCAGAGAAAGGAGTGGCTTGGCGAGCATCCCAAGGGTCAGGTGTAAATGGTCTATGCTCCAGGGCTTAGTTGGGTGCATCTGAGGATCAAGAACTCTGCCAAGGTTGCCAAGATGCGCACATTTTACAGCAATGAAGACTGACCCATCAGCTGCAAGGTTGCAGGTGTACAGCACATGTGGCTATTCACATGGAAGGCAAAGGCTGCACACATGCAATGTGCTAAGGGCTCACACATTTGCAGTTTAACCCCTGGAACAATCAACCCACCCTTGACTGAGTGTGATTTTTATGGCCAACTACCCTGCAACAAGAAATGTAGGGTGCACATTAGTCACTCAGATCAGGGCTGGATTTAGGTTTGATGAGGCCCTAAGCTACTGAAGGTGATGGGTCCAGCTGTCCTTTGTCAACAACAAATTGCCACTGTTTTTTGTGTCGAATATATGCTATATGGCAATTTATGCACATAACAAAATATGTACACTGTTGCTGTGTGTAGGTTTTATTCTATTTGTTTTTATCTTACATTTTGGAAATGTACATCCAGTTTTTTCCCCTTTTTTCCCTTTACATTTTTTTGGGGGGGGCAAGAGAGTGGGGCCCAAAGCTATAGCTTGTTTAGCTTATACGTAAATCTGGCGCTGACTCAGATCATTCCCCAGTACCCCAAAACAAATAGGGTAGGACAGATGGGGCAATCTTAGAAGCTGCCTTTTCACAGTGAACTTGAAGGTTGGACCCTCCAATGCAACCCCTTGCGTACGGGTCACCATCCTTCAAGCACATCCTGAGGAGCAACTGACCCTCAATTCTTGATTATCCAGACCAGATCAGTGGTAGCTAACCCAAGCACAGAGGAATGGGAAGGGGCAGAGTAACTCCTCAGTGGTTAAGCTCAGATTAGACCAAGGCAAATGAGGGACCAATCTGCATGCAATTTAATCCATCCTTGGTTTCACTCTGTTAAATCACGGCAAAACATTCACACTGCACACGGCTTCTCTGTACCTCTATCTGCGGAAGTGCATGAAGGAAGCAGAGGTTGGGAGGCAATCAGCGTGCAATTGATCAGGTTTTTTAAAAAGCTCAGAATGGCTCACGCTCTCCAACCCATCCCCTTTGCAGTTGCCCATGAAACAAACTTGGCAGTGCCACCCCGGAGATGGAGACTCAAGACCTTTTAATCAGTTTAGGGGTTCATCCAGACTTCCTTTTGTGCCATGTTTTCAGGCACCGACCTGGCCTTCAAAGCTCTGCATCCAAGCGGTTTGTTTTTTGGTCCCAGTCCTTTCCCTGGGAAAACTTGCTTTTTACTGCTGAATTGGAGCAAAAAGCAGTCACATTTTCTACAGATCGACATTTGCTCCAGTTCAGCAGTGAAACGTGGGTTTTCCTGGGTAAACGCTGGGACAGGAAAACCTCAACAGCACTCAGACACAAAGCTTTAAAGCCCAGATCTGTGCCTGGAAAGCATGGTGCAAAAGGAAGTCAGAATGAGCCCCTGGTCTTGGACTGGCTCGGCTGCCTTCAGTCGGGTTGTTGTACCTGCTGTGTTGCAGTGTGCTTCTGATTTATCGCTGCCAGGTAACGGAGGATCAGTTTGGTGGCTTCTGTTTTGCCCGAACCACTTTCGCCACTACAAGCAATCAGGTGAACAAGACAGCCCTAGTTATTTATTATCATCTCTTCCTTGCGATGCTAAAACATACATGCTTGTAGGTTATGTATCAGTCTTGCAAACACTTGCAGAACTGGAGGAGGTTATGGGCTAGCTCGCCTTAACAGAACGCACCAGCCTTGCCAACAGGAAGATGGAAGGTGTTGCACTCAGAAGTGGCACTGAAAGCTCACCTGATAATAATACACTGGTTGATTTTGGCATCTCTCAGTTTGCTGTAGGCGATATTGGTGATTGCGAAAAGGTGCCTGTGAAAAGAGAGAGAGGATTTAAAAATCTGGCGTAAATTGCAATGCAGATATCAGTGACGTGGTTCCATCAAGCTAACATTCCACCGCACCTGCATTGACAGTAGGAACCACAGTGTTCTGGGACTGGGTGCCTGGAGGGAAGCAGTTCTAGAGGACACCGGCAACACACTGAAATGCAGGAAGTACCTTTATTGTACTCACCTTTCCCCTCCAAGTTGTCCCCTCCAACAGCTGGGAAGAATATTTATCTACCCAAGATCCTTGAGAGCCACTTCCTGTCAAATTAGACCAACCCGATGTTGTCCAGAGGTTTTGGACTACAACTCCTATCAGCCCCAGCTAGCACTGTCATGGTAACCAGGGCTGATATAAGTTATAGTCCAAAACATCTAGAGAACATCCGGTTGGCGAAGGCTGGATTGGATAAGTTGGAATGGTGGTCTGACTCAGGATAAGTCTGCTTTATGCATTACTTAGCCACTGCTCTGGCTCCTGAGATTTCAGCAGACATACACAATTACTTTTCAGAATACCTCTGTAGCCATGCTTTTTATAAAGCATGCACTTCTTTGGAAGTTAACAATACACAGCTTGTTGCCTCCAGATCCAATCTGTAAGCAGCAGAGACTTACGGTGGGTTCTCCCCCAAGGCTTTCCCTTCATATTGCAGCACGTGGTCTGTCCCGTAGATGTTGTACATTTTGTAAGGATTCACAGACACTAAGATGCTACCTATATAGGTCTGGAAGAGAAAGAGAGAAATTCGGCGGAAGGGGATAAGCTCTGAATGCATGCATGACACTACGACCTGCTTCACACATAATGCTAAGCCATGGTTTATTCCATTCTTGCCTGTTAAACCATGGCTTAGTTTTACACGTGAACCTTTAACTATGATTTGTTTACTGCAAAAAACAACAACAAAAAACCCCACAACATGATCTGAAGCCATGGTTTGCTGTCGGTTTATGAACCTTGATTTGTTTTAAGTCCAGCTTGAAATCCCAGAACCTTTCCTTAACCAAGATTTGTTTGGATAAGACATTCACAAAGCCACAAAAGCACAAAAAGATCCTGCAAAACGAAACAAACTATGGAGAAACAAGTCATGGATTGTTTGATCGTCTGTGGGACAACTCCTGGTTTGTTAAACAAACCGTAATGGTTTAGCATTACGTGCAAACTAGGCTTCTCTCTGTGTGTGTATTGAACACCAAGCACAGTCAAGTGAAGTAGAACCCTGCCAAGCAGCACAGTTACTCATTAATAAACAACACAACTTACTTGGTTGGGTGGTTACTCAAAAGTAATTGGGTGCTTTGTGTATCAAAACCACAAATAAGCAAGAACGGAACCTACTGGATGTAACCTTAGCTTTATCTGGAACTCCTCCAGAACCTTTTCCTTCATCTTCCTATATTTTGCTTTCATTTATGCATTTGTTAATTTAAAAATCCCATATTTTTAATTTACTTTAATCACTGCATCTTTATTTCATCCTTCCCCGCCCCCACGAGCTGGATGGTGTGCACCCGCCTTCTGGTGCCCTCCATATATTTTGGACAACAGCTCCCATCAGACCCAGCCAGCACACAGCCATATGTTGCTGGAACTGATGGGAGCTTAGTTGGTTGGGGGATGGCTGGTATACAGAGTTCACTTCCCACCTCCCAACCCCAGTTCCCACTTTTATTGCTACAACAATCCCAAGATCACCCAGAGTGCTTTGTGGCTTAGTGAGGATTTGAACTCAGGTCTCCATGGGCCAACACTGCATCCACAGCACCATGCTGGGTTCTTTCCCAGTACGTAGTTCATTAAGCTTCGGAAATAAGCAAAAGCAAAAGGACAACAACCAACTTACATAAATTAGTCCCCGGTCAAACCTCAACCTGATGTTGTTAAGAACCGCATTCTCCTGGAGGTCTCTGCAGTGTACAGAAAGGAAGGACTTCTTTCAAAGACTATTTGTTACGTATTAGTTATGTTATCATTAGGTTGTTGTACCCCAAAGAAAATGAAGTGTGCATGGGGTGGGGTTGGGGAAGACATAATCAAGTCTTCCTCAACCTCGGCCCTCCAGATGTTTTTGGCCTACAACTCCCATGATCCCTAGCTAGCAGGACCAGTGGTCAGGGATGATGGGAATTGTAGTCTCAAAACATCTGGAGGGCCAAGGTTGAAGAAGCCAGAGTCATAATCAATTGCATATAATTTGCAGACAGAAAGCAACAAGAGCAAACACCCAACCATATTCGCTGAATTGATTTCCATTGTGGACATGGGGCAAACAAGCAAGCACCAGCAATTTCTACTCCCATTTTCGCTCTATTTCCCCATCATCCTTAGTCCAGAGGGGCAGAGAGTTTTGGACATTCACATTCATCATTTTGGACAGTCACAATATTTGTCTGGGATTCCCAGCATTTGCACCTGGAAAGCCACCAGATTCCAAGCGTTCCTTAAATTAAATTATCCGACAACAGTCAACTTACTCCAGCTGGGTCATGTCTTCCACAGCATTATCCCCGTGCTGCAGTGGGTGGGCTGGACATTGCAAGCTGTGGGTGGTGTGCATCTATATTTGCAGAGAGGAAAAGGCAATAAAATCAGCACATGCTCAGATCCACGCCCCCATGCACTTGACCCTCAAGGAAAATGCAGGTGATCTTTTGTATGCAAATACATGCAATCAACGCATTTATTATTCAGGGTATTATTTATTGCTTGTAACGCCCGTTCTCAAAGCGGCAATAAAATACAGTGGTACCTTGGTTTAAGAACAGCTTAGTTTATGAACAACTTGGATTAAGAATGCTGCAGACCTGGAAGTAGGTGTTTTGGTTTGTGAACTTTGCCTTGGAAGCAGAACATGTTCCACTTCCTGTTGAGTGTGTTCCATTTGTAAACTGAGTCCCGCGCTGCTATGGGAAAGCACACCTTGGTTTAAGAATGCTTTGGTTTAAGAACGGACTTCCGGAACGGATTAAGTTCATAAACCAAGGTACCCCTGTATGGCAAACAGTATCAATGCATTGGAACTTATCAATTAAAAAATAGAGCAGTTATACAACTGGTGGGAAAAGACAGACTACAAAACTATTCCTGAATAAGGCACCTGGTGTGGTTGTGACAGTGGCTGGTTCAAGACGCAGGGCACCATATACAAGGTGATTTATAGAATATTGTCATGGGCTGGTTGGATACAGAGGAGCGGTGGGAGGAACCAGCCGGGGACCCCCCGAAGGAAGAAGGCTCAGAGTCAGGGGACAACGACGAGTGGTCAGAGGGAGAAGAGGGAGAAGACTGGGAAGAGGATGTGCTGGAAGCTGAAGAGGTAACAGTGTTTAATGAGCAGGAAGAGGCTGTGGTAGAGAGGAGTCCAGAGTCAGACACAGGAGCAGAGGCTGGAGAGGAGAGGGGCCAGGAGGCAGAGATGAGACAGGCTGGTGAAGAATCCAGGGAATCTTCCCCTCCTGCTGCGACAAACTCCTCTCCCCACTTGTCTCCCAGAACATGAAAAGGAATGAAGAGGGTGGAGCAAAGAAAGAGAAGATGTAGGCGTCTGAGATTGCTTGGAAAGGACCTGAAGAAGAAATAGACTTAGAGAGCTGTGGACCTTCAGTCCTCACAACTGCCTCATTGGGACAAGATCAACCAGGAAGAGTTGGGATGCTTACTTGGCCTGAGCTGTTGTTTGTTTGTTTTTGTTTGTTTGTTTGTTTGTTTGTTTGTTTGTTTGTTTGAATAAAGAGTCTTGTGAGATATTGCTGACCTGACCCTGACATCCGTCCTGACAGATATATAGAGTGATTGAGAGGATATATAAGCTGCCGGGGGGGGGATTGTGGGGCAGGAGCTGCCCCGTCCTCGTGGCCTGAACGTTGCCAGAGTGGTTTAACAGCCAGCCTCTCTTCACAGGGAACTCTGGGAATTGTAGCTCTGGGACAGGAATAGGGGCCTTCTAACAACCCTCAGCACACTTCACAAACTACACCTCCCAGAATTCTTTGGAGGAAGCCATGAGTGGTATTATAGTGCTTTAATGTATGGCATGAATGTGTCCCAAGAGCAGGAGCAAGGGAGAAAATTTGACTGCTGTGACTGATAATTGCCCCTGCTAAACTCCTGAGGAGCCTCCAGGTGCCCTCCAACCCCCCATTCCTAACCCTTTAGCCACCTTGACTGTAAGTTAATCAACAAAGGGTTAAAAGGCATCTAGAGTAAGGGGCTACCAAGTCCTAATTCTTACTCAAGTCGTCACGCTGTGTCTCGGCTGAATCATTTCAGACTGCAGGTAGGCATTGACATGATTGAATTATCTTGCATGCACTAACCCCCCCCCCCAAAAAAACCCCTCCCCATATAAAACTAGCATGTCAGACCTAGACCCCTCCTTGACATGCTAGATTTCTATGCATAGGTGTGTGTGTGTGTGTGTGTGTGTGTGTGTGTGTGTGTGTGTGTATGTATGTGTGTGTGTGTGTGTGTGTGTATATATATATATATATATATATATATATATATACTGCCTAGACACAAGTTGGCTCTATCCCTGATGCTTTTGAAACACCAAACATTTTTTTTAAAAAGCAAAATTTTATCCTATCCCTTTTCCAAGTAGCTCAAGGGAGCATAGATCATTTCCCTCCTGCTTAATTGTAACACCTAGTAAGCTTCATGGAAAAGTGGGGATTTGAACCCTGACCTCTCAAGTCCTGAACCAACGCTCTAACCTTCACGCCATACTGGCTCTCTATTAACATTGCCACTGCTTCTAGGAAAGGTATGGATAATCCCCAAGAAAGTGGTGGTGGAGGAGGTGTTGCTTAGCAACCACGCAGAGTGGCCTGATCTTTACTGAGGTAACACGTGCCCTGATTGGCTGAGTATTTCTGAGGGAGTTTTCCTCCGTATGTTTGGTTGTATGTCTCCCTCCATGCACAAGGCCCAAACTAAGAGAGACAAAATCTCTCTATTCCTTTCTCCTCAAATCATACACTGTTGTTGTTCAGTTTCGCTCAGTAAAGTGTTATCGAGACTTTTCTCCCTGGGCTCTGTGTTATTTAAGTGACTTTGCTTACAGGCAGCATCTCATTTTCAAGCCTGCCGTGGTGCCCTGTTTGTTGGTATCGAGTCTGTAAAGGCAGCGGCAGAAGATTGGTAAGCAAATACTTATCAAAAGATAAGCTCCTCAAAGCTGGGCTTTGAACGATGATCCGCTTCAGGCAGCTCTGCTCAAGGCAGCAGGAGTCAGCTTCGCTCTAATTAATACTCTCCTCCTGTTCCACGCCAGCTCCATGTCGGAGATCAGGTCCCTAAATTTACATACAGCTCTCTTGCTCCGACAGGCAGCTTGTGCCTCTGGTGGGGGGCTACTAACCCTGATGGCTGTGGTCTGCCTCCACTGTCAGAGGCAGCAAATGTTTCTGGAAAAAGCAGGAGGGGTGACTGCCGTTGTGTTCAGGTGCTGCTTGTGAACTTCCCATAGGGGGTTCTGTTTGGCCACTGTGAGAACAGGAGCCACTGGCTTCATCCAGCAGGCTCATATAACTGCAAACTTAACGGAATTACTTCCCATCCCGAAGTGAGACCTTGCGAGTGAAACTGATCCAGAATTCCAAGAGAACCTGGACAGAAAAGTCCGGTTCAGGATAACCTTTCCACTTCCATCCACCCCTAGTTCCCAGACCAGGGCCAACCCAAGGAGAAGGGCAAGATGCTCCCCCCACAAACACGTTTCATGGACAGTTCAACCTTACTTCATTACACAGGCAACAGGATCCTGAGGGCACTCGGCTAGTTATGGGGGCACAGGACAGGTATTGTGCCAAATCAAACTCTTGCCTCCCGGAAGAGGCCAGAGAAGAGACAGCTAGGGAAGCTGCCCTCCCCTGAACATCCGCCGCCTGAGACAGTTACCACACTCTGCCTAACGATAGGGCCGGCCCTGTTCCGCTCCACTCCCTCCCTCCCCCTCCCCATCACAAAATAGCTCCCCTTCAATTACCTTGCAGCGCCACCTCTTGCTCATCCCACCAAATTCCGTGTGGTGCATCGTCGACCCCCGTGTCAGGTACCAAGCCAAGCCACTGCCTCCCTGGAAAGATGTCGATGGGTTCAAGCTCCCCGAGGCCCAATCGTTGGCTGCCTGGTGCCGGGGGCTGTTCTGGTTTTGCATGCGGGATTTCCTCCTGAAGGAAGAGCCGATCCGCTGGATCTGGGGCATGACGACTGCGTACCTCCCAAAGCTGTCCTCCGCGTCGTTTTCATGCAGCTCGGCGGGCGAATAGGCAGCTTCCCAGCTTCCCAGGTGGTTATTCCGAAAGGGTGAGGAACGGGGAAGGGGAGGGCTCCCCCTTCCCATGTTGTAGGCAGCCCCCTTAAACGAAGCTGCCCTTTGGGACAAGGGGCTGAGGTTGGGCCCTCCCAAGTGGCCAGGATTGCCCCCCGAAATGGCGTAGGACCAATTACTATCCCAGGCCTTGCGGGCCAGTTTCGGAGTCGGTGACCGGGAGTGGCCGGCCAACCCTGCTTGCTTCGATGATGGCGGTGGTGGAGGCGGTGGAGGAGGAACATCCTCATAAAATAGACTCCTGGAAAAGGGGGGCAACTGGCCAGGGATGTGATCAGCCCGTGCCTGGGACGCCTTCCTATCTTTCGTGCTGCTTTTTGTCAGGGAAGGGGGACGCCTGATGGACGAAACAGCCTGGGCCATCCCAGCTAATGGCTGTCCGACGCGCTGCAGGTAGGCCTGCCGGGTGCTGGGAACAGGACTTGAGGGCACAGACAGATTCGAAAGGCTTCTCAGGCTTCCAGTGGCTCTTGTCTTGGGTGAGGGATTCCAGGCTGCTGGCCTTCCATTTCCAGAAACACGGTCCCACCTCTGCTGCTGCTGTTGCTGCTGCTGTAGCCATTGACCCTCTCCTGGTCCATTGGCACCATCAAAATCCTCGGTGAGAGGAGACGAGTTTCTTGGAGACTCCCTGATGGTGACCCTCCGGCTCCCTTGCTGCGTAAACATGTGAGGGGAGCTCCTGGCAGACAAATTGGGGGACTGGGAGCCCAACTGCCTCATGAACTGGTTTCTCATTAACGGTTTCACAGCTTTGGTCGGGGGCTCTTGCTGCCTGCTCCAAGCTTGGGGGAGCATGCCTTGAGCATCCACAGGCGGGGGGCTCGTTCTCCTTGGCGGCTGGAAAGGGTTTTGGATGGGAGGCGAGCCAAAATTCCTGAGAGATGGTTGAGGTGAGGGAGGGGCTTTCAATCTCCCGGTGGTGGGATTATGGAAGCCCGCTGAGGCAAATCTTCCAGGGGTCCTGTTCGACATAGCATCCTGGAACTTGGAAGTAATGGATTTGACGGAGCCATGAAATGAAGGATGGCTCAAAGGGGCCTCAGTCCTGTGACTACTGACTCCTCCTAAACTAGAGGAGGATGGAGTGCGTTGGCTCATAAAAGGATTACGTGCTGTTGGTCTAGGGGATGAAGGTGAGCGGAAGGTGGCATTTTCTGATGGGTTCCCCATGGCGGCCGGCCTATGTCCCCGTGATGGAGTAGCATTTTCTGGCGGTGAAA